ACGAGGGTGCCCTAGTAGCCATGTCCTGAACCGGTGTTCCCCTCTGTAGGACCCTGAGCCTGAGAAGCGGGCGTAACCTATCTGTCCCCCATTGTCTCCCCTTCTGTTTGGATGTACTCCTGCGGTACTGAGTGCTGTTTCTAGGGTGTGCTAAGTCAGGTGACCTGATGTTATTGGTGCCCAATCCCTTGTTAAGCATTGCTCTATGCGGTCTAGACTAGGTGAGCCTGCACGGTAATGCATTGCCAGTGTAGTTGTGGGGTGTTCTTGGGTAGCTCGGGCTTCTCAGTTTGGCCATGTTTAAGTTGGAATGCGGGTACAGATTACACCTTGTACACTATGTGATAACTATTTTGATTCTCCTTTTGTATCGTATGGTCTGTGTTACAGGCTTATTCACTATACTAAACGTAGGGGGATGAGGTCGGTGTGAAGGTACCTCCAGCCTCCCTAATTCCCTCCTTGCAGCCAGATATACCATATCTAATAGCTTTTTGTTCATGTCTATTCAGTCCGTCTGTGGGTTTAGAGAGAAGGCAGGCCCATGGGTCTGGGTTTATCGGCCTCTGAAATACCGCTGACTTAATTTCTGTAACCCTCTCCCAGAAGTCGCGTACTTTAGAGCACTGCCAACACATGTGGATGTAACTACCCCTAACCCCACAGAGGCACCAGCATGTATTCGTTGGGCCTTTTTTCATATGGTACTGTTTTACTGGTGTAGTGTGCCATCTGAACATCGTGACACACATTGAGGATTTTGTGCAAGCTCCACTTTTTGTCTCTACATCAGTTATCTTCTGGAGAAACACCATCACTGCTGCATTATATCCTTAGACGGGGATATCCAATGGTAAAATATAGCAGCAAACAGTAATATGAATTAAAAATAGGTATCCTACTTACATTTTAGAAAGTGTAACTTGCTCTGGTGTTCAGAGCATTTGTGGTATGATCCCCACGTGGGATTTGTGGGACCAGCAAGCCAATAGGTAACAAAAATAAATTCAAAATAAATTAAATTAAAAGGATTAACTTATTATGATATAAAAGGCAACAATGGTATATAAAAGAATAAAGATATACTATAAAACCACAATTTACACGTTTCACCTTTGGGTTGCATCAGAAGTGTCACTTCCCTGAAATCCCAAGATGAAATGCGTATTTTCTGGAGAAACACCATTACTGCTGAATTATATCCTTAGACAGGGATTATACCGTCCAAGATGAAAAGAGCAGAGCTCTTAGTAGCTCTACAAAGTGTGAGTGTATACCTGTTACACTATTATATTTTAACCTATTGTTAAAACGTACTTCACTATTTTATGTATTTTATTATTTTTCTCTTTTGAGATACATGGCACTACACAGCAAAATTGTGTATGTATAAATTTTTCATTGCTGTGATATCCTTCTTAGAGGTTACCTATTTGTTTTAGGCACAGTCTACTCTTTGTTTGTTTGATTTTTATGCTGCCTTTGTATCTAGTGAGCACCTAACTTCTGCACATTTTTACTATGTGTATATGTACATACATCCCAGCAATCAAACTTCAACACTACATGCACATACCCTTGCAATCAAATGCAAACCTTACATACAAACACACACTTGCAGTCAAGGTCCAAAATTAGATACAGACACACCACTTCATTCAAACACCAATACTACACACAAATGTACACACACACACACACACATTTAAAATCCAACACTATATACAAACACAATCCTGCAATCAAATGTAAACATTACACACAAACACACCTCTATATTAAAATGCCAAAATTATATGAAAACACCCCTTCATTCAAACACCAACACTACTCACAATAGTACAACTGCATTTAAAAGCCACACCATACAAAAATATGCTTATATTCAAACTCTCAAACACTGCTTACAAATACAATCCTGCATGGATGGACAAATGGTGGATCCCCAGATGGCATAGAATTGTGAGAGTTGTACAACAGATGAGGATTTATCTCTTGGCCATCCTTCTTGAACTAGACAGGGGCTCATATATATTTCATGCACCTCTTTTCATTAGTTCTGCCACTGCAAAAAAGTAATTGTTGTTGTAAGTTTTATTTTTTTCTTGATAAACATAATTCCCCTAAATGAGCCACATAGCAATAATAAAATGTCATACGCGTGACTATTGAGAAAATGCATATCATATTAATTATTCAGAAAGTCATGCATAGTTATTTTAGTACTAAACATCCATGATTCAAGCATAATATTTTGATGAGAGAGAGAGAGAGTGAGTGAGTGAGTGAGTGAGTGAGTGAGTGTGTGTGTGTGTGTGTGTGTGTGTGTGTGTGTGTGTGTGTGTGTGTCTGTGTATGTGTGTGTCAAGCTGCCAGTTTGGTATGTGTGTTTGTCTTTTATCAGAAGCTAGTATCTGAAATGTGAATGTAGAAAATGCTAATCATAAAAAGTACAATCATCTTTGAAAATTAACAGCATCAATTTATTTTCTTTTGGAAAAAATTAAACCATGTTTATTAATCCTTATTAGTCATGAGCACAGAGAAAAGTTTTGGTTCATCCAAAATAATTAGGAAGAAAATACATTTTGTTTTGTCTGAAACTAATTAATTCTTTTGGTTGATTTATTTTGCTTAAAAATATCTCATGATGGCATGCATACACACAGATATCCACAATCACAAATGCACAAATATATTTACTGTCAGACACATACACACTGGTATATACACAGATACACAATACCAGATATACACAAACAGGAGCCAATACACACTGCCAGACACATACTGTGATAGTGTGTCTTTATCTGTAATAGTGTGCCTATATCTGTCAATGTGTGTATCATTGTGTGTCTCTGTGCATCAGTGTGTATGTGTCTACATTTATTAGACTGTTTATGTGTATATGCGTATTAGTGTGTGTGAGTGTATTTTCATGTGTGTGTGTGTGTCCAAAGAGGTAGCATGGCTGCAATGGGAGGTTAATATTGTATAAACAATGTCATGGTAATGTGGGAACATATGCAATACACTTGGGGCTATATAAACAGGGCTCAAAATGATATCTGAGTGACACCCACACTGCTCTGCACAATGAACCCCTCTCTATACTGACACACAATGGTGCTTGGAGTTTGTATTACACAGCATTTAACTATGAAACGCTGCACACACAGAGACCTAACCCTATGCTGCCGGAGCAATTAGGGCATCATCAGCCAGCCTGGAAGTAGACATTTGCTGTCTGGCTAAAGTCAGTTCTATGTATATTATACATCTGACATAAGCACACACAGCATTCTAGCAATTGCCGACTGATGGTGACACATCCCTCCTTTGTGCTGCCCATGTCCTCTTCTCAGCCAACCCTCAAGAATGTCTCTCCCCCTCCAATGATGGGGAGTGATGCCACTAGCAGAGGATTATGTTGTTCAGAAAACTTAGCCTGCTTGCTGGAACGGAAGTAAAAAATTTATTCTTTTTTGGGACGGGATACAGGTCGGTAAGGGTTACTTTGATAACAACCTTTCAAATTTGACAGTTACTATCATGAATTCAAAAGAACACCAATTTAAAATAGCCTCCCATCTGTGAATTCCTCACTGTTCAACCTGATAGTTGGCATTTTTCTATCCTCAGACCTGTAGGTATAAGTCTGTTCTTTATATAATCCTTCCTGAAAATGTATGTGCCACCACTTTTTGTTTTTTTCGTGATTAACCTCTCTAATTTGCAAAAGCATTGATATTTGTCAACTGTATTAAATATGAGTAAATTTAAAAAAGTCTTACAAACCTAATTACACAAAACGAAAACAATATAACTTTGCGAAATTGCAAGTATATCACGTTTATCAACAGTAGTAGATAATCAGGGCAATGCTGTCTTCCTACCCGATGAGTTTTGTTGCTAGAACTGCAACTTCTTCAGGGAATTCAAACAGCTTTGGCAATGTGCGGCAATAAAAATATCTTAATATAAAGAAAATATACATAAGAAATGATGGTGGTGCCTCTAGAGAGTTCATTAAAGTAATTTGAAGCATCATAATCATTTAAGTAATACATAGTGAAATTCATTTTTTGATTATGTAACAAAAAAAAGGCTAGTTAAAATCACATATCATGTTAAAGGACCACTATAGGCACCCAGACCACTTCAGCTTAATGAAGTGGTCTGGGTGCCAGGTCCAGCTAGGTTTAACCCTTTTTGCTGTAAACATAGCAGTTTCAGAAAAACTGCTATGTTTACCTATGGGTTAATCCAGCCTCTAGTGGCTGTCTCATTGACAGCCACTAGAGGCGCTTCCGCACTTCTCACTGTGATTTTCACAGTGAGAAGACGCCAGCGTCCATAGGAAAGCATTGAGAATGCTGACGACGAGAAGGAGGAGAGGAGGAGGAGAGTCCCCCGCCCGGCGCTGGAGAAAGAGGTAAATTTAACCCCTTCCACCCCCTAGAGCCTGGCGGGAGGGGGCCCCTGAGGGTGGGGGCACCCTCAGGGCATTATAGTGCCAGGAAATGGGGTATGTTTTCCTGGCACTATAGTGGTCCTTTAAGCCCTCCACTACATTAATATCCAATTTTAAAACAGCAGACCTTTCATTGTTATATCGATACTCTGAGTGCTATAACTACAGCTTATCACACTTATTTGTGGGCACCATTCCCTGTTTGTGTGAAACAACTTTCTAGAGTTGTAACAAAAAAACAAAAAAATCAGCTTTCCTGACTTTTAAAGATGACCACACTGATGTGGCTTTGATGATGTGACTTTCAAAGAGTAATGATAGCAACAAGCCATAAAGCTAGGTTATCCACCCAAGGCTCGACAACTAATGCAGAAGTTCATCCTCTTGAAAAGACGTCAACACAAATCTGTGAGATGGCACCATAAGACTCACAGCACCATAACCACTACAATGAGCTGTACAGGTTACAGTGAATGTAGTGCCACTTTAAGCCTACAGAACATCAGTTTGAAATTAGTTGTCAATATTACTGATCTTTAGAGTCTTCATATATATCAGTAGGTGACACTTCAAGGAAAAGCTGTAAAAAGCATGTGATCTTATCAAAGTAGGGTAGACGGAACTTGAAATATACAAACGGAAAATACACAATCAGGCTGCTCAACATAAACAGCAAAGCATAGAAATATTCAACTTTTGGACTTTGTACGATTGGAGCAATCACTAAAAATAAAGCCGCTGCCACAACTCCATATGCAATTGGAAGGAAGACCTGGAACAGACAAAAAAGACAAACGTTAGTTTGTATTTAAAGAAAAACCCCTTGTTGTGAAAACCCCCTTGTCGTTAGTATACTTGTGAATCAGAGTATACTAACAGATTATTTTTATTCTTATTGTTTTTTTGTTGTATGTTTTTATATATTAAGAGAGAGAAATATATATACTATATATAATAAATAACTAATATTAATGTGTATATATTTAATTAATGTGGCTACAGTTCTAGATATGTCAAATATATATACAATACTCCTCATGTTGAGGTGATACAATCCACCAACCCAACAGTAAGAGTGAGAGTTAGAATGCAGCGCTACAAAAGTGGTAGATACGGGCACTTACCCCTTCAAACAAATTGGAGGGGGTGTACCATATATGAAAAATAAAGAGAAAAACACAATAAGGTAATATTGTCTTGCTGGATAATCTAAACCAAATACCGTTTTGAGGAACTCACATAGTATAGAGCCTTTTCTTGGGATCTTTTGTCCACGTATTAAAGGTACCGCAATCAAGTTTTCCACACTTAAAGGAGAGAATTTCAGAGACCAGGTTCTATCCAAAGAACTCTATTTTCTGAAAAATCTTATAAATCTTCACTCATTTAAAGTGTATACACATATACAAATTCATATATAAAATATACCCAAAAAATAAAATAAGATGAAATAAAACTTAAAATGGTGATTGAGGTAGATATATGTTTATACTAGAAAAAAGTTTTTTATATTATGAGGTGTTCGTTCTCCAAATAAAACCTCTCATAAAAAATGATATAACTCGAAGTCAGCATTTTGTCCGTAAGGACTTAGAATGTTTAAAACATAGATCCACCTCATCTCCATCCTTCCTAATTTCCCAATATTATCCTCTCCTCTCAAATTAAAATGAACTTTCTGGATTGCCTTAAAATATAGAAACCTAAGATCCCTATTGTGTACTTTATTAAAATGAGCTAATAGGCTATTATTTTCTAAACCATTTTTAATGTTTCTGATGTGTTCATTGATGCGCACATGTAAAAGGCGTTTGGTCCTTCCTACATAATGTAGATTGCAAGAGCAAGAGTGAAGATTTCCTGCGTCAGGAATTTTCCTTTATGTCATGCCATGGACTTTTAATCAATTTGGAACTCTGTATTTCTCCTTGTCCCCAAACCAGCTAGTGAGGAGCCCCAATGAATGAGACAAGACAATGTAAGGTTCAAGGTGACTTCTAATATTTAATGAGCTGTGTAACAGGTTATATTCAAGAGGAAACAGGGGTGGTCTTATAAGCATTATCCAATCCTAACAAAACCATCTATCTTATCTTAACATCTTAACCTATAGCTAGCTTGCAGGTGTATCTTCATGTTCAGGCCTTGCACAAAGCTACGTTTCAATATAACTACGCACTTAGTAATGTGTAATTAGAACTGCTTTTAGAACTGTGTAGTTAATATCTTTTAATTCTAAGCAGTTATGATCAAAGAATAACAAGGCCAATGGCAGAAACACACAGGAAATAACACTAACACTTGTTACATTATGTTCTATACCTCTTGTCTAGGGGTATATTCACTAAGCATTGTATGTAGACAAAGTGTATTATTCCCAAAAGTTGACATGCTCCAAGTTAGCCAATTTTAAACAGACTGGACATCTGTAGACATCCGGTCATCTGTAGCTTGAGCCTTGGGTCAATAAGCATTGTATATACAGGGAGTGCAGAATTATTAGGCAAATGAGTATTTTGACCACATCATCCTCTTTATGCATGTTGTCTTACTCCAAGCTGTATAGGCTCGAAAGCCTACTACCAATTAAGCATATTAGGTGATGTGCATCTCTGTAATGAGAAGGGGTGTGGTCTAATGACATCAACACCCTATATCAGGTGTGCATAATTATTAGGCAACTTCCTTTCCTTTGGCAAAATGGGTCAAAAGAAGGACTTGACAGGCTCAGAAAAGTCAAAAATAGTGAGATATCTTGCAGAGGGATGCAGCACTCTTAAAATTGCAAAGCTTCTGAAGCGTGATCATCGAACAATCAAGCGTTTCATTCAAAATAGTCAACAGGGTCGCAAGAAGCGTGTGGAAAAACCAAGGCGCAAAATAACTGCCCATGAACTGAGAAAAGTCAAGCGTGCAGCTGCCACGATGCCACTTGCCACCAGTTTGGCCATATTTCAGAGCTGCAACATCACTGGAGTGCCCAAAAGCACAAGGTGTGCAATACTCAGAGACATGGCCAAGGTAAGAAAGGCTGAAAGACGACCACCACTGAACAAGACACACAAGCTGAAACGCCAAGACTGGGCCAAGAAATATCTCAAGACTGATTTTTCTAAGGTTTTATGGACTGATGAAATGAGAGTGAGTCTTGATGGGCCAGATGGATGGGCCCGTGGCTGGATTGGTAAAGGGCAGAGAGCTCCAGTCCCACTCAGACGCCAGCAAGGTGGAGGTGGAGTACTGGTTTGGGCTGGTATCATCAAAGATGAGCTTGTGGGGCCTTTTTGGGTTGAGGATGGAGTCAAGCTCAACTCCCAGTCCTACTGCCAGTTCCTGGAAGACACCTTCTTCAAGCAGTGGTACAGGAAGAAGTCTGCATCCTTCAAGAAAAACATGATTTTCATGCAGGACAATGCTCCATCACACGCGTCCAAGTACTCCACAGCGTGGCTGGCAAGAAAGGGTATAAAAGAAGAAAATCTAATGACATGGCCTCCTTGTTCACCTGATCTGAACCCCATTGAGAACCTGTGGTCCATCATCAAATGTGAGATTTACAAGGAGGGAAAACAGTACACCTCTCTGAACAGTGTCTGGGAGGCTGTGGTTGCTGCTGCACGCAATGTTGATGGTGAACAGATCAAAACACTGACAGAATCCATGGATGGCAGGCTTTTGAGTGTCCTTGCAAAGAAAGGTGGCTATATTGGTCACTGATTTGTTTTTGTTTTGTTTTTGAATGTCAGAAATGTATATTTGTGAATGTTGAGATGTTATATTGGTTTCACTGGTAATAATAAATAATTGAAATGGGTATATATTTGTTTTTTGTTAAGTTGCCTAATAATTATGCACAGTAATAGTCACCTGCACACACAGATATCCCCCTAACATAGCTAAAACTAAAAACAAACTAAAAACTACTTCCAAAAATATTCAGCTTTGATATTAATGAGTTTTTTGGGTTCATTGAGAACATGGTTGTTGTTCAATAATAAAATTAATCCTCAAAAATACAACTTGCCTAATAATTCTGCACTCCCTGTAGGCAAAGTATATTATTCCCAACAGTTTCTCTAGAGGAATTTCATAAAGTGCAGGATCATTTTTTAAGAGAGGCCAGAATCTATTTAAAATGTGTTTAATTTGTTGACTATTTTGGTTATAATGACATATCAAAGGTATCTCTTCTCTCTTTTCATTTTTTGGTTTATATGTCAGAAGGGAGCTACGATCAAGGTCAGCCACTTCCTCCATAGTTCTGTCTAACATTTATGCTTTATAACATTTTTCCTCAAATTGTCTTTTTAATTTCATCGCATGTGTGCGGAACGTGGCAACATCTATACAGTTTCTACGTATCATCAAAAACAGAGCTCTTGACACATTCCTCAGCCAAGGTGACTCTTTAAATGAATGTAATTGTTGACATCCACAGCTTTGGCCAGGGTTGTGTTTGACTTGTGCTGGCTCTGCCCCTGATCTGCCTCTTTGACAGTCTCAGCCAATTCTATGGGAAAGCATTGTGATTGTCTCACAGAGTCACTTCTGATTATGCCAGCTGTAAGCAGGCAGATAAGGGGCAGAGGCAGCAGTTGCAGACTTGAATACAAGTAAGAAGGGACTAGACGGTGGTTTTAACACTATAGGCCATACTGGTGCGAGCAGTAGTCAGGAGGTGGTCACGGACAGAGCGGAGGGAACAAGGAGGGGTATACCTTTGGATCTGTGAAGCGATATAAGAGTGGCTAGAGTTGTTCAGTGCTTTAAATGTATGGGTTAGCACTTTGAATTGACACCTATAGGATACAGGGAGCCAATGTAAGGACTGGCAGAGGGGTGAGGTGTGAGAGGACCGACTAGAGAGGAAAGAAAGTCTGGCGGCGGCATTCATTACAGAATGTAGTGGGGCAATATGGCTTTTGGGAAGATCAGGAGAGGGTTACAATAATCCATGCAGGAAATTACTAGAGCATGGACAAGCTCCTTGGCAGCATCTTACGTAAGAAAGGGGCGGATGTGGGCTATGTTTTTAAGTTGGTATCTACAGGATTTGGCAACAAACTGGATGTGAGGCTCAAAGGTGAGGCCAGAGTCAAGTATGATGCTAAGACAGCGTGCTTGCAAGGATGGGCTTATGTGGATATCAATGACTTGAAAGGAGAGCGAGAGAGGAGGATCAGTATTAGGAGGAGGTAAGACAAGGAGTTCAGTTTTAGAGAGATTGAGTTTCAGAAAGCCATCCAGTCAGCGATGGAAGAAAGGCAAGCAGTGACACGTTGCAAGACGGCAGGGGAGAAGTCCAGGAAGGAGAGGTATATCTGAGTGTCATCAGCATACAGGTGGTAGTGGAATCCAAAAGAGGCAATAAGTTTGCCAAGAGAGGCAGTATAAAGAGAAAATAGAAGGGGACCAAGGACAAAGCCTTAGGGAACGTCAACCGAGACAGGACGAGGGTAGGAGGTATCCTTGGAAAAGGAGACACTGAATGAGCATTAAGAGAGATAAGAGGAAAACCATGAGAGGACAGAGTCACAGAGACCGAAGCATTGGTGTTTCCCCCATCATTGGCGTGATATTCCATCTCTTTGATTGTTGGTGGGGTCCTCTTCATCTGAATCTGTTCACCTCCAGAGCCAATAAGCAGAAAGATCTATTCTTCAGCTGGCTTTCAGATCCCCTGTGCCTTGCGGTGGATGCTTTTCTTCAGGAATGTCCACTTTGGGGGTGTACACATTTTCCCATTCTCGATGATTCTACGAACTCTAAATCTGCTGAAACATCAAGCTGCGATGATCCGGCTCAGCCATGGTGCTTCCGGCTGGAGTTGTCCTGTGATGATCCCCTGGTCCTTCCGCACTCACCTAATCTCCTGATGAATCCAGACAAGGCTGCGTATCCGTTGGTTTCTCAGGGCTGTCTGTCCCTGGTGGCCTGGAGTATTTCCAGGGATTGTGGAATGTGCTGGTCGACAACAGGTCTCCGGGCACCAGAAAGATCTATCATCAGGCATTGGGAATGTGGCATAGCTCATGTTTGGAAAATGGTTTGGATCCCTTAACTGCCCCTATCATGACCATCTTGGATTTCCTCCCCTCTTTTCTCACCGGGAAAGTCTTACAGGATGACAAATATTTTTCCTTTGGCTGTCCCCACAGTCCATGTTCCACCCCCACCCCCCCAGGGATCTGGAGTGAGGAAGGACCCTACATTCTGTAGATTGCTTTGCAGGATTTGACTGGCCAAACCTCCCCAACTCATTATTCCTCATTTTTGGACATCTCTTTGGTCCTTCAATTTTTGGAGAGGTGGCCAGATAATGACCTGCTGTCATTCCACCAGCTTTCCTCTAAACTGGTCATTTTCCTGTGTCTGACTTCTTTACAATGGGTGTCTGATATTAGGGCCTTTGTTGTAGATTTTTTTTTGTTTGTTTTCTCTGGCAGAGGTGTTCTTTACAGTTTCTCGGCAGAACAAATCTAATTCTTCTTCGGTTTCTTACCCTTATTTCTAGACTTGCTTATTCATATTATGTGGATTGTTATTATAGTTTACTTAGGGGGTTGTGTTATGATTTAATTGTTTGTACAGTCTAATACTGGTTTATGTGACTGTTTTGTGTTGTTGTGACAGTGTTTCAGTTCCTGTTGTCATGTGTTTGACTCCTTAGTTGATGTTCAGTTGTTCAACTCTCTGACTGACCTCATCGGAGACAGAGGAAGTGGGAGGGTCCAGATGAGGATTGTGTTTGCCTTTCCAGATTTTGATTGGTTGTTTTTTTTACTATGTTAGCTGTTTTTTTTGCTGCTGGAGGTGTTAGTAAAGAAGGTATATGCAAGTATTAATCTCCTGTCTTTAATAAAATTTAGATTATTTTTTCACCAAGGCTAGAATATTCCTCATTGGAGCACAAAATATTTTGCTTATATATTGCTATCTTTGAAAGAGTTTGTAAATCTTCTTAGACACATCTAGTTGGGTTTAATTAAGGTAAACTGTGAAGTGAACATAATATACATAATAATTTATTAGTTTTAAGATCTTCCCTTAAATCGCTACACTATTAAACTTTATTGCAAGTAAATATAGCAATTATAGCCAATAAAAAATTTAAAGAAAACATGTGATAATTAAATATCCTACCTTGTACGGCCTGTGAAGATTAGGCTCACGATAACGTAGAACAATTAGACTCATGGTAGTCAGGCCAACCAAAAGCCAGGAACAAAATGCAAAGTAGTTTGTTAAAGAGAGGAGGTGAGAAGGGATGATGAAAATAGATGCAATAATTGTTGAGATGATCATGGCTGGTGCTGGGGTCAAATAATGCACATGAAGCATGGATATGATGGATGGCAGGTGACCCTCCTTGCTTCCAGCATAGTTTAGTCTTCCTGACATAAACATGCTACCGTTGAGGGAACCAAATATTGAGACCGCAACAGACACGGGAATAATCCAGGCCGCTGTTGGAATTGTTCTACCAGCCCATGTTACCGAAACTGCAGCTGCAATTACATAACATCTCCATGTGAGTAATTACCGTGAAATGCATCATTTTTATTACAAGTACATGACTTTTACAATTAGAAACCATGTATCACTTTTTGTTCATTAACAGGATTGTACAATTGACAAGAGATCTGAAATTGAGACTGGAAGAAAGGAGATTTCAGCAGAGGACATGTTTTTTTACAGTAAAAGAAATCAAGACTTTGGAGTCAAAGGGGATTTCTTTCCTTCTGTGTGGCAAAACTGGAAACCCCATCAGATTGGGTTTTCTGCTTCCTTTTTGGCACAGCAGAAATAGAGATGTATAAAAGGTTAAACATGATGGTTTTAAATATGTCCTTACAAGAGGCTTCCTTATGTTTCATAGCACCGGGGCAGAAATGCATTTTGGCACCACCACCCCCCAAACTGTAGAATTTATTTTTGTCTCACTCTTGACAAATACCTCCTGCGCTGAAACATTGGATGGTTATTCTGTCCTCCTTTCACTAATTAGGTAAATATTTATACAGCAATTAACAGACTTGTTTTTCTTTTTTGATCTAAGCTTTTGTTACAGCTTATCATTTATTTTTCATTCTCCTTAGTTTGGTGTACTATATAAATATGAAATATGCATAATAATTTATACTAATGTAATGAATTGTTTGTATATCAACTGTTTGATTATTGCTTCTCTATGGGTGTATATAGATCACTTTGGAACATGTTTTATTATTGATCATATAATAAAATGTATTTTTTATTGTATATAGGAGTGCGGATATTTCCTTGATATATAACTATTTATATATTATCAAGGGGTGTTTCCTATACCCTTTGGATCCAGTCTACTACTTATTTTAATTAAAAAAAAAAAAATTCTATCACAGCCAGCATTAACCCCTTAAGGACACAGCTTCAGAAGCTTGACTTACGCTTAATGACACAAGCAATTTTTGCATTTTCTTGCTGTTTGCGTTCAACTGCAATTTGCATCTCTCTCATTTATTGCACCGACACATATTATATACTGTTTTTTAAAGGACAGAAAGGGCTTTAATTTGATATAACATATATATATATATATATATAAATGCTTACTTATTATAAAAAAAATACAGAAAAATGCAAAAAAAATGAAAAATATTGTTTTTTTTTACAGTTTTTGCAATAATAATGTGTGCATAATTAGTGCAGGTTAAGGAAAGTAATTAAAAATAAATTTATTTATTTGTTCTGATTTACAGAATATATAATGTGTCTGGGATTTTAAGTTTTTTTTGGTAGTTACAGGTCACAAAGCACAAGGAGTAAAATAAACTTTTAATGTGGAGTGATTTTAGAATTTGGTATGTTTGTCTTGTAAGCTTAATAGCCATAAAAGAAAACAAAATTGCCACACAAAAGTATATATTTATATAAAGTAGACATCACGGGCTATTTACCTAAGGTTGTTTTGACACTTTCTACGTAGCCATTTCACCGCCAACCTCTGCTAAATATTGGAGTAAAATTGTGTTCTTTTTGGTTTTTGGCACACAAACTTATAACAGAGAAATTCTCGTGTATATTTTGTAAAATTGGTGTGTGCTATTCCTGTACAAAGTTTTATTTTGTGTTTAGTTACATCTGCTGAGTAAAATGACACCCCCATTGTATGTCTTTTGCACTATTTCGTGAAGTTACAGTGCCATACAGGATACCTGTCCTTTTCAGTATTCACAGTAGAATTTTGAGAGATGGATTTAATGAGCCTTAGCTTCCATTTTGGGGTATTATAACAGTTTGGCTGTTCAAAACCCCCCACAAAGGCCTACCATTTGTAAAAGTAGACACTCCAGGGTATCTTATAAGGTGCATATTGTGCCTTAACATGCCCCCATTTTTTCACCAATATATGCCAAAGTATGTGGTAAAAAATAATTTTGTGCATTTTTTACATACGGATTGCATTTTTGCTGGGCGTTTTGTATATTTCATATGTGCCACTAAGTTCAAACCCCCCAAATTATGCTCAGCTAAGTCTTCTGAGTAAAATGACACCCCATATGAATGTCTTTGGCACTATTTCGTGAAGCTACAGTGCCATATAGGAGACCAAGCCATATCCGTTTTTACCAAACTTTGAATTTTGACGCTGGGCCTATGTGCAATTTCCAAGCATCTTCGCAGGTTTTAAATTCAAACTACCCCACAAAGGCCTACCATTTCTTAAAGTAGACACCCCAGGGTGTTTCAAAAGGTATAGTTTGAACCTTAGCGTGGGATCATTTTTCCGCTAGCTTGTACCAGATGTAGTGGTAATAAGCGTTTTTTCTGCCTTTTTGACATACAAAGTGAGTTTGCACAGTATATTTTGCAAACCTTATGTGTGCTACGACTGTATAATACTTCATATGTTGCTCAGCTATGTCGGCTGAGTACAGCAATACCCCCGTATGTACCTTTGCCAGGTATGTGTGGACATCGGAGGGGCACATTTGGGACACAGCCATTCCAGTTTTTTTCAAACTTTGAATTTTTATGCTGTGCCTATGTCCCATTTTAGAGTATTTTACCAGGCTATATAATCCAAATTCCCCATAAAGCCATACCATTTCTTAAAGAAGACATCCCAGGGTATTTCAAAAGGCATATTTTGAACCTTAGCGTGGGATCATTTTTCCGCTAGCTTGTACCAAGTGTAGTGGTAATAAGCATTTTTTCTGCCTTTTTGACATACAAAGTGAGTTTGCGCAGCATATTTTGCAAACCTTATGTGTGCTATGACTGTATAATACTTCATATGTTGCTCAGCTATGTCGGCTGAGTACAGCAATACCCCCGTATGTACCTTTGCCAGGTATATGTGGATGTTGAAGGGGCGCATTTGAGACGCAGCCATTCAGTTTTTTTCTAACTTTGAAGTTTTACGCTGTGTCCATGTTCCAATTTGGAGTAGTTTAGACGGTTGGTTATTGAAACTTCCCCACAAACACATACTATTTATTAAAGAATACACCCTGGGGTAATTCAAAAGGCATATTTTGAACCTTGGCGTGGGATAATTTTTTCTCTAGTTTGTTCCAGGTGTAGTGGTAATGAGCGTTTTTAAAATGTATTTTTTTACTTTTTATAACTTTTTTACTTTTAAAAACTAGTTTTTAAACTTTTGTTTTGCTTATAAATTTTTTTTAAACTTTCCTAAACTTTCTTAAAACTTTTTTACAGATTTAACATTTTTCTAAGCTTTTTTTTTTACCGTTAACCCCTAACTAGCAGTACGCAGCACTAACAGTAAATTCCCCATTTTCCCATAACTCCCACCCACCCCAGCTAGCAAAATATATAGTTATAAAATATTTAAATTAATTAATTAAATAAATTGAACCCCTGAGGGTTAAAAAAATAAATAAAAGTTAATCCTCAGGGGTTAAAAAAAATTAGATCACAGTATAATACTGTGATCTCTATTTGATCGCTGTAGGCAGTGATCGACTGGCAGGGAAGGGGTTAATTTTTATTTGGACTAGGTAAAGTGTGTTTTTTTTTTTTTTTACTTAAATGTTATTAAAACATTTTTTTAAGCTTAATTTTTAACTTTTTAAAGTTTCTTTTAAAACTTTTAACGTTAACCCCTAGTTAGCCTAACGCCAGATCCCCCAATTCCCCACTAACTTCCACCCACCCCAGCTATCTAAATATATAATGAAAAAATAATTGAATTAATTAATTTAATTAATTTAACCCCTGAGGGTTACAAAAAAAAAGAATTAACCCTCAGGGGTTAAAAAAAAAATCAGATCATAGTAAAATGTAATCCCTGCCAATTGATCACTGTAGTCAGTGATCAATTGGCAGGGAAGGGGTTAATTTTTTATTAAAATGGGTAAGGGGGACTTTAAATAAACTTTATTTTTTTTTCCAGCAGGGGGCAGGATCAGCACTGATCCGGCTCCCTGCACTTCACACAGAACCCGGAAGTGCAGGGAGCCGGTAGGTGAGTATACTGAGCACATGTGCTCGCTCCGACTTGTGGTCAGAGCGAGCACATGTGCTGGGCAGCTTGACCGGGTGCTCCCGGTATGCCTCCAATGCAGAGGCATACCGGGAGCACCATTAACCCCGCGATCGCCGCGATAGCGGCGATCCGGGGTTAATTTTACCGTGTGACGGACGAGGTCCGTCACCCGTCGTTAAGGGTCTCCCCTGTGTGACGGACCTCGTCCGTCACCCGTCCTGAAGGGGTTAAGTTTATCAGCAGTTTGAGCTACAGTACCTTCTCTGTGTGATTGGACAAGACTGGTTAGACTTTGCTCCCAAGTGCATCAATAAAACTTGGGTGCCCATGACCCTGATACCAGTTCACAGGCTTCCCTTCTTTGAACCAATTTTGCTAGGTACTAATCACTGCACACCGGGAGCATTCCACAAGACTTGGCATTTTGTAGACGATCTGATCCAGTTGTCTAGCCATCACTATTTGGCTCATGTAAAGTCACTCAGATATTTTTGCTTTTCCAGCTGCAATCATGGAATGTAAAGTTGACTGCTATAAAGCTAACAAAATCAGAATACAAACTATTATTTTTATGGAGACTCTTGAACCTGACATCTTGTTGAACAACATAAACACAATGGTTTACTAGAGCCTGGTATTTCAAACATTGACATTGTTGTACAATTACACCAAAAACGCTATGAATGAATTGGTGTAACTTTGTAGTGACACCAATAATTAAAAGATTCGGACCCACAGAAACCACAACACCATTTGCTTTTCATGCATACCTAGAGTGTAAGGTCTCACTAGAAGAGCAACACCAGTAATTTAATTAACACTTCCAATGCCACAACATTTGCTTTTTCTGTTGCTTAATAGGGCTCAAAATGTCTATTTCCCCACTAGCCCAAGGTGAGTGCAAATGCATTTCTGGAAAATAAAAATTTAACACTGGTTTGTGTGCCATTGACCCTCCAGAGTTGAAGAGGCAATTAACTTTTTGGCCAGTCGAGTAGCATATAACTTATAATTTCAAGCACTGAAATTAATACATGCTATGGTCTGTGATACCCCAAAATGTAATTTGAAAGACACAATCAGCTTATTTACACAGAGCAAGTTGATGGTCTCTACAATAAAACAGGTAGGGATCTAAGGAGTGGTCTCATACCCATTCCTTTACTTGGTGGGCTCTTGAGTGGTGGTAATCTTTTCACAGGGGCCAGAGGTTCATCTGCCCCCTGCCATGTATGTGTTAAGAGGGCCAGATAATAGACAGTTTCCTGACTCTGATGATATGATGAGGACCAAGGGATGCCCAATTACCTGGCCCATGAGGGATTAATATTTAAAGCACTGTTTCAGAATGGAATATATATATATAGTTACATAGCTGAAAAGAGACTTGCGTCCAAGTTCAGCCTTCCTCACATTTGTTTTTTGCTGTTGATCCAAAAGAAGGCAAAAAAACCCCAGTTTGAAGCGCTTCCAATTTTGCAACAAGCTAGGAAAAAATTCCTTCTTGACCCCAGAATGGCAGTCAGATTAATCCTTGGATCAAGCACTTATTACCCTACATTGAAAGATTATATCCTTGAATATTCTGTTTTTGCAAGTATGCATCTAGTAGCTGTTTGAACATCTGTATGGACTCTGATAAAACCACTTCTTCAGGCAGAGAATTCAACATCCTTATTGTTCTTACAGTAAAAAAACTGTTCCTTTGCCTTAGATGAAATCTTTTTTCTTCCAGTCTAAACGCATGATTTCATGTCCTATGTAAAGTCCGGTTTGTGAATAGATTTCCACACAATGGTTTGTATTGGCCCCGAATATATTTGTATAATGTTATCATAATCCCTCTCAGGCAATGTTTTTCTAAACTAAATAGGTTTAAATTTGTTAACCTTTCTTCATAGCTGATATGTTCCATTGCTTTTATTAATTTTGTAGCCCGCCCCTGTACTTTTTCTAGTGCCATAATATCCTTCTTTAGAACAGGTGCCCAAACTTGCACAGCATATTCAATATGTGGTCTTACCAGTGATTTATAAAGAGGCAAAATGATATTCTTGTCCTGAGAATGAATGCCCTTTTTCATGCATGACAATACCTTACTGGCCTTGGCCACTGCTGATTGACATTGCACATTGTTGCATAGTTTGTTGTCTATAACAATTCCCAAGTCCTTTTTGTCTGTTGTTATCCCTAATTCGCTTCCATTAAGGGTATTCGTTGCTTGTGTATTCTTTACGCCGAAGTGCATAACTTTGCATTTTTCAACAATAAATTTCATCTGCCATTTGAGTGCTCAGTCCCCCAGTCTATCTAAATCCTTCTGCAGCAAAGTAATATCTTGCTCACATTGTATTATTGTACAGAGTTTTGTGTCATCTGCAAACACTGAAACATGACTTTCAATGCTGTCTTCAAGATAATTTATAAACATGTTAAATAGAAGGGATCCCAGAACAGACTCCTGAGGGACACCACTTGCCACCTCTGTCCAGCTTGAAAATTTACCATTAATGACAACTCTTTGTAATCTGTTTTTAAGCCAATGTTCTACCCAAGAACAAGCATTTTCATCTAGACCGATTTCCTTGAGTTTGAACACTAATCTATTGTGTGGAACTGTATCAAATGCCTTGGCAAAATCCAAATAGATCACATCCACTGCAACACTCTGATCTCTTCTTCGTAGAACGCAATCAAGATAGTTTGACATGACCTGTGCTTCATAAAACCGTGCTGATTTTTGCTGATAACCATGTTCTCCTCAAGGAATTCTTTTATATATATATCTCAAAGGCCAGGGGATGCCCAATCTGCTGGCCATGAAAGATCCTAGATACAGTAAAACATAACTATCCTACTTACAGTAATAGTAATAAATATGAGCCCAAATATTCTAAAAAAAATAAAACAAATATGAAAAAAATTATACTTACCTATTAAAGTATTGAGTGAAGATTCAATAATAACCCTAAACAACTAAATAAAATAATAAAAATTAGGGGAAAAAAACCCACTAATCTAAAAAATTAAGATTCTATTTATGGTCACAAATGTCTTTACATAAACCTTGCCCTGAATTAATCCATTGGATAATATGGGTTTTATCTCCTATTAAAGGAGCACTATAGGGTCAGGAACACAAACAGGGTTAAAACCACCATCTAGCCCCTCCCCCCCCCGTTCCCCTCATGCCTCCCTAAATATAGCAAAATATTACTTGTATTCAAGCCTGAAGCTGCTGGCTTTGTCCCTGTTTCCTTTAGACCTGCCCACTGCCTGCTGACATGAGCAGAAGTGGTTGTCTGATCCAATCACAATGCTTCCCAATAGGATTGGCTGAGACTGACAAAGAGGCAGATCAGGGGTAGAGCCAGAAGAATTCAAACACAGCCCTGGCCAATCAGCATCTCCTCATAGAGATGAATTGAATCAATGCATCTCTGTGAGGAAAGTTCAGTGTCTGCATGCAGAGGGTGGAGACACTGAATGTTTGGATGCATTTTAGGCAGCCATGACCCAGGAAGGATCTCTAACAGCTATCTGAGGAGTGGCCAGTGAAGTTATCCATAGGCTGTAATGTAAACACTGATTTTTCTCTGAAAAGACAGTGTTTACAGCAAAAAGCCTGAAGGTAATGATTCTACTTACCAGAACAAATTCAATAAGTTGTAATTGTTCTAGTGGCTATAGTGTCCCTTTAAGCTCCACTGTTATTGTGTTTATGGGACATCTTTTATCTGGCTCTCCACACTATTAAATGCATGTTTACAAAATTACTACATTCACCAACCTAGAGCCAAATAACTGCACCAGCACTATCCCTGTCAGATGAACAGTGGTTCCTAATATTCCTAATTGTGCATATCATCAAAACTATATCTTATAGGACCGACTGAGTCTGCTTTTCTCTCTTTTTATCACAAAGATTTAGTGTACTCTATCCAGGCACCTTTCATGCATGTTTCTATTTGTTTTTTCATTGGAATTCTTTCTAATTTAGCTGATAATGCTTAATCTTGGGCTTTACTCTGGCCAAAGATTATGTGGTCTTCTCTCTAGGGTATTATTAAAACCCTTTTTGTAATTTTGTTATTATTATGCACAGTTTAGATTTATGCACTTTTGCATATCAACTGATTCAATTTTTCCTTTTATGTTTATGTACATAGTTTACGCAACATTTATTTTATTGTTAATTTTGTTTGCTTTCACTATAACATATATTTTATTTAATTTCCATGCATTGTGCATTGGATACACATTTTGCTATATTGCCCTAATTTTCGAATTATTATCATTATTTATTTAATCTATTACTTTATGTATCTATTTATTTATTTTGCCTTATATAGGCCTTTTTGCTTTCAATATTCAGACTTCGTATCCCACCAATCTCAGTGCTCTGATAAGCAAGTACTCTATATATACTATACATGTTACTAGACAATTATTTACATATTACAGGAGAAGTCTTTTGTTCATCAAAAAATAAGCACCGGTCCTATTAAACCATTTCCCCCCCACCCCCCCTCCGAAAGTGTATGGAGGAGTAAATGGTGAGGGTCACTTGTCAGTCACCCTGCCCAGTTTTCTTAGGATTCAGTAACACACACATGCGCACACACACACACACGCACGCACAGACACACACACACTTTTATGTATGTATTTGCCTGTTTCATTGCAATAGAAAGCTATTGTTGTTTCTCTGTAATTACATGAGGGTGTGACAAAGACATTTAGTAGTTGGCTTTTCCTTTCTCATTTTCAAAGCTACAGGGGAGATAACTCCACTCCACTGCAGCACTGAAAGGTTTAATGCTATATGGTGCTTGCTTGAGTTCCAGCTTGAGTTCCAGCTGGGGTAATACAAACTCCACCATTAATTTTTTTATATTTTTACCTTCTATAGCAAAATAACAGTAACAAAATGTGGCAGTTTGCAGTTATAATTACAGAAATATACTATCTTGCCAGCATCATGTAAAATTGCACTTGGTGGGCAAAAAGTAACACAGTAAAGGAGTTTAAGCATGCGTGGGATAGGCATAAGGCTATCCTAACTATAAGATAAGGCTAGGGACTAACGAAAGTATTTAGAAAATTGGGCAGACTAGATGGGCCGAATGGTTCTTATCTGCTGTCACATTCTATGTTTCTATGTAAAAAGGACAAAGCTGAATTACACTTAGAAGTCAGCCTGTGAGCCCTGTAGTAAACATATGGATCTTTAACCCCTTTCCGACCGCTGACGTTGCTCCCGGTGTGGGGAGACTGCCTGACAGCCCAGGCAGTCTCCCTGCAGCAAATTAAGACAAATTAAGACACATGATGGTCACAATAGGTGTCCATGTATCTAACTACATATTGTATATTATATATATATATATATATATATATATATATATATATATATATATATTTTATTATAAAATACAAATAATAAGTACATTTGAATAAATTTCAAAATGTAAAAATAATGTAAATTTTTTTTTTTAAAGTATATATATATATATGAAATTTTATTCTAACTGTATTTTGATATTAATATATATATATTTATATGAAAATACACTTGGAATGAAATTATATATACATCTATGTATACAAAATATATATATATATATATATATATATATATATAAAACCATATACATAATTACATAAATAATTTCATAAATATACACAGAGACTTCAAATATATAAATATGCATATATATTTAAATTCTACATGTGTATTTATGTAATATTTTTACATAATCAAGTAATTTTATTAATTGCAATTTGAGGGACCTGCCTGACAACCCTGGCAGAAAGTCCATAGAATTTCATTTGCTAGAACTGTATTTAACCCTGTACTTTCTATGACACCCTAAAACCTGTACATGGGGGGTACTGTTTTACTCGGGAGACTTTGCTGAACACAAATATTAGTGTTTCAAAACAGTAAAACATATCACAGCAATGATATTGTCAGTGAAAGTCAGTGAAAGTGACTTTTTTTGCATTTTTCACACACAAACGGCACTTTCACTGATGATATAATTGTTGTGATACGTTTTACTGTTTTGAAACACTAATATTTGTGTTCAGCAAAGTCTCCCGATCATAACAGTACCCCCCCATGTACAGGTTTTAAAGTGTTTTTGTGTTTTTGAAAGTTACAGGGTCAAATATAAGGGTCAAATATTTTTACATTGAAAATTGCCAGGTTGGTTATGTTGCCTTTGAGAGCGTATGGTAGCCCAGGAATGGGAATTACCCCCATGATGGCATACCATTTGCAAAAGAAGACAACCCAAGGTATTTCAAATGGGATATGTTCAGCCTTTTTTAGTAGCCACAAACACTGGCCAAAGGTAGCGTTCATAATTGTTTTTTGCAATTTTAACACACAAACAAATATAAATGCTAACCTAACTTTGGCCAGTGTTTGTGACTAAGTGGCTACTAAAAACGACTGGATATACCCCATATTGAATACCCTGGGTTGCCTACTTTAAAAAAAATATGTACATGTGGGGTGTTTTTCAGAGATTTATGACAGATAACAGTGTTACAATGTCACTATTGATACGTTACAGCAATATCCTACTTGTACTTATAGCCCTATAACATGCAAAAAAAAGCAAAAAAGCATGTAAACACTGGTGTTTTTAAACTCAGGACAAAATTTTGAATCTATTTAGCAGTTTTTTTCATTAGCTTTTGTAGATGAGTAAAAGATTTTTCAAGTAAAAGTAAAAAAAATTAATTTTTTTAAATTTTTCACCTTTTTTTTTAAATTAAATTAAATTATATGACATGATAGAAATAATGGTATTTAAAGAAAGCCCTTTTATATATATATATATATATATATAAATTGTATGGGAACAGTAAATGAGAGAGAGGAAAATTACAGCTAAACACAAACACCACAAAAGTGTTAAAACAACCCTGGTCCTTAACATACAACATGGCCAAAACAGTCCGTTCCTGAAGGGGTTAAACTAACTTCCAAGTGTAGCTCCTTTTTAACAGCAGCGTGGCTCTTTATGGCACTTATTGAATTTAGTGTAAAGTATGCAGTTAATGAAATCAAAGAAAAGGCAAAAGGAAGTGAAAGTAGCTCATTGTTAGCACCAATACCTGAAGATACAATCTCCCTGGGTGAGAGCACGGTTAGATATGAGATGTTGACCAGCAGATAGAACACAATCACTGCAGTTATGGACGTGAATACTGTGCGGGGAATGTTCTTGCTTGGTTGTTTTATCTCCTCTGGAAAACAAAAAAGAATCAATGCAAATCTAATACTGTTTTCGAGTAATAGAAAATTATTTTTCCATTAACATTCTACAAGTTCCGTGAGAGGTACTTTAAGATATAATAACCACTTAATACAACATGTGCTAAAAGATGTATACATCATGTACATCCAATCACAAATATACTAAGTCTAAGCACCAAAATCCCCCCTCAACTTAATAAAGTGGTTTTGGTGCATGAATTATGCCCCTGCAGTCTTGCAGCTCAGTTGTTAGCTATTCAGAAGCCATAACCAACTCATTGGCTGTTAAACACACAGTCTCATATTTCCCAAAAAGATATATCCATATAGACCAGGCATAGGCAACCTTCGGCACTCCAGATGTTTTGGACTACACCTCCCATGATTCTTTGCCAGCATTATGGGTGTAAGAGCATTATGGGGGATGTAGTCCACAACATCTGGAGTGCCGAAGGTTGCCTATCCCTGATATAGACCATAACTTACTTGGGATCTTTCTTAAATCCCTTAAATCACAGGGAGAAGCAACTAATGCAGACATAACATATTACAATATAATAAAATCTTGAAGAAATAGCTGAGAAAGTGGTAAACGATCTGAAACTCTATAATATATATATATATAAAAAAGTGGTGCATTAGTATAACACTCTACAATCTTATTAGTGGGTAATGCTGTATGCACTTAAACATACAGGGTATGGTAGTATTATTATGAAAATAAAAATAGTGTGGCCGTCCCAATCCTTTTATCTACTGGTTTCCACTATTTATTTTCTCTCATTTATTTGTCCATGCATGTTAAAAATTAAACAATGTTTATTAAACTGGTGCACTGTAAAAAAAACCTGGTTAACCCAATTTCTTACGCGATGTCTCACTCATTCAGTCAATGTTTCTATTGATTTGGAATTAGTCCATGGTGCTTTATAGTTTGGGGAAATTTAGAATTTTTAAACAACATTCAGATGAACCATAAAATTAAAAAACATAAAAATTGGCCAATTAGTGTACTACAAGCTATATGTATACTTTGTATATATTGAGCAGTACACCACACGGCTCATTTTTGCACCATTTTTCTCACAGATCAGGTAAGAATAAGGGGAAAAAAGGGGGGGGGGAAGGTGGAAGAGTAGCAAATATATCTATTAGATAATTTATAGCAATTCTCACTTCATCTGTGAAAAAAATAAACATTAAAGGACCACTATAGACACCCAGACCACTTCAGCTTAATGAAGTGGTCTGGGTACCTGGTCCAGCTAGGGTTAACCCCTTTTTTTTTATAAACATAGCAGTTTCAGAGAAACTGCTATGTTTATAAATAGGTTAATCCAGCCTCTAAAGCCTCTAGTGCAGGGGTTCTCTATCCAGTCCTCAAGGACCCCCTACCATCCAGGATTTAGGGATTACCCTGTTGTGTCTAAAGTGTCCCACTCCCCCAAAAACACATTAGACACAGCAGGGACATCCTTAAATCATGGACAGTTTGGGGGTCCTTGAGGACTGGGTTGAGAACCCCTGCTCTAGTGGCTGTCTCTTTGACAGTGATCTCTGCCCCTCTCCCTCTCCTCTGTAGCATTTTGAGAGGGAGAGAGAGAGACAGAGATCGGGATATATTGTTGCCAGAAGTGTTCCAAACTGTATTACTGTAAAAAGAAAAAAAGATTCCTGCCAAATCCTGTTACAGCTGTGCATTTGTACTGTCTGTATTTATTTATTTATTTGCCCTTATTGGTTATTTTTTGTTAAAAAGCTGTGTATTAGGCAGTTTAAGTCGGTTTTAGTCAGTTGTAGTAATTTTAGCATAGGGTTAGGTAGACTGTAAAAAAAAAATGTAAAACAATTTTGTGTTAGTAATTTGTTAGTTTAGTCAGTTAGATAGGTAGTTAGTTAGGAAGTGTGTTGGTGAAATATGCAGCGTATGTACAGCTTGGATGAGGCATATGCCCTTCTTGGCGTCAGACTCTGACGCTGACGCCACTGACACTGCGACCGATTTTGACCCAGGTCCGTTTTCTGACACGTCTAGTGACACGTCATCTGTAAAAAGAAGTTGTGCTTCCCCTGCTACGCCGACTCTCGAAGAGGAGTGGGTACCTCCACAGTTAGCTGAGCCAACATCCCCCCTTTTAGTGCCAACTCAGGTATTAATGTCAATGTGCATGACTTCTCCCCTATGCAATATATGGAGTTTTTCTTAGGGCATACCATCCGGAAGGAGATTGCTTCCCAGACTAATCTATATGCTACCCAATTTATTAATACCAATCCGGGTAGCTATGCAGTCAGGGAACATGCTTGGCATCCCACATATGTCCCTGAACTGAAAAAATTCTGGGCTCTTACTATGCTGATTATAAACAAGCCATCAATTCTCTCTTACTGGAGCACCAACCCTATCTGTTCTAGTCCAGTGTACTCCCAAACCATGGATATGAGTTGCTGCTCTGCTTTTTACACTTTAATGACAATACCCTCTGTCACCCCAGAGATCACCCCCAATATGATAGGCTTTATAAAATACGCCCACTGGTAGACCATCTTCAGCACAAATTTTCTGAAATTTACACCCCCCAACAAAATATATCAAATAATGAATCTTTAATGAAATATAAAGAGAGATTAGGATTCAAACAGTACATCCCCTCAAAGCGTTCTGGATATGGCGTAAAATTATAAAAAAAGGTGCGAGAGTGAAAGTGGCTATACATTTGCCTTTCGCGTATATGAGGAAGAAAGACTGTCAACTGGATCCTCCTGGCTGTCCTGACTTTCTGGGGCAAGTGGGAAAATTGTTTGGGACCTACTGATCCCCTTGTTCAATAAAGGTTATCACCTTTATGTGGACAATTTCTATAGCAGTGTCTGTTTGTTTCAAACATTTATGGTTTGCAGACACTGGCCTGCAGCACTGTGCGAAAAAATGCAAAAGATTTCCACAGACCTCTCATACAGGCCCAATTTTTTTTTTTTTTTTTTTAAAAGGTGAAAGTTATGTGCAAAGCTGAAGTGTTAGCAATAAAATTTAAGGACAGGAAGGATGTTAACATGCTAACCACCATCCACTACGAAACAATGTCAGACGTCACTGTACGAGGCAGAGTACAGACCAAACCTGTTTGCATTAGGGCTTATAACAGGCACATGGGGGGTGTTGATTTGGCTGATCAGCTGATGCAGCCATATCTGATTTTAAGAAAGACAAAAGCCTGGTGTAAGAAGGTGACTATCTTATGCAACGCATAATTCACCTTTCTTCAATTTCAGCTCAAGCTGATTTCAGCAATAATTTATGAAGGTGGTCAAATTCCAACAACAGTGCTAGAGGAGTCCAGAATTGGTGCTACACATTTTATTTTCAAGATAACACCAACTGAAAAAAAAAAGCCAATCCCAGAAACGTTGCCGAGTCTATTAGGGAAAAGGACAGACACCCCCTTTTACTGTCCCGATTGCCCTTCAATACCTGGACTGTGTATTGGAACTTGTTTTAGGCTCCACCACACAGAATACACCTTTTAATATACCTTTTTTTAATACTTGTTCCTCATCTTTTTACTTTGTGTGTTTTGAAAGCAACATATTTCAGTTAGTTTCCTTCCCCCAAATATGCAGTTAGATTCTTTTTGCAGGAGTTAGTTTAGAGATTACTGCTAAAGGTGCATTTGATACCTGTACAAAAGTTTGAAAAAGTTAAAACATTTTCTGGCAGTAACTTTTAACCAGCTGGCCAAAATCTAAAAGCAATATGTGCATAAAAACAGAATTCAAAAGTTATCACCACACACTTTCTCTGAATTTTTCAGGCAAAATGGTTGGGGGAAAGAAGTCAAAACACCCCATTTTCTATAACCTTGGATGTCTACTTTATAAAAATATATAATTTCAAACCATAAATTCAACTTAGGGGATGTAAAAATGAACCACACTCAACATGTGCCTAGCAAAGCAAGCAAACTATATTCAGCCAAAATGGCAAGTCCAAAATTTGTTACTGTAAAATCGTGGCAAACCAATGCATGGGGAACATAGGCGTACTCAGGGGACTTTGCAGAAAACAAACTGGAGTGTTTTCCGGCAGCAACATATAACCAGGTGGCTAAAATCAAAAAGCAGGATTCAAAAATTACCACCATGCACTTTCTCTGAAATTTTCTTAGCACAATGGTTAGGGGAATGAAGTTAAAACACCCTATATACAATACCCTGGCATGTCTCTACTTTATAAAATTAAATACTTTCATGATAGTAACCTTGACTGGGGGATGCAAAAATACACCAAATTGAAGATAGGCCAAGCATACCTATATATATGGTTGATTATATATTTCCTGCCTGTTCTATGTTAAATTTTGTATATATTGTGCATTAATATTGTTTTTGTATTTTGTTGTACCTAATGTAACAATGCAATGATTTGTGGACCCAGGACATACTTGAAAACGAGAGAAATCTCAATGTATCTTTCCTGGTAAAATATTTTATAAATAAATAAATAAATATCAAGGTGAAAAAAAAACATGCACAAGTCTCGATCGTGGCCCTTTAGCCCCCAAACAACCCAGCAAACCTATGCATGGGTGGTATCACTGCTGTACTCAGGAGATGTTGCTGAACACATTTTGGGTTGTAGTTTGGCAGTGACACATAACAGGATCTATTAATTCATGCCTAAAGTACAATGTGTGTGAAAAAAAAACACACAAAAAATTACTACCCAAAAGTTTGACAAAGGCTGGTGGTAAATTCAGCATTTGAAATACCCTGGGTTGTCTACTTTTCAAAAATATATGGTTTGATGGGGGTAAAATACATTGGCCAGCTTCACAAATGCCCCAAATAGGACATGGGAGCAGGTTGACTACATATCAAGATTCCAAGTTGGAAAATGGATATGCGCACCTGCCAAATGTGGCCTTTTAGCCCCCAACCAAATCGACAAACCTATACATGGGTGGTATCACTGTACTCAGGAGATATTGTTGAAAACATATTAGTGTGTTTTGGCAGCAACACATAACAGAATCTGTGAATTTATACCTGAAGTGCAATGTATGGGGAAAAAAATCAAACAAATAAACTACCTATGTAAAGTTTGCAAAGATTGGTGGTAAAATTAAAGCATAGAAAGTGTCAAAATATCCTTAAATGAATACCCTGGGTTGTCTACTTTAAAAAAATATGTACATGTGGGGTGTGATTCAGAGATTTATGACAGATAACAGTGTTACAATGTCACTATACATTTTTTAAATATATATTTTGAAACAGCAATGTCCTACTTGTATTTATAGCCCTATAACGTGCAAAAAAAAGCACAAACACTCAGTGTTTTTAAACTAAGGACAACATTTTTAATCAATGTAGCAGTTTGTTTCATTAGCTTGTGTTTTTAGTACTTAAACACTCATACATACTCAATTAAAAAAAAAGAATGTGTATACATACCAGCGAGGTAATTCAAATAGGACCAGCCCCCAAATGCATGAAGACCTTGATAGAATGACTCTGCAATTTGTGCTGCATTAGGAACTTGACCGTTGAAAGCATCTTTAAAGTTTTCTGAATTGCCTTTATCTGTCACAAGTAGTACAAGTCCAGAAATCACAATTAGACTCAGTGCCATCATTTTCAGCACAGTAAATATATTCTGCACCCAAGTTGCCATCTTTACACTCATAGTATTTATGATTCCTAGAACCCAAAGGATGCCAATGGCTATTATTTTCTTCAGAAGGTCTGGTACTGGACATACAGAATAAAATGGCTTGGTGACATATTCTGCAAAAGTTAGGGAACAGGCTGCATTGGATGCAGGCATTGTAAACAATGTTAGAGTCCAGATAAAGATGAAAGCTGGTAGAGATCCAAGTCCTCGATTTATATGAAAGTATTCCCCTCCAGTATATGGCAATGCGGAACCCAATTCTGCGTAACAGAGGGAACACATCATGCTCAAGACTCCAGAAGCAGCCCATATACATAGAGCCACGCCAACATTTAGCTGCGAATATTCCAGAACTCCTGTAGGAGATACAAAAATCCCAGCTCCTACAATGCTCCCAACCACAAAACACACACTATCAAAGTACCCTATAGATCTTTTCAAATGAACCCCTTTATTTAGTTCTCTACCACTGTCTTTCTCTTGCTTTGACATCTTTTGAGTTTTTTGTTGTTTTACCAGTGATGCTTTACCTTAAATGACAGTCTCTGTTTTTCAGTATAAATATATCCAGTGTATACATAGCTTTCCCATTAAACCAACTTGACAAAATTCATCACATATTAAACTTGAAAAAAAACCACAATTTTCTCTACAGTAAGTGCAACATTTAAATATATTTACATATGTTACAGTGTGGGAGAAACAAAGTGTGAAAGTGAATTCATTATAGCTAAATGATTAAAAGTTATTTTTATTTATTTATCTTAATGGGAAAAAAGAATAAAGCAAAAAAGAGCCCTTTTTTTAATATTGATCTTTCAGATATTTAGTATAACACAGTAGATGCTCAGTTAGAAATTCTGTGAAATAGAAATTACACACTGTCTGTAGTAAGCTACAAAGAAGAAATTGCTTAGTAAATGTTTTACTTGGTTAAATAAGAGGTCTGACAGTTCATGTAAGGAAACAAAGGATATGGTTCTCATTTATTTACTCTTTTTATTTAGTCTAACATTATTATATAAAATGACTGTCAAATGTCCTTGTCCTTAAAAGCCCTCACCTCTCCCCCCTACTCTGGATCGATTATAGTGTTTGGTTAATGCACAGTATGGTGTATTTAACTATTTAATGCTCAAAAAAACTAAAACAAAAATTACAACTTGGAAATGTATAACTGTGCTCTTTTAACTGAATTGTGTTACAAAATAATTTAAACACCTGAAATTAAACACAAGTTCAAGTTTACATTTACAAGGAAATGCTCACTTCTGAGAATTCCGTGAAATGGAAATATGTATTGTCTGGTTACGAGAAAGGAGAATGCAAAGCAAATTGTTTTTTGTTTTTTTATTTGGTTAACCCCTTAAGGACCAAACTTCTGGAATAAAAGGGAATCCTTAAGGGGTTAAATAAAATGTCCAGCAGACTTCTCTGCAAGGAGACAAAACGTTTCAGGTACTCCTTTATTTAGTCTATTGTTATTTTTAACCAGGTGCCACATATAATTGCAGTTGTTTCAAAAATTAGCTTAGACTTGCCCAGACCAATTGGAAGTTAGGTAATGAAAGTTAAAACATACCCTCTAATTTAATACAATGAAAATGGTGTCTGAAACACTCAGGTGCAGAGATAAGAAAAGCTTTATTAGAGTAAGAAAAAAATATATAAGATTAAAAAATAAGGCCAGACTTTAGTATATCAACAAATATCAGACATATATATTTAAAAAAAAAATGCCATCATTCAAGTCTCCATGAACAGTCCAGAGCAAATTCCAAACAACTGGCGGACATTGGCACTTTTGTTTCGATCGGGACATTGTTTTGAGAGCAGATTATTTTCCCGATCTTTCCAATAATGTAGCGGATTGGAATTTCCAATTCCTAGTGGATTACAGGGATTGGATCCTACCATTTTCCAACGTCTATTTTACCTTTGGGGTCTGTTTCACTACAACCTATTTATATCACATCTCAATTGTCAATTAGAAAAGATTTTTAGTTGGAGTCTGGACCTAGAAGCGATATCAAGATGCATTTTTTCCAAAGTTGGGAAGATAGAGTCAACTATGCATTTGCCCCGTTTCCAATGATATCTCGAGTTCTTCTCAAAACAACACCCAAGACTCATCCAGATGTGTCGGGATTCTCTTCTCGATTCTGGAGGGGAATTTTCATCCTCTGGTAGTATCAGGCCAACTACCTCTAATAGCATCACTTATTTTGCGTCACACTAATCTCATAGAGAGTTTTCAAATTCAACTAAATACAATCTCTCAGAAGCATGTGCACCAGGTACCTGTGCAAATTGGGGATCAGCTTGGAAAATTTGGCTTAATTGGTGCTAGGAACAGGTTGTGGATCCATTACATTCCAATTTAGCTAACATTCTACATTTTTTATCTTTCTCTTTTGATTTGGGTAAAGCTTACTGCACAATTAATGTTTATCACTCAGCTATATCAGCAAATCACAACCCTTTTTACTCTTTTCCTGTGGTCACACATCCTCTAGTCTGCAGTCTTATGAAAGGTATTAGATTTAAATGCCCTCCATGCCTTAAATATCAACATACATGGGATATTACCCTGGTCCTCCAATTAATCGAATCCTGGGACCATAATAATTAATTGTCCCTTTAAATTCCTTTTGTTCAAATTTACAGTTTTGCTTTGCCTCACTTTATTTAAAATAATTTCTGATGTTAAAGCTTTAGACCTAAATATAAGACAATATACTCTGTATGATGTTCTTTTCTCTATTTTTAGATGTACTAAAACTAATCTCTGTTTTTTTTCCAGATAATCCTTTTTTATGTGTTGTAATTTTTTTACAAATGTGTGAGCTGAAAACTTCTAATATAAGAAATTCGAATTTCTCTCAACTACTGATTTATTTTTGTAAACCTTTTTTTTTTCCTGTCTATTCTACATCTTGATCTATGTGGGTAAAACAAACTATGGCTTTAGCAGGTATTGGCATTTCTATTTTCAGAGCTCACTCTTCTAGAGGAGCTACGTCTACTAAAGTCTTTAAGACAGGGGGACCTTTATCAGATTTACTAAAAACGGCAGATTGGTATTCTGAATCTACATTTAAAAGATTTTATTTTAAATCTAACTTGCATGTTCCAGAAGTAATACTGTAATTATATTTAGTATTAATGTATTCTGTATTGTTATTCAGCTTTTAGCATGCATATTATGAGCCTCCTCTTATGGGAATGGTACCGGTTAAAGGGAAACTATAGTCACCAGAACAACTACAGCTTAAAGTAGTTGTTCTGGTGAGTATAATCGCTCCCTTCAGGCATTTTCCTGTAAACACTGCTTTTTCAGAGAAAAGGCAGTGTTTACATTGCCTCTAGGGACACCTCTAAGTGGCACCTCCTTAGATTGCCACTGGAGAGACTTTCTGGCTCAGGACTGCACAGTAAGCATGACTGCTGTTCAGCGTCCCCATGCTCTGCATGAACAGCATGTGGAATCAGGTCGAAACCTGCTGATTCTACTTCACGTCTGGTGACTTGGCTGCAACAGAAGTGATGTGATCAAGAAATAGAACACTGTCTCGACAGCCGTGATGTTGTGAAATGCTGCAATCTGAAAAGTGTGTCACCAACATGAAAAGTTTAGAAATCACTGGTCTAGACTGTGTTGACTTTGTTTATCTTCTGGCCTAGAGATATTGCCAATCAAAGATATTGCATTGTATGAGGCAATGTGTTATTTATATAAAACAAGAGGGGGTTGGCTGTACTCACCTTAACATGCATAAATGGGGGTGCTGCTGGGGGCCAAATAATACAATACACAAGATCCAGCGCACTCACCTATCCACTAAACAGCAACTTCAATGTTGAAAGATTTTATTTGTTTTTTTAAAAACACCTAATCTAGGCAAAAATAATGGGGGTTTAGTTACATTATATGATCATACAGTGCATAAGCCTGCCACAACGTCAATGTACCCCATCTTTGGCAGGTCCTACACTAACAGCCTAATGTCTGCTCTTATGAGATTAACCTACTTGGGGAAAGAAATTCCATCTGGGGCTCTCTGCAGTACAAGGCTAAATAGGGCCCTGGGATGAGGCACCTGTGACAGGGAGGGGTGCAAAACCAAGGAGTTGGCTAGACTCCCAAATATATATAAAACAAGAGGGGGTTGGCTGCACTCACCTTAACATGCATAAATGGGGGTGCTGCTGGGGGCCAAATAATACAATACACAAGATCCAGCGCACTCACCTATCCACTAAACAGCAACTTCAATGTTGAAAGATTTTATTTGTTTTTTTAAAAACACCTAATCTAGGCAAAAATAATGGGGGTTTAGTTACATTATATGATCATACAGTGCATAAGCCTGCCACAACGTCAATGTACCCCATCTTTGGCAGGTCCTACACTAACAGCCTAATGTCTGCTCTTATGAGATTAACCTACTTGGGGAAAGAAATTCCATCTGGGGCTCTCTGCAGTACAAGGCTAAATAGGGCCCTGGGATGAGGCACCTGTGACAGGGAGGGGTGCAAAACCAAGGAGTTGGCTAGACTCCCAAATATATATAAAACAAGAGGGGGTTGGCTGCACTCACCTTAACATGCATAAATGGGGGTGCTGCTGGGGGCCAAATAATACAATACACAAGATCCAGCGCACTCACCTATCCACTAAACATCAACTTCAATGTTGAAAGATTTTATTTGTTTTTTTAAAAACACCTAATCTAGGCAAAAATAATGGGGGTTTAGTTACATTATATGATCATACAGTGCATAAGCCTGCCACAACGTCAATGTACCCCATCTTTGGCAGGTCCTACACTAACAGCCTAATGTCTGCTCTTATGAGATTAACCTACTTGGGGAAAGAAATTCCATCTGGGGCTCTCTGCAGTACAAGGTGCCCTGGGTGCACCTTGAAACAAATGAAATCTTTCAACATTGAAGTTGCTGTTTAGTGGATAGGTGAGTGCGCTGGATCTTGTGTATTGTATTATTTGGCCCCCAGCAGCACCCCCATTTATGCATGTTAAGGTGAGTGCAGCCAACCCCCTCTTGTTTTATATATATTTGGGAGTCTAGCCAAACACTGTCACAGGTGCCCTATATTTAGCCTTGTACCAGAGCCCCTAATCATAAGAGCAGACATTAGGCTGTTAGTGTAGGACCTGCCAAAGATGGGGTACATTGACGTTGTGGCAGGCTTATGCACTATATGATCATATAATGTAACTAAACCCCCATTATTTTTGCCTAGATTAGGTGTTTTTAAAAAAACAAATAAAATCTTTCAACATTGAAGTTGCTGTTTAGTGGATAGGTGAGTGCGCTGGATCTTGTGTAATGTGTTATTTATACTATATGAAATTCCGTGCATAAAAAGACACAATAAAAATATATACAAAAAAAAAAAAAATGAATGTGTATACATACCAGCAAGTTAATTCAAATAGTTCCCCCCAACCGCATATAGACCTTGATAGAATGATTCTGCGATTTGTGCTGCATTAGGACTGACTGTTGACTGTTTGACTGTTGAAAGCATCTTTAAAGCTTTCTGAATAGCCTTTATCTGTCCCAACTAGTACAAGTCCAGCAATCACAATTAGACTCAGTGCCCTCATTTTCAGCACAGTAAATATATTCTGGACCCAGATTGCCACTCCAAGGATGCCAATAGCCATTATTTTCTTCAGAAGATCTGGTACTGGACATCCAGAATAAAATGGCTTGGTGACATATTCTTCAAAAGTCACGGAACAGGCTGCGTTGGATGCAGGCCGTATAAACAATGTTAAAATCCAGATAAAGATGAAAGCTGGCAGAGATCCAAGTCCTCGATTTATATGAAAGTATTCATATGAAAGTAACAGAGGGAACACATCATGCTCAAGACTCCAGAAGCAGCCCATATACATAGAGCCACGCCAACATTAAGCTGTGAAAATTCCAGAACTCCTGCAGGAGATACAAAAATTCCACCTCCTACAATGCTCCCAATTACAAAACACACACTATCTAAGTACCCTAAAGATCTTTTCAAATGAACCGCTCCACTTAGTCCTCTACCACTGTCTTGGCGTTGCTTACTAGCTCCTTCTTTCGATATCTTTGGTTTTTTTGTTCCACCAAGTGAGGCTTTACATTAAATGATATTCTCAGTCGTTCAGTAAAGAATATATGCAGTGAATACATAGCTTTCTTATTAAACAGACTTGGCCAATTGAATCACATATTAAACTTTAAAATAACACAATGGTTTGACAAAGAGCGGCTTGCTGTGACTGGAGTTGACAAGGAATGAGCAGTGTCCTGCCCTCTCTCAGACCAATAGAGGATAAACAAAATCCTCTACCATGGTCTGCAAGGACTTGTTAGAAACAGGGTGAGAGACACAACCAGGGGGGAGTGGGGGGGGAGAGGTGTAGGGGGGGAGAAACTCAGGGTGTTCAAAAAAAAAGGAGAGTGAAATAAATAGCGTATAGAGACACAAAAAAAGTAAAGTAAGTGACACAGGAGGTTAAAAGTTACAGGGGAGAAAGATACACGAGGGTTTAGGCGACAGGAAGAGAAAGAGACACTGGGTGTTTAACACCTTAAGGACACATGACGTGTGACATGTCATGATTCCGTTTTATTCCAGAAGTTTGGTCCTTAAGGGGTTAAAGACACAATTGAAAATAAGAGACACAATCAAAGAGACAAAAAAGGGGGTAAGAGATACAATTGAGCAAAAAGGAGGATAAAATACACTAATGGGCTAAGATAGACTAAAGGGGGTAAAACATTCAAGAGGAGGGGATAAGTTCCAAATGAATTGGCAAAAGATTAAAAAAGGATGTTGAAGATGAAATAAATGAAAATAAAGATGATAAAAGCAGGGATACAAGCCACAAAACGAGAAAGAAGACACAAAAAGGGGGTAAGATACAGAAAAGTACCAAAAGAATGAGTAAGAGGGGCAAAAGTGGAGATAAGAGACACACTGGCCTACACAGTCAAAGACTCATTTTAGAGGGTAGCAAAATGTGTCCTTGCATGTGTAGCCAAAAATCTTTGTATTTTATGACAAATGTTATAAAACATTTATTATAAAAGTGTATTATATCAAGCATATTATGATGTAAAGATAAAAATACTGATTGAATCCCAGACCTTACCCACTCTCTCCTTTCTCTCCACAATTGTACTTCTTTCTTCTAGATTATAACCTTTTAGCTTTAATGGTTCTGGTGACTATATTGTCCATTTAATATTTGACATTCTGAAGAGTGGTGGTTCTGTATGAGAGGAATATTTTGTACTTACTATTGCGTCTGTATGCTACTACAAAATTATTTCAACAAATTTTGAATATGAAAAAGACAATGCTGAACACGTATATCAGCAAAGGGCTAATGACTCATGAGCGAAAAAAGCAATACCACAACATTGTGTAGTTTGTGGATGTACCAGCCCATGATATGACCTAGTGTTTAATCCCAGGCTTCTGCCATCCAACTTCATAAATATGAGGTGAAGTGAATTTGCTAAGTTTTGGTTATTTTTTTTTTAGGTATGATATAAGATGCCATATAGCAATTTTACCAAACCCAGGAATTGTTATTGGGGTTGCCCCCATGGTATAGGCTATGAGAAAGAAAAGACCTGCATTTTTTGTAACCCAATGGTTTCCTTACATAATTTAACACCTTCACTACTTAGTAGGCTCTATTTTGTCTTATGGTATCTCTTGACTGCGTTGGAATTTCAATGTAATTCTAATACTGTCAATATGAGTGTTTCATCAAGATTCTATTTTTATGAAAATCTCATTTTTTTGTGAAGTAACCGAGCCGCTTGAAAAATTATTATATTCACCTCTGTTATCTACTCAGGAGACGTTACGTTTTTTGGGTTAAAGAACAGAAGTGTGTCTTTAGACCTAGTTTATATTTAATGTTCCAGAACACTAGCTAAACATGCATTCTAACTTGGAAATGTATAATTGTGACCTGTTCATAGTGTCTGCTTTCAAGAGAGTAAGCTGCAAAGAAAATGGTTTTAGTAAATGTTTTACTTGTTTAAATAAAAGGTTTGACTGTTAAATAATGACAGTAAAATGTCATTAAAAATCCTCAATCCTCCCACCTACTCAGGATTCATTATGTTGTTATACCTCCCAAGTGTCCCTATTTTTGGTCCAAATCCTATTTTTTAAACCAGTATACCTCTTCTCTAGGAGCTTGATATTGTTGTTGTGTCTTAAGAGTAACTACAATAAATGTATTTCTCAATTTGTGTATATAGGATACATTGTTCTTCTTCATTACAATTTAGTTGCAAAAATTGCTATTAGTAAGCCACCTAAAATTGCTCAGAACAACCCCACCCCTGGCCACACCCCTAGAATTAAAATGTCCCACTTTCCCCATTTGAAATGTCAAGAGTTATGTTTTTTGGTTAATGCACAGTAGAATGTCTATAGATGGAATTCAAATTTAATTGTTCAAAACAATTAACAAAACACAAATTACAACTTGTATTTGTATAACAGTGCTCTTGTCAACGCAATTGTATTACAAAATAATTTATACACCTGAAATTAAACACAAGTTGGAGTAATATTTGAAATATAAAGTCCAGCAGACCTCTACAAGGAGACAAAAAGCTTCTGTCACTCTTATTATTATTGTTATTTTATTATTTATTTTATTATTGTTATTTTAAACCAGGTGCCACTAGCAGGGACTTACCTAGAGCATTTGACACGTGTGGCGGACCCTGTATTTGACACCCTACCCTCTGCCCTCCTGCTGCCTCCCACTGAGTACACCACTGGCCACATATCATTGTTGGAATATGTCCAAAAATTAGGAGCATTGGGAATGGTAGGTTCTCTATTGCTGTATAATATAGTACAACCAAAACTAGATGAGCATCCGAGGCATATGGAGTACTCCAACACTATTGACAAACAATTTAATTTGTCGTAATTTTTTTAGCTGTAATATTTGCATATACATTATAATACTTTATTTGTGTTAAACAACTAGTTACATATATATATATACATATATATTTATATATATATATATATATATATATATATATATATATATTTATCAAGGGATATGTGTCTTTTAAAAGAACAATGCACAATATGTGTGCAAGGCCGGATTAACATAGGGGCTAATGGAGCTGCAGCTCCAGGCCCATGGAATAGGCCCATTGTAAAAATTAGTATTTTTTAACTACCTTTTGTGTTTGTTTTTTACTACTTTGTGTTTGCGCACTATGCAAATGCTATAGCTGCTTCAGTCTCGCTAACACTTTGGCATGTTCCCTTTCTTCTACACTCACTAAATACACATTTTCCCTGTTCCAGACTATATACTAGGAGCTTTTGCCTGCTAGTAAGAAGGTAAGGAGAGGAGTGGACAAGTGAGTGTTAGGTCCTAGTCCCTAGAAAGCGTAGAAGCAGGGTTAGGCAACCTTCGGCACTCCAGATGTTGTGGACTACATCCCCCATAAAGCTCTTACTCCCATAATGCTGGCAAAGCATCATGGGAGGTGTAGTACAAAACATCTGCAGTGCCAAAGGTTGTCTATGCCTGGCATAGAGTTAGCGCACTATTAGACACATTTATGCCAAGCTTGGGGTGCTGTCTGCATGGCATACCCTTTGTTGGCCAGCATGCATGATTGGCAGGTGGGCTGTCATGCATTCACGCCAGTCTGACCTAATTGTTGGGGAAGACACACACCCTTTTTGGGCATATTCTAGTAACGTGATTTGCGTCAGTGGCCCACCCTTTTATCCCGCCCAACAACATTCTGCTTCACCAGACACTGCTGTTAGGGGGTCTGGATTTACTTGAAAGATAAAAGCAAGAGATTAGCATAGGGTATGTGTTTTCTGATAGCTATATCCTGTATTTCCCTTCAGAACCACCTCCGCCAGATACATGACGCTTGTGTGTTATAACTTTTAGTGTTTTCTGTCAATAAGATTTAGTGATTAGGCCCATCAATTGTCAGTACCAGGCCCAATGGGCTCTTAATCTGGCACTGTATGTGTGGGTACACTTAATCAGAGTGCAGAACGTTTTAGTTGAACACATTGCCAAGGGCCTCTCGGAGCTAGAACGAGGTAATTTCAAAGAAATTGTTATGGTGCCCAGAGCTTTTCTTTAAGTAGATTCCACTACTGAATTGCAGTGAATTGAAAAATAGAATTGTAAAATAAAATAAATCAATAAAAAGCTCCAATTATTCCATAGTAACAGTTCTGGAATTTTAGCCTTAAGTTTGTAGTTCAGTTTTGCAATTCAGCGCCATAAGTTGTCAAAAAGTGCAAATTCAAGTTTCTTTGCAATAATTTTAAGTTTTTTTGAACCATAAAAGCCATGAAAAGCAAAACCCCTGTGTTTGCACTTTAGTAATAGCTGCTACTAAAAACTGCAGAGTCAGCTATTAACCATCACCACCCTAAAGCACTTCTACAGAACTACTGAGCAAGCCCTGATACAACCTATCCTGCATGTAAGGGGGGCGGGGAATATTTACACAAGCGGCACGCCCCCTAAACCGATGGGACCTATCAGGTTGCGCATAACAGCCGGAGGGCGTGGCCAGGTACATTGATTGACAGTTCGCTCCTTTTGCAGTCACCAGGAATAAGTAGCAAGTGAGAAAGTCGAAACAGGCACGCTATTGGCCGAATCCCATGTCACGTGTCGCCGCTGGCGTGGTTACGTCACTGGCCGTTTGACTTGGGACGCGGTAGAAAATATTCCAGTGGTATGGGAGCCGTATAATTAGGACACCCCCGCCCCCCCGTTACCGGGGCAACCAAGCGCAACATTCCCTGCCCCTGAGAGGAAGCCGTACAATTAAAGGGGAAAGGCCTGGTATCGGGGTACCATTACAGGCTCTGTGTATTAACCCCTTCATAACCGTCACCAGCCAGGACCAGCACCCCAGAGTGTGAGTGGGGTGACAAGATGGCAGCCGGGGACCCAGAGAGCAGGGAGCTCAGCCTGATGGATAAGCAGGTCTCCAGGTAAGATGGGCGAGCTTATTAACCCCTTAAGGACCAAACTTCTGGAATAACAAGGGAATCATGCCATGCCATGTGTCCTTAAGGGGTTAAACATACCTCATGCATTGTGACCTGGATACCAATTCAGCCATGCTCCTGCTCTGTGAGTTTAATTAATTTATGTATTTAAAAAATAAAATAAAAAATCCATTACACTCAGTTTTTTTGTTTTTTTTTGCTCTTGCTGACTTTTTATGATTGCTCTGGGTTGCTGGCTTATGACCCACCCCATTAGAGCAGTTATAAGGCAGTGTCTCTCCTTTAATGGAATGCACAGTGCTTTCTGTACCATCATCACTGCAATCATGCAAGCTTGTCATGATCCCTAGATTAACCCTTCTAGACCCCCCTTGGACGGGATGGCATGGTACTGTAATTGAGTGATCTACTGCCCACACTAACTCTCAGCCTGGTTGGTGATCAGCTACCATTTAAAGAATGTGTGGACCAGCCCCTTGGACCCAATAAAAATTGAACAGAGGTCAAATTGGTTACTTCTTAGGGCATACTGCGCCATCATACATTGTACTGTAATAGATTTTAATGCTTATTCAGAAACAGAGTTAGATAAAATCCGGCAGGCAGACATACCCAAATGAAAAAGCACTTTGTCATAACAAGCCTTTACTTTAAAGGATCACTATCGTGTCAGGAAAACAAATCGTTTTCCTGACATTACAGCATCCTTAGGACCCACCCTCAGGGTCCTCCTCCCTTGGCGCTGAAGGGGTTAGAACCCCTTCAGCCACTTACCTTTATCCAGCGCCGGGCTCTCTCGACGCTGGTGACCTCTCATCACCCGCCGACGTCAGTTCCCGATTGGAGCCGAATGCGCACATTCAAACAGTCCATAGGAAAGCATTTCTCAACGTTCTGCACGCTGAATGCGAGTTTTGCATCAAGCGTCACAGAAGCGCCTCTATCGGCTGTCAGGAAGACAGCCACTAGAGGCTGGATTAACCCTGCAATGTAAACATAGCAGTTTCTCTGAAACTATGTTTACATCTGAAGGGTTAAAACCTGGGGGACCTGGCCCCCAGACCACTTCATTGAGCTGAAGTGGTCTGGGTGACTATAGTGTCCCTTTAAGCACTTTTTTTTGCCTTTTATTTGTGTCCTGATGTGGCTCCTAAATATATTGAGTAAATTTTTTTGCTGCAAGAATGTGCTGGGATTGACAGTTAATCTGATTTTAGGATCCAGCACCATAAGACATATATCACCCATCATTTGCAGTCATGCAGTACTGATTGGTTACCTGTAAATTGCATGTCACCTTGTATGTATGCATGCAGGTATAAATGTACAATATAGCCACTTTTCATATAGATAGACCAGTGTATAAAAAATAAAATATAAATAAAAAAGTTACCTGCGCTCTTCCCAAATTCCTATGCATATTTAAACAAATGGAGGTTACTTAGTTGATCCACTGGCCATGAAAGTTTAGCCATGTCAAGGCAAACCTCAGGTGGGTCCTACACTAACTTTGCACCTTGCTTCCTTGAGCTTCTGGCAAAGATATCTCTAGTGAGACTGAGAGGGGTATTTTTTTATAAACCCCTACATGCATATCAACCCTTAATAAGAAAAACATGGGTTGGGCGGCAGCATTGTAACATAGCTGTGTAATACTAAAGTGAATACAAATACAAATTAACAAGTCCTGCGTTTAATCTCCCACTACTCTTGGGCGGCAGCAACGACCACAGTACACATCGGCCCCAATAGGGCCGGCGCTACCATAAGGCGGCCCAGGCCCTGGGGGCGCAATGTCAGCCTGTCTGGTAGGAGGGAAGCGCACTGCGTTCCCCTCCAGCCCGTTAATACTTGTAGCATTGCTGAGCGCAGCCCAGTGCTTTCCACCCACGGAGTCCAGCCTCTGCCTGCCCAGCCTAGCCTCCTACCCTGGTGTCTGCCGCAGGCTGTGTGGAGGGGGTGGGGATATGAATGACATCATATCTCTGCTCCCTGTGTACCACACAGCATGGCTGGCGTCCATGTCTTTGTATGCCTGCATGTCTCTGTATGATTATGTCTGTGTTTGTATGACAGTGTACCTGTATGACTTTGATTGTGTGCCTTTTATGACTGTGCGCCTGAAAATGATGCCTGTGTGCCTGTGGCTTGGAAGGAAAGACACACAAAGGGATTTGGAGGGGAGGGACAACAAAATGGACGGAGGGGAAAACGAGCCACACAGAGGGTGTGGTGGAGAAGGAGCCAAAGGGGCTGGTGTAAGAAAGTGACACAGAAAGGGGCTTGGGTAAGAAGGAAACAGAAAGGGACTGAGGTAAGAAGGAAACGCAGAAAGGGGCTGGGGTAAGAAGGAAACGCAGAAAGGGGCTGGGGTAAGAAGAAAACACAGAAAGGGGCTGGAGGGAAGAGACTCACAAAGGGACTTGGGGGGAGTAAGATACATACAAAGGGGGTTGTAAGACACACTAAAGGGGAATAAAATACTAGTGCACAAAAGGGGTACAACAAGACACATAGGTGAAGATGCATTTTTTTTTGAACAGGGGATGGGGGGGAGAGGGGGGGGTAGCAAAATGCATCTTCACCTGTGTAGCTAAAAATCCTTCCACCGGCTCTTGGCCCCAATACATACAGTAAAAACGAAAGGAAAAAAGTTACCTGTGCTCTTCCCAAATCCCTATGCATATTTAAACAAATGAAGGTTATTAGGTACTCCAATGGCCATGAGAGTTTGGACCACCTACCACCTCAAGGCCTTGACGTGGCAGGTGGGTTAAACTCTCATGGCCATTGGAGCAACTAAATAACCTTCATTTGTTTAAATATGCATAGGGATTTGGGAAGAACACAAGCAACTTTTTTTCTTTGGTTTTTACTGTATGTATTCGGTCCGATGTATACTGTGGTCATTGCTGCCGCCCAAGAGTAGTTGGAGTTTGAACGCAGGACCTGTTTTTTGTATTTGTAAAAAATAAACTATATTTTGTCATTCAGTGTTCCACAAGATAACTTCTGATTTAATGCATTATTAACCACAAGGAAATGATGAAAAGCATTAAACTGGTGGCAGACATTGCATTAAAACTTTGTTAACTTGACATATTGTTTATTTTCAGAATATTACACTGACTCTGCAAGTCACATTCTATGTTATCTAAGTGGTACATTTTTTTTTTTTTTTAGCTTGTTTGAGATTTCCTTGAACTCCCATCTCATTTCCATCAATTTACACTGCAATCAAATCTGTAAGCTTGAAGGACTGGAACATCTACGCAATTTACAACATCTGGACCTGTCATCTAATCTCATAACTAGAATTGAGGGCCTTGACTCCTTGATGTGTTTACGCAGTTTGAATTTGTCTTGTAACAAGCTTACAAAAATTGAAGGTTTGTGTTCCGTTAAGTAGGAATATACTTTGCCTCTTGATACTGTAATTATTAGATCATAAAATATTTGTACTTATTACAAGAAAAAGGAAATGTGTATCAGAGTTCTTGTGGACTGTTATAGAATATGTGTGTGCAGTTATCATATTGTTGTCAATATTTATAAAACAATGAACAGTATTTTTCAAGTCCTTCATAGATATAGAGCTTTAATGCAGCTAACACCTAAGGCAGGGCTTGACAAATTTGCTTTAAATTTAGGAGCCAGTTAAAAAAGTTATGAGCCAGTTTTTTCCCCTAACGACACAAATACAGTTCTTAAAGGAACACTATAGTCGCCAGAAGCACTACAACTTAATGCCGTGTTCTGGTGTCTATAGCCTGTCCCTGCAGACTTTTCAATGTAAAAATGCCTTTTCAGAGAAAAGGAAGTGTTAACATTGTTGCCTAGTAACACCTCTAGAGGCTGTCACAATGTGCAGCACCTACATTCAGCGTTTCCACGCTCTGCATGGAGGCGCTGCACGTGCCTCATAGAGATGCTTTAAATTGATTAATGCATCTCCTATGAGGTAATGCTGACTGGCAATTGATGATCTCAGTTATGGAGGCGGGCCAGCTCTGGTGAGACTGTCACGGCGCTGGTAAAAAGATGAGTAAAAGCGATCGGGGGGGTGCTGGTGACCTAAACATACACATTAATTGACAGACACCCGAACTGACACACAGACACACACCAACAGAGGCATTCAGACACTCACAAAGTACTATTACTACACTCAATATTACTACACACAAACATTCATACATACACACAGACAAATACACAGAGACACACACACGACAGATGCGCAGATTTTTTTTACATTTTTTTTTTTTTTAAAATACATATTTTTAGTCACCCTCCTATTTCCTACCTTTTAGTCTCAGGAGGGTGGCTTCCCTAGTGTCTAGTGGGATTAGGCAGCAGCAAGTGACAGGTTAGTGGGGCTGGCTGCGGCTGATGGGAGTAGGCAGCCGCTGTTCCAGACTCCCTCCTTTCTCCTCCTCTCAGCAGCTCTCTCTGTGTGCTGGAAGGAAGTGAAGAGAACTGTAATAACTTCCTCTCGGTGCTGAGGTCACGCAGGGGAAAGGACTGGTTGCCGGTGTTCCATCGGCTTTGCGGCATGAGGCGGGCGGGGAGTAGGGTCGGGTATGCTGCATGGGTGTGTGGCATGTGGGCGGGTAGCAGGGTCGGATATGCAGCATAGGGGCGGCATGTGGGCGGGTATCAGGGTCGGGTATGCGGCATTGGGGCGTGTAGCAGGGCTGATTATGGGGTCGGGAGGAGGGCTGGGAGAAGAGCCGTGTTTACCTGGTATCCTGCCATTTAGCTTGCAATTCCCCTGCACGGGGATTGAGACAGAAGGAGGAGGGAACATGTTGACCAATCCCAGACGCCAGGACGACCTAGTGCTTAGGATTTAGCCCTGGCCTAAGGTGACCTGTTATGTTATGTATCCTAATTCCACCGTAATCAATTGTCTGTAGTGATTGAAGTCCCTTTATTCAGTGATAAAGCTCCCATTAGAGCAGAGATTACACTTGTCCTTAGTTATACCAATTCATACCAGCAATGGCAGACTGTGATTGTCTGAGAGCGGTAAGCTTACATTTTCAGCCAATCACCTCTGCTAATTGTTACTTAAAGGACAACTGTCACTTCAAAACAATTTGTAACATAATCACTTCATTACATTTTGAAAGGAAATATATTTTATTTTTAAAATAAGTATATGTAAAAAAGAAAAAAATGCATCCCTACCTATTATTAGTATATGACAGAATACTTCAACCATATACATGCACCTTGGGTCAAGTGATGGATATGAGCGTAGAATATTTAAAGAAAGTGGGGACAAGGAAGAGCAGTTGGAGATATATGGTCAGGACTGCACAATGCAAAGGGGAGAGATCTGATAAGGGGGAAGGAGGTGAGTGGTGGGAAGAGAGGGTAAAGAGAATGCAGGCACTTCTTGTTTAGTAATTGGGACAAAGACCTGAAGGCTAAGCACATAGCACCAAATCAGAGAGAGAGGAGAATTCCTCCTTTAATTGATCTGTCTTGTCGGTAAAATAGCATAGTTGTTTTGCTTTGGCAGGGTGAAGTATCAAAAAGATGCTTAAGATTCTGACAGTAGGTGACTGAGGAAAAAAAAGTTTTTTTGTTTTTTTTTAGCAAAGAAGAGGGCTGTGCTGTTCGAGCGTTGTGTGAATTTGTAATACATGACATTTGACAGTGCACAACTTTGTTTAGCAGCATTATGCTCTGCAAGAGCTTCTTAGTTGTAGTAGTTTAACTTAGTGCTCCAGTGTTGAAAATGTCTGCCTTGATTTGTATGTGTTTAGTGTGACTACCTTGTCCAGAGATGAGATGAGGGTAGTGGTGTAAAAGGAGATAGCCATGGTGGGACAGGAGAAAGTGGAGATAGACCTGAGATCAACCAAGAGTTGCTGAAGGTTAAAAGAATGAAGGGTTCTCCTAGGGTGAAGAGAGTAAGGGTGAAGATTTTGGCTGACATTACCATTTAAAGCAAAAGTTAAGAGGCGGTGATATGAGAGAAGAAATGGGATGACTGATAAAAACACCGAAAATGTATCCAAGAGGTTGAGTATTACCAGCTACATGTGTACGATTCAGTAGTCCTCTGGGATATCCCAATGGAGGTAGTAATAATAAATGAAACATGTTCTTTGTTGTTAAACATTATTGTATGGCATAACATCCTTCCCCCTTTAAATAATTTTACACCACAAACATCCCTGGTCATGTTGATCATAAATTTGAATTGCTGTTTTAAAGGCTAACCCATCAGATTTAGCATTGCAATTTGGTGTGGGGAAAATATTTTATGTAGTCTGCTCCGAATTTTCATATTAACTGCCGAATATTTGGTTAAAAATAAAAAAAGCTGCAGGGCAAATAAGGTAATCATTTTATCTTGAGTTATTTTTCTTTTCTCTCTGTAGGTAATTTCTTCATGTGTTATTTCAGCTAAACATGTTCATATCATTTTTGTTCCTAGGGCTGCAGGGATTATTAAACCTCAGAGAGCTCAATCTATCTTATAACCGCATACATGATCTTACTGGTAAGTAAATGCATTTGTGTTTATTGTTTAAAGCGACATGCATCACTTGACAACTTTTATTTTTTAAACCAAGCAAACACCCTTACACAAATATACAAACATAAAATGAATTATAACAATACCAACTTATGTTTCTGTTGTCAATATTGTGTTATGCAAAACAAACTGTAGTCATGGATTTAAATGGAAACTGTAGGCACCCATACAACTTCAGCTCACTGAAGTAGTCTGGGTGCTGTGACTCTTTTGCACTTAGTGCTGCAATGTAAAACATTGCAATACCAGTGAACTGCAATGTTTACATTGCAGCTCTAAGTCTGCCCTCTGTGGCTGTCTATCAGACAGCCACTGGAGGGCTTCCGGAATCCAAACTGACTTTTGGTCCGTTATCTGATGCTGGACGTCCTCACGGACCTTCAGTGTCAGATTTTCCCTATAGGAAAGCATTGCGCATTAGGCTGCCGTCGGCAGAGGAGCGTGGGCAGAACCTGACCTAGCGCCGAGGGACATCAGCGCTGGATTCAGGTAAGTGGCTGAAGGGGTTTTAAACCCTTCAGCCCCGCAGGAGGGGGCCCTATAAACTCTATAGTGCCAGTAAAACGACTTTGTTTTCCTGGCACTATAGAATCCATTGAATGGCTCTGCATAATGAATAAAGCAATATATGGACATATAATGAAAAGTATTGCTAGGCCTTATTTACACACTGAAAAACATTTAAAATAAACACATTGTGTGTAGCATGTAGAGCGGGAGGCATGCATTTGGCATGGAAAGGGAAGATGGGAAGGTGTATTTTTTGTAGGATGGCTAGGAAGGAAATAAAAGAGACATAAATAATGGCTAAGGAGTGACATATGGGGAAGGCTGAGACATAGGCATGGCTGGGGAGGACTCTGTAATAGTATACTTTATTATATACGCCATTACAGAGATTAATAGCAGCTTCTTAGTTGTGTAGGGGACGTGCTGGACTGGAATCCGCATGTGGCACATTTGGGGTCAGTGTAGTTCCTAGAATGTTGCACATTCCTAGGGAGAGTACACTGCCTGAATTAGTGTCCCCTAGGTGGCTGTGGAAAACACAGGCGAGAAGAAGTAGGTAAATATGGAGAAAAAAAAAATCATATCACCCGTTCTGCCTGCAGGATGAAACCACTGTCATTCAAAGGCAAAGCCTTTGTGTGAGACAGTTGTCTCAGGGATGCATGTCACTTTAATTAATGCGACTCTGTGCCTTTTATCCTTCGTTAACTTTTCTTTGATAATTTACAATGTTACTTGGGACATTTTATAGCTGCACTTTTAGTTGTGGCTTACATACACCAGCACTGGCATACATTAAAAAACAAAAAATCTCAAAAGCTATGCACTTAACAACCAGTTCAGTATATGCTAAAAGGGGCATCACAGCCAGCAAGATGCCTACTAGTGTGCATTAAGACTGGCTTAGAACTGTAGTGCCTTGTTTTGTGCATAGAAAACTATTTGACCTGGTGTGTATTATTAAACTGTAATTATCGTTGCTTGATGAGCAGAGCAATACCATACTACTACTGGGATGGTGCAAGTCATGACAATAGAGGAGTTAAGAGTGCTGGATACCATTAGTAGTTGCTTTCACAAGCAAACAACCAATGAGTAAACTTAAAAAAATTAAAACGGAAACGTATCCACCCTTTCTTTCCCTCTCTCCTAACCTGTAGTATTAAAATGAACACTCCAGCATTATAAATACATTTATTTTTTATTTTTATTGAACTCTGGAATGTTTAGAATTTATTGGTCCCCCACTTTCCTTTAAAAGTAAAGGGTTAACGTGCCTATAATTTAAGAGCGAGACAGCTTCTTACTGCATATCTGCTCCACACTAGTGACAATCTCCCAGCCAATCCAGAGTTTTATGAAGCAGGAATAATGCGTGTCAATTGCTGTGCTGCACTGGGAATGCTTCTCAGAGTAGAGTAGAGAAGGGCTTAAAGCAGCCTGAAAGAGTTAGAATTAGTCCCTCCTTTGTCTCGGTATATCTTGTGACATTGCCGCTTTAATCTTTTACATGAATTTTAATGTTTGGATGTTTAACTATTAATTTTTACATGTTTCTTATTTTGGAGAAAATAAATGTAAAATAAATACTCCTTAAATATTTATTGAAACTTTCTCCTAATTCTATAACTTTTACCCTTCAATCTTTCTTTTGCTAAATATTTACTCAAGTTCTGTGGAAAAAAGTATGTGTATGTACTTTGAGTTTCACAAATGTTCCAACTTGTTAAATGGGCAGTTTCTCTGTGTTTGCAACCAGTAAACTTATATTGTGTGTGTTTTTATCTTGTTTCCAAGGACTAATACCACTCCATGCACAGACTTATAAGCTCAGCCATCTTTATCTCCATAGCAACTGCATCAATGACTTTGAACATGTAATCCATTGCATAGTGGGGTTACAATCCTTGCTTTATCTCACGTTTGAGCAAAGTGGAAAAGATAATCCGGTTTGCAGTTTAACAGGTAAAATCAAACTTTTTTTTTTCCTTTCCGAAGAAACCTTCTTGTCTAGTAATATATTGTCCATCGTAACCATGGCAATACTGTTAGCCACTGTTTAGTTGAAATACAAGTAGAACCATTTTGTAGAAAAAAATTTTTAAATGCTTTAAAAAAAAAAAAAGCCTTTTCAGTGATTTCTTAAATTTTTGCTAGATGTTTTAATATACATCTTGCTAGCCTGCATTTCCTTTAGGCACTATAAATAGCTGGGATATAATCACTGCAACTGTACAAATCACTGATTGTCAACTACCAGCATCTACAATCCGCATAGTTTATTATTAGTAATGATCAGTGAGAGTTTACTTTGATATAGAGAATGTTAATCAATTTCCAGTATTATTTTTCAACTGATTTTATTTAAAAATATATAAATAACATAATTAAAACAATGGAAATGGGAAATCCGATCCCACGCTAAATTACTGTATTATCTACAGGATACAGAGAAGTTATTTTAGAAGCTTTGCCAAAACTAAGAACACTTGATGGAATACACCAGAGTGGTGAATCACTTACTGGACATCATGGAGGATCAATGGACCTGCCTAACATGGAGTTCTTGGAATACTTGATAGCATTTGATATTGGAAGTGGAAGCAAGGAGGTAGAGGTAATGGTACTTTTTATGTATTAATTTAATATTATTGTTGATTGCTGCTGCTTTTTATTTTTTATTCCAATCCCCCCCCAGATCACCAATAATAAGCCACTTTTTATGAAAAGCTAGTAACAACCACATTCTTATAACAGAAATTCTGTCTTCTTTACTACAGAAAGTGTGCGTCTCTCTAAAAAAAAAAAAATTTTACATTATTTGTTTTGGATGTAACAAAACCAGAAAATGACTGTTTCGCTCGTATTGGCCAAAAGCTGTTCTCCTGTAATGAAAACAGTATTTTCTTTTTACTTTCCCACATCATTCCATGAGTTCCACCAATCAGGAAATCTTGTAGCTATAAATTTAGGGAACGTTACACCAAATTAATAATATGTTTTTTTTTGTTTTTTTTTGTTTTGGGGTTTTAAAGTCATGCACACTATTCTTAAAGACTCCTTTCACCATAACCGTAGCAATAACCTGAACCTGTAACTAAAGTTTAAAGCAAAAAAGTATTTTCTCATTTAGGTTTAATTAATGTATTATGTTGTATATCTCTTCCTAGGATTCTAAAAATGTACCCGTGATAACACCAAGAATTGATCAAGTATTATCTCACTATAGAAAGTCTCCTGGTAGCTATGTATCAGGTAATATGAGTAATGGTGTGAATACCACCACTTCATCAGAGAAAGAGGGTGCTACACATCAAGATACCAACAGCATGTTGCGTGAAATGAGAATTAAGAAGCTAGAGGAACAAATGGCAAATCATTTGGAAAAGGTTTGAAATTTTATGATCCGTAATAAAGTATTGTAAATTTGCTATGACTAGACATGCTTATGTCCAGGAGGAGATTATGGGATAAGACCAGTCCCCATAAACCAGAATGTGATTCTCGTTATGTTATACAAAGGGCTTTGGTGCTTTGTTTTCTTTGTTTTAATAAACTGCAATAATTACATTTTGAGCGTTAACTATACCTCTAGTGGCTGTCTTCCAGACAGCCACTAAAGGGACTTTTGAGTCGGTAGCCTAACTGATGCTGGATGTCCTCACGCTATGCATGATGACATCCAATGTCACCCAAAACCCATAAGAAAGCATTATACAGGTAGGTAACCAGTAGAGTGGTTTTCGTTTATTTTTATACAATGCTTTCCTATGGGGGAAGTCATAATGCAAGCACGGCCATCATACCAGCTGACATCAGTTGGGGTGGAGGCGGAGCCTGAAGGCGGTGAGTGGCACTATAGGGAGCTATAATGGCAGGAAAACATTTTTAAAGGTATACTATTGTCCGCAAAACAACTTTAACCTAATGAAGTGGTTTTGGTGAGTAAATTATGTCTTGAAGTTTCACTGCTCAATTCACTGCCATTTAGGAGTTAAATCACTTTCTTTTCTTTTTTTCTTTTTTTTGCAGCCCTAGCCACCCTCCTCTGGCTGTGACCTACACAGCCTGCATGAAAACAAAATGGTTTGATTTTCAATCAGATGTAACTTTAAAATTTTATACATACAGAAGACTCCTGCAGGGTCTAGCAAGCTTTTAACAGAGCAAGAGATAAGAAATTCTGAAGTAAACAGAATTTGCAATAAAGGAAGTTTAAACATTAGATGACTCTTTACAGGAAGTGTTTGGGCAGGCTGTATAAAACACATGCAGGGAGATGTGCCTAGGGGTGCATGACCAAAGTGATTTAACTAAATGGCAGAGAATTGAGCAGTGAGACTGTAGGGGCATGATCTATACACCAAATCTGCCTCATTAAACTAAAGTTGTTTTGGTAATTATAGTGTCCCTTTAAACTGTCCTTTTATCTAGTGTACTCATTCGGCTAGACAAAAATAATTACAAAATAAGATTATAATCTTTGTTCAAATATATTTGAAATATATACCGCATTACAAATATACACAGGTGTTTTTTTTAAAATCTTTATTAAAGAGCTTATGGTTTACAAATCCCACATATGGGTTGCTAAACATTATTAGAAATGTGCTTAATTGTCTTAAATTTCTGGTATGTTTGTTTTGACAGTACCAAATGTAGTGGAGCTCTAGTCCTGACAAGGACTTTTCCTCCGCTGGATCTGTGAAGACAGGAACTGTGGAACAAGGCGCTGAAATGTGAATAGCTATATTCCCCCCAGTAACTGGACGACACACAGTTCTGGGAGTGGACCAAAATTAATTTCTTTCAAACACAGCCTTGTATGCACAGACCCCCAGCATGGGGTCTCCATACATAACATACACAAGCCCCTCCCAGGTGACCCATTGTCTAAGAGATAATTGAGTCAAAACTTAGTAACTCAATTATGTCTCAGGTACAAGAAAATATACACCATATTTACAAAATAAGTCATAATTCACAGGAACCCCACAATTTGTATATCCCCGAATTGCTCCGATCTGATCACCCAACATATCCAAAAAGTGCTCAGATCTGTTCGGTAGAACTGAATCGCCATTTGGGTAAAGTTCTGGCTGATAGCGTATTGGGCACGATACCCCTTTCGAGGTTTTCTGTGCGAACACAGACGAACGTTCCCTCTGGCTTTTAGGTAGCAAATGCTCCCCCCGGTCGGTAGTTCATATCTCCTGAATGTCGTTCGTCTAGATGGTCAGGAAGTAGAACGGGCAGCGGTATGAACTCTGCTCGGGTTCGTGGACTTGCATAGCCAAAAATAGTTCCAGTTGTTTCGACCATGTGCCACTGCCTGTGTTCGTGAGACAAAATAGCCATGCACTGGACCATGTGCGTTTGGTTATACGAATGGCGGCCACCCAGGGAAAGCACTCAAGTTAAGGTGTTGATTTGTGGGTAACAGCTGGGGTTTGAGGAGATATAAAAAGGGGGATCACACACCATCCATTCAGGAGATGAAGAAAGGGTACAGACAACCGAACACAAGACAATCAAGTCTGCTACACCAAAATCCTGCAAGCATTAATTGATCAGATTAAATTCATTTTTTTTTTTTTAAAGAAATCTGATTTATAAAATGCTCATCAGCATAAATGTAAACTGTTGTGGGTGTGTTCCACACTATGAGCTAATGTTTTCCATTGCTTTCCTTGGAGAAACATTGGACATTTTAAGTGGTTTTTTTGATCACTACATTCTCTGAAAAAATGTAGGTGCAGGGAATAGACTAAACAATGAAGTGTATCTCAAAACACTGTTGTTCAGTATGTATCCAGTAAGCTTCCGTAGGTAACTGGTAGAGTGTTTTTTGTTTTCGTTTATTTTTTACCATTCTGACTTTATTGTGAAAATTACATTTGTGTCTACCAAAAAAACAAAAGTTATATTATGTTTCAGTAGCACTCTAAATTGGGATACAAAGTCATTATTATTATTATTATTATTGGTATTTATTAGAGCTTATTCAGCCGCTTATTCCGCAGCTCTTTACAATAAAAGGGAAATTGACTAAATGAGACAATAACAAGATGTAACAGGAACAATAGGTAGTTGAGGACCCTGCTCAAATAAGCTTACAGTCTAGAGGAGGGGGGTATAAAAACACAATAGGAAGGGTATTGAGAGAGACAGCAAATAGACATAGTGGGAAAGTAGGAGAACTGGAGGTGAGAGTGGAGTGTGGCCCTATAGGAGAGCGCGAGAGGAAGGTTTGAGAGAGAGGATTTATGGCCGCCAAGAGTAACTTCTAACATCTTACAGTACATTTATATCTGGTTTATACATGTTTGTGTGTAATATACCTTTTTGGCTTGTAAAACTGTGGGTCTCTGCATAGTTCTAGAGAATTTTTTTAAACATGATTTAACATTTAAGCCCCTGACGAAGGTGCCGTTGTTAGCACCGAAACGCGCGTCGGGCACTTTGTTGTCACGTTTTTTTCACTAAGTTAGCACTATGCACGGTGAGTACTTTAGGTTTATAGCTTTGATTTATCTTGATAGGGGTTGGGGGAGAGGACGGTTTTATTTTTGAACTACATCTTTCCAGCTTATACAGGAGTTAGCTGTGCAGGCTTATTTTTTTTCTCTCCAGATTAGAGAGATTTCATCTACAATGACAGCCAGCAGCCTATTCAGACGCTGTAGTTTTTTCCTCATGGTTAAAGGGACACTCCAGGCACCCAGACCACTTCTGCCCATTGGAGTGGTCTGGGTGCCAACTCCCACTACTCTTAACCCTGCAACTTTAATTATTGCAGTTTTTTATAAACTGCAATAATTACATTGTAGGGTTAACTCCACCTCTAGTGATTCATAGCAGTGTGAGGACCTCCAGCGTCGCTCAATTCCCCATAGGAAAGCATTGAAAATCCTTTTTAATGCTTTCCTATGGGGAGACCTAATGCGCGTGTGCGGCATTGCCGCGCATGCGCATTAGGTTTCCTCAGTCTCGCCCACCGGCTGACATGATTACTGGGAGGAGCGACGCCGACCTGAATCCACCGCCGAGGGACATCGGCGGGGTCTCAGGTAAGTGACCTGAAGGGGGTTTTCACCCCTTCAGCTACCTGGGATGGGAGATGGGAGGTGGGAGGGAGAGGGTACCTGCAGTGCCAGGAAAATGGATTGTTTTCCTGGCACTGGAGTTTTCCTTTAAGTTCATCTAGGAATTGTCCTGTTTATTTATAATTTTCTAGAGGTTTACTAACAAGCACATGATAGTTGCACAGTAATTGTTACTGTTAAACAGCCCTCTTCTCTACAGGGAGTGCAGAATTATTAGGCAAGTTGTATTTTTGAGGATTAATTTTATTATTGAACAACAACCATGTTCTCAATGAACCCAAAAAACTCATTGATATCAAAGCTGAATATTTTTGGAAGTAGTTTTTAGTTTGTTTTTAGTTTTAGCTATGTTAGGGGATATCTGTGTGTGCAGGTGACTATTACTGTGCATAATTATTAGGCAACTTAACAAAAAACAAATATATACCCATTTCAATTATTTATTATTACCAGTGAAACCAATATAACATCTCAACATTCACAAATATACATTTCTGACATTCAAAAACAAAACAAAAACAAATCAGTGACCAATATAGCCACCTTTCTTTGCAAGGACACTCAAAAGCCTGCCATCCATGGATTCTGTCAGTGTTTTGATCTGTTCACCATCAACATTGCGTGCAGCAGCAACCACAGCCTCCCAGACACTGTTCAGAGAGGTGTACTGTTTTCCCTCCTTGTAAATCTCACATTTGATGATGGACCACAGGTTCTCAATGGGGTTCAGATCAGGTGAACAAGGAGGCCATGTCATTAGATTTTCTTCTTTTATACCCTTTCTTGCCAGCCACGCTGTGGAGTACTTGGACGCGTGTGATGGAGCATTGTCCTGCATGAAAATCATGTTTTTCTTGAAGGATGCAGACTTCTTCCTGTACCACTGCTTGAAGAAGGTGTCTTCCAGGAACTGGCAGTAGGACTGGGAGTTGAGCTTGACTCCATCCTCAACCCGAAAAGGCCCCACAAGCTCATCTTTGATGATACCAGCCCAAACCAGTACTCCACCTCCACCTTGCTGGCGCCTGAGTCGGACTGGAGCTCTCTGCCCTTTACCAATCCAGCCACGGGCCCATCCATCTGGCCCATCAAGACTCACTCTCATTTCATCGGTCCATAAAACCTTAGAAAAATCAGTCTTGAGATATTTCTTGACCCAGTCTTGACGTTGCAGCTTGTGAGTCTTGTTCAGTGGTGGTCGTCTTTCAGCCTTTCTTACCTTGGCCATGTCTCTGAGTATTGCACACCTTGTGCTTTTGGGCACTCCAGTGATGTTGCAGCTCTGAAATATGGCCAAACTGGTGGCAAGTGGCATCGTGGCAGCTGCACGCTTGACTTTTCTCAGTTCATGGGCAGTTATTTTGCGCCTTGGTTTTTCCACACGCTTCTTGCGACCCTGTTGACTATTTTGAATGAAACGCTTGATTGTTCGATGATCACGCTTCAGAAGCTTTGCAATTTTAAGAGTGCTGCATCCCTCTGCAAGATATCTCACTATTTTTGACTTTTCTGAGCCTGTCCAGTCCTTCTTTTGACCCATTTTGCCAAAGGAAAGGAAGTTGCCTAATAATTATGCACACCTGATATAGGGTGTTGATGTCATTAGACCACACCCCTTCTCATTACAGAGATGCACATCACCTAATATGCTTAATTGGTAGTAGGCTTTCGAGCCTATACAGCTTGGAGTAAGACAACATGCATAAAGAGGATGATGTGGTCAAAATACTCATTTGCCTAATAATTCTGCACTCCCTGTAGACATTACTTTGCTCATTATCAGCTGGCTTTCTAAGGATTGATCCTACTCCTGGGTATTTATCCGTAGTCCACCTCATTTACATTGCTTTTGCTTTCATTTCATCTAATTTACATTTATTTACCATTCTGGAATCCCTTACTCTTGTTTACAGTGGGATTTATTCATTTTTGGTATTACATTTTGATTTAACAGTTAGTAGATCACCTTTTTTAAATTTTTTTTTTTTATTTTTTTTTAGACTTCCACATCAAAAACCAAAAGGCCAGTAAGTATAATGAAAGCAAAGAGAGACACTGATCTGACAACTGAAAGTGACTATGATAGTGGAAAAGAAAACTCAAGAAATAGTGAAACAAATCGTAGCCGAATCCCAGCCTATTGTAAAAATAATTACACCCCCAGGACCACTAACAAACCGTCAAAGGCCAGGATATCAAACAGGTATTTTGGACACAAATTTTAATGAAATATTGTGTTCCTTAACTTACTGTAAAGTGTACACTGTTTACTACTGCAAATATATTTAAGTGCTGTATATTATATAGTGCCTGTATCTAAAATCTATTTTCATGTTAAACTTTATAATTAAAGGGACATAACTTAATTGCAATTAAGTTGTTACGGCATGAGTAGTTCCCGAGCACCGTCATACCTGAAGTGGTTAAATTGTTCACAAATGGATTAGTCTGCAAGCACCCAGTGCCTGATCATTTTGCCTCAAGACTTCTGCTCCAAAACTTCAAATCTGATGCCTCTGACCAGGTTCCACTGATAAGATGAGAGCATCAGTAGCTTCCATTTAACTCCCTTCAGCTAAGACTGTGCCCAGGACCTCCTCGCAGTGTAAAAACTTAATTTTAATTAAGTTGTTATGGTGCCCGGAGTGGTCTTTAAACTCCTTCTGCCTAAAATATAGTAAACCAATAAAAAATATTTTACTGTAAAGAGCAATTATTTGTTCTAAATGTTATTACAACAGGTGGCCTTTCCTGTGTGCACCATCTAGTTACTTGCATACTGCCATGGTCCCTATCAAATTGCTATGCAGTGGTTTTTTTTTTTTGGATTGCTATCTTGTTTTGAAATGTTATGAATTTTGTGAAGTTTGTGATGAAATGTATGATGATAGGTTCTTTATCAGACAGACATTGAAATTTTATGTATACTTTATCTGATGTAAAAGACTGCAAATGTACAGCATACGTTTTAAGTACCTGAAGTTACATTTCCTCCAATGTCAGTGCATCTCTCACTGCTATAGGGGTGTAGATGCACATGTATGCGTACATTGCTAAATATTTAGTATATCATTCTAGAAGGATTCCCAGCAATATCCATTTGGGTACTGACTTTGTGTTGTGTGGTTTTATTTTTTGTTTTTTTTGGGGGGGGGGGGGGGGGGATGATGTGTGTATTCACTCCAGTGGTGAAATTGGGCCAAAACAATATATTTTATTTGTATCGTTTATATTTTATTTTGAAGTAGCTTCTTTATTTTGCAGTGTGTTGAAGAAAAGTGCAGGACGGAAGCAGAAAAGCCCCAATCCCTGGGGGAAAGCTGGCGTTCAGAGTAGTTTGTCTTCTGATAGACCAGAAACAGACAGCTCAGAACAAGTACCTGGAAAGCTGCCGACATACCTGAAAAGTCAAAAAAGCAAAGCAGCAGTAACTGTGCCTAATCCAACAGAGGAATCCACTTATCGGGTATATGCTTCAACTAACTATATGGATAGCAAAGTAAACCTGTGTAATATTTAGCTTGTTGGGTCACATGCCTTTTGATATGATGGCACAATTTTAAATGATAACCCACTACTGTATTTTAAGCCTTTATATTGATTTTTATAAATATTATTTTGGTGGTTGCTGAAAGGACAGCAAAGAAGTGACTGTATAACCCTGATGTTTCTCCAATTCCCATTGGTCACATACTGAATCCCAAAAGTGAGTGTGAATGCATCCAAACATTGTGTAAAGTTGATTCAGCTAATCTTTCCTGAACATAATTACGCATTCTGTTATCTGTTAATGAAAATATCCTGTCGTATCATAAAATGTGCCTGAGCCAGGTACTGTGTTTATATATAGCTCTTTAAAATATTCTAAAGCTCTACGTGAAAGAAACTGCTCTTTGATTCATACAAGCTAATTTAAAACCCTTTTACTCCTGTTGTAGTTACAAGCTGTTTTTTATGATAATTGTGACGGACCACCTGGCACCCCGACCGGGTACCTCTGTCAATCACTGCTTCCTAGTACTTGCGAGCACCATAGGCACTGTACTGGAACACTATAACCACTGTAAACACCACAAACCGCCGCAGCTTGGTTAGGGTGTCACTGTCCTCCACCCACCCAGAACCCAAGACCAGGATCCAGCTTCCAGTGGGTAGATCTCTCGTAGTCCAGAGAGCTTAGCAGGAACAGTTCTTATAAGAGTTAGTGATTATACTCAGTGGAGTATTGTGATATAGCAATCCTCAGAGTGTATGTAGTTCTCCAATCCCCCAAACATGAGTCAAGACTTCATGAAGGGGTAAACGAATCTCAGTTTAATGGGAGCCACACTTGGCCTTATATGACAATCCCCATGCAAGGGGTACACACACATGGACCTGATGGTAGACTGATTTACAACTTCACAGATCAATAACAATAAGGTTAAAAGGCACAACACTCCCACACACAGCACACAATCCCTCCCCTCTGCCTGGGAGATAATTGGATTACTAACTGTACTAATTCTAATCCAATTATCTCCACGCACAGAAAAAACATAATTTTTTTAAAACACCCCAAAAGTACCCTAAAAATACATAATATTACATGATAGCCCTGATCTTGGTGACCAACATATCCAAAAATCACCCAGATCAGTTCAGGGGGTTAAGGAATTTCCAGGAAGTCTTATTTTTGACCGACCGTGCACATGGTCCTATGCCCAAAACAGTTCCAGGGAATCAGGGCTAATGGTCGTTCTCTCTGTCTGGAGTACAAAAGCACATAACTCACATGAACAGAGGCTTTTCAAGTGCATTGGGCAAGGTATATTGCAGGGCCCATAGTCATGAGGCAAGACGCTGGCCAGCAGATCCCTCCAAGAACCCGTGACGAGGTTCAGTTCATCACAATAATGCAGAACAATCGTAGGGGTATGTAATAAACCATGTTTGTCATATGGCACCCAAATTAAATTTTGGGACTACAAATCATATAAGCCAGGCTGTTTGTAATAGAGAATAATGGGCGCATCAACACAATATCATCTATTAATCTGCAATGTATTTTCTGTAGTAAGGCAAAGACAGTTAAGTAATCCAAGAATACATAAGAATATGGCTAGATTGGAAAATAAACCCACAAATTAGCCTGATATGTTTTACATTGCAGGGTTAACATGACAGTACCACTGTACCCAGGCCATTTCATTGAGATGACTTAAGTGTCCTGGCAGGATGTGAAAGGCCAAAGATAGCATGTGCATCCTTATTTGATATGCTTAATTGTGAAAGAATGAAATGATCCTGAGAGGCCTCACTATATTTCAGTGTTCTAAAACCTTTTTATCTATTCCTGGAGTGTGGAATTATGCCAATTAAAAGTTTGCTGGAGCTACCTGTCCAGTTTCTAGAGAGGGATCAATCTCCAATTCTGTCAAGTACTTTGGGGGAAAAAAGGAATTTGCAGTGAGTAAAAAAAAAAAAAAACTATTTTCATTTTACAGGCTCTTGTACAGGAATTGGACCAGGAACGAGAACGAAGATGGAAAGCAGAACAATCTTTAGTGAGACTAACTGAAAACCTCAAAGATTTACAGTGTCAGGCTAAAGAAGAAAAAAATATCAACAGCATGGCTGTTTATACCACTGATAGGTAACCCGGTATTATTATATTGCCTCACTTTATTTTGTTTTGGCTTTGACAATCTGGAGGCTAAGCTGCCATTGAAAATACAGCAGGTAGATTCAACAGCACTAGGCTCTAAATTCTGGGAGCAGCCTAACATGCCATGCATATGGAAAAAGAAATCACTGCAGTTATCAGTATTAAAGGAACACTTAATTAAAAGAAAAAATCTTGGCTTGCAATAGCTTCAAATCTATCATATGCAGCTACTGCAAGTCCTCCTGTTCTTCCCTGGCACAAATGAGAGTGCCCAATTTGATTCATGCGCATTGCTGTCCAATCGCAAACTTTTCAATGAGTATTACAGGCCATTGAAAAGTCTCTCAAAGTCCAGCACTTTGGTCAAATGTCTGTCTTTGAGTTTAGCGTCTTGGAGTTAAATTACCAGGAAGAAAAACCTCCCTGCTGTCTTATTGATGGCCAGAGAGATGCATCAGTGTTTACTTACAAAAGTGCAGATTTCTGTTTAAATGAGAAGGTGCTTGTGTTTCCTTTAATAAAAACAATTACACAACACTTGGAAGATATGTGAATGTCATCGTTGCATAACTGAATGTCCTAAATGTTTCCCTTCTCTTTGGGCATTATATAGAAGCAGAAATTGTAGTTTTAGGGCAAAGTTCTTAAATGTAAGCAATCAGCATGCAAACCAATAGAATATTCTTCTTTGTTATTCCCATTTTGGAATTTTTCATTTTATGCACATTGACCGTTCATTTGTATTTTTCATTTAAATTTTCAATTGGTTTCTCCTTTTCAGGATTAAAGAATTACTTTTAAAGGAAAAAAATGCTAATGTTATGTTAAAAGGTTTTGTTCAACGCTTGAAAGAAGAAAATGAGAGCCTTGCAAATGAACTTGAGAAATGTGCAAACAAAGAGGAAGACTATAAGAAAGCTTTAAAGAATTTGGAAGATTCTCTGTCTAAATTGGAGACCCAACACGTGCAGAAACAAACATTGGAGGTAATCAGTTTATTTATTTTTCTTTGCTTATTTTATTTTTATAAATGAATGCAAAACACAGACCCTTTCAAAACTATCTCGGAAGTGAAAACTTCACATATAACATTGCCCTGTGTGTGCTGTGATTTTATCAGCAGCAATGTTGCATATTGCAAAGTTCTCTTAAGGTGATATCTCTGGTTAGGGTCCAGTGGCAGTGGGGTGCAGTCAAATTTAGGTTTACTTATCTGAAGCTGTCCCTCTTGGCTGCTGCTGCCTTCATCCAAGTGACCCTATTCAGCTCTGACACGAAACGAAGATCAATGGAGGAGACCGTGGAAGCCTCTATAGATTTCTAATGATGAGCGAAACGATGCCTGAATCCCACAGCCGTCACTTGTGACTGCTGCTAGGATTGGTCAAAAATTGATGTTGCTGCTCCTTCTTTTGTCATCAAAGTAGTTCCTTCAAGGAAATTTCAGAACACCGCATTAATATTTCATAAAGATTAAGAAGTGGCAAGGACCTTTTAAGCATATCAAATCGAAAAAAAAAAAGTGTTTTTTTTGTTTTTAATTCTAACTTGTTAATTGTTTAATATTGTTAAATCTGAACCGTTACTTTTCTGGAAGTATAAATAACGTGATTAGTCATTGTTTTCAAATTATGTACTTTATTCACTCACCACAAGATGCCCTGGCAACAGTTTTAAGCCTTTTGGGTCTTAAGTGCGGGATCAGAGGTGATATTCCTTACCCGAGGTTTGCCAGGAGAGCCGCAATGGAAGGAACAGTTCCTTTATTTCAGTGAGCACTATTGAAGCATTTTCTGGGTTCAATAATGCAGCAGAAAAGTAAAACCGTAAGCCTTCTAGGCATCCTCACTGCTCCATTAATGCCTTTAGTATCCATCTGTGAGGAAATACTGAATGAGCACGTACATATTCAAGTATTCCTTCAGTAGTGCTGTACTCTTGTGCATATAGCAGTGCAGTGGTTAATCTAATTTACATGCTGTCTCTTGGTTGCCCAACAGTGCATGTAACCCTGTGATCCAAAAATAACTCAGTCCATAGCTGAACTAAAAGTCTCTTCTGTGAATGCTACACTTTAAATGAATCCTCTAAGCACTATAACCACTACAGCACACTGTAGTAGTTATGGTGCCATGAGTGCTCTGGCACCATCTCAGTGTTAGTAGCCTAATGTTCTTAGAATGGTAATCCAAAGTATTAGAATGGTTTGACAGCTTACGCAGGACCTGAAAGCACCAGTGGCTTCATGAGAATCCAATAAGCTTTACTGAACTAAGCAGGTCCAAGCAGGACTGCACACATCATGCCACAGAGCTATCCTAAACATTAGAAATGCATGGACTGATAGAGCTGGATTCATGCCAGGTAAATAACTGTGTATCTGCTGCCTATATCACTATAACATATGTGGAAGAGAGGAGAGCTTTAAAGGTAAGACTGATTTCTGGGTTTAGTATATTTCAGTAGCTTTTTCACTTAGATTTATTTTAACCAGTGGCCAATTCATTTTCTGCCTGGCACAGATGAAGCATATTCAAGAAGTGGAACGTAAAGCATCTGCGTCTCAAAGAGAAGTTGACCTGCTTAGAGTGTCTGTTCGCAAGCAGAAAGACAAAGTTCAGCAACTCCATGAACTCCTCACTGCCCGAGAGGAGGCACACAGGTACCGACATTTACTGTGGTTTGAATTTTTCAGCAGCGCAGCAATTTTACGAAAGCATATATGACACAGAGGTTTGATATAATTAGCATCCTGTTCGATCAACGATTTTTGCTCTGGGCAGTTTAGCTTCTCACTGAGAGAATCACATTCAAACCGGCTTGTGCTCTGCAGTAACCTTCACAGAGCACGTCAAATAGAGCGCGTGTTCCCTGCAGTTGTAGAGAAGCACATCGGGCAAAAGTGTTTATGTTTCATACTCTTTAGGCCAATGATCAGGCCAGACATTCTAAACATAATCTAAAACACATTTTTTTTTTTTTTTTTTCATTTTTGACACTGCCAAGAAAAACAACAGCGCAAAATGCGTGGAGAAAAATAATAGTTAATATCAGTTTTTTTCCCGAATGTGCTAATTTTGGTATATTTACCAATACACTAAATTTTTAGTGTTTAAACCCTTTATGTAAGTTGTATACTGGATGACTGACATTTCCCCGGTATGAAAAATGTCAAGAAGCACAAAGCTTCCTATCCATTGGATCAACATTGTGCTCTACTATATCAAGTCAATAATTTGTACAATGCTGCCGCCCATTGTACTTAGATGGCTGCTCTGAGAGGTATTTACAGCTAGGCATTGGATTCAAACTCCTTCTTGGGAGAATATGGACCCATCACCTCATTCCTAAACCAAGGGCTGCTTGAAATAAATGTCACTTATAGATGTTCAGTATTTTTTTTTAATTCATTTTTTTTTTTTTTTTTTTATTGCTACTTTAGGAATATGGCATTTTTGTGTTTTTAAAAAAGAAGTGAGCAGCTTGATTACCTGTGAGCATTTATGTCAGGGGTAGGCAACCTTTGGCACTGGTGTTGTGTACTACATCTCCACTAATGTTTTGCCAGTATTATGGCTGTAAGAGTTGGTGGATGTAATCCACAGTTTGCCTTGACCTGGTATATATAATGTGTATAATATTATTGTTATTATTCAGGGCTCAACAAGTCCCAGGTGGCAGGTTGCCATGGCGACTAGGATTTTTAAACTGATGCCTGAGTATTTGCTAGCGCATTCCCTCCGCGGCAGGCGGTCGACTGTGGCAGAATAAAGCAGGGCGGTGAGTGAGCTGTTATCTTCAAGCTCTTGCTCTACACCCTCGCGTGACCTGCAGTAATGCATATCTCTGTCTGTCAGTGTGAGAGAGGTGTTTTTACTAATCTTATTTTCCATGCTGTGCCTGTCTCGCCGTAGCTGTCCCCATCTCTATTGCTGAGATAATCAAGCTTGATGATCTCCGCCAATCCAATGCTTTCACAGGAAAGCATTAGGAGACTATTGCACATGCTCAAAACGCTGCACTAATCAGCATCTCCTCATGGAGATTAATTGAATCTATGCAGAGCATGGAGACGCGGATCGTAGTTGCTGCACACGGAGTACTGAGTAAATTATTTTATTTTTCTTGAATGGCTTCTCACTGTAATATATTTTCCACTGCCCAACACTCCCCCTGTGGGCAAATCACAAATCTGTAATTAAAGGTACGCTATAGGCCAGATCAGTTTAGCTCAATGAAATCTGGGAGCAGTGCCCTTGTAATTTGAGTCCTACAATGTAATACATTGCCTTTTAGAAGATAAGGCAATATTTCCAGTGCAGAGAAAACCAAGTCATACTCTGGTCTCTTACATCACCTTATCTGAATGCTTCTCATAGAGAGCATTCGATTTTAGAAGCACAGCACTTGCTGCACATGTGTGTCTCGTCCCCAGTAAGGAGCAGGCAAGTTTAGATTTTTGTTAAATATCTTTTAGGAGAACTATGGCATTAGGACTATATGTTACACACATACGGTGTAAATGTACATACATTCACATATATGCAATGTGTTGTAATGAGAAGAATCATTACCTCTGCCTTTCCAGTTTGTCTATTTTGTCCCAAAATATGAAATTCCTTTGCATAGTCTCCACAATTCCCTGTTTAATGAGTAAGCCTTCATTTGCCAGCAGCATCTCTTGAATGGAGCAGTTATTCCCCCCCCCCACCCCTAAATTTTACTGAAATTCCAACATAGTCAAAAGATATAAGAAAGTAAGGACTACTTTGTCATATATTTTTCCTACTCTCGACAAAAAGACAGTTACCGCTGTGCAGCCTAGGAAAAGGCTCTGTCTATGGATGCTCTCGTTGGATCCTCAAAAGACATCAGTGTTGTACTCTAGCACATGCGCAAGTACGGCACAGACATTGGCTCCTGGCAGATGAAGTGCAGAAGTAGATGGCAGCTTCCATGAGGTACAGGTTCAGATAAGTAAAATCTTTCCCTGTACCCTACAACCATTGATCTGTAAGTGGCAAAATCACCAACGGGGATCTTGACAAACTATGCAGAGCTGCTTACTTTAAAGTAGGGGAGTACAAACTCAGAAGAATAAGTTTTATACTGCAAAAATCTGGATCTTCATAATAAATAGCCTCTAAATATTGTAGGCTAATTATATGCCTGATTTGTAAAGATATGTTATATTACTGTGGCTATAAAAAGGGAAGCAGACTCAGTATTTCTATAATCAACTGTGCTGATATTGAATTATACAGTTATAGTGAGTGGATTATTAAAGGGACACTATAGTCACCAGAACAACTACAGCTTATTCAATTTGTTCTGGTGAATAGAATCATTCCCTTCAGGCTTTTTGCTGTAAACACTGTCTTTTCAGAGAAAATGCGGTGTTTACATTACAGCCTAGTGATAACTTCACTGGCCACTCCTCAGATAGCTGTTAGAGATCCTTCCTGGGTCATGGCTGCCTAAAATGCACCCAAACATTCAGTATCTCCTCCTTCTGCATGCAGACACTGAACTCTCCTCATAGATATTCATTGATTCAATTCATCTCTATGAGGAGATGCTGATTGGCCAGGGCTGTGTTTGAATCATGCTGGCTTTGCCCCTGATCTTCCTCTTTGTCAGTCTCAGCCAATCCTATGGGGAAGCACTGTGATTGGATCAGGCCACCACTTCTGATGATGTCAGCAGACTGCTTTTTTTTGAGGAAAAGAGCATGCAGAGTTTCAGCTTGTTGCTATATTTATGGAGGCATCAGGGACCCAGGGGAGCTAGATTGTGGTTTTAACATTATAGGGTCAGGAATACATGTTTGTGTTCCTGACCCTATAGTTATCCTTTATGAATGCAAAGTAAGCAACTCTAACTGTACTGGCTACATTTTAGTGTGTCAGCTATTTTGATCAACATTTTTTTTGGATGGTTTGCATTTCACTTTTTTTTCTATTGTTGTTCAACTGTGACAGCATAGATGTGCTTACACACTGGGAACACACTGAATTCCAAAGTTGTGTACAACTAATGCAACAGCCATTCACTATTGGTGATAAATAATTCACATGGGAGAAGGGGTAAAGTTCAGATTTGCATTTACAAAGTCATCTTTACTACAATATCTATCTATTCATCCATCCATTTAGATTGTGTATTCTACAATAATTCTTGGTACTGAATATTTGACCGGCAGCAGCAGGTTTATTTAATAACTTGTATTTATAACTAACAGGAAAGAATTAGAATCAAGAGTGCCTCTACATGGGCCTGAATTCCAAGAAGCTGTGTCTAAGGAAGCTTCCAAGGAAGAACGTCGCCATAGTCAACAAATAAATGAATTCCAAGAGAAAATAAATGCACTGACGCAGCAGTATACAGCTCTAGAAGATGAATTTCGATCCGCTCTGATTATTGAATCCAGACGGTTTAAAGAGGTACTCTTATTGTATAGAAAGTTTCTATTTTTTCCTTTACTTTTTAACTCTTTGTGTGCCAGGTCTTTGTGAAGCAGCCGTGGATGCTCAAAGGGTGTGAATCTATGGCTCTTTCCTTTTATTTATTTACATTTTTTTAAAGCATGCTGCAGTTACAATTTATTTTTTTTATATATAAATTCTACAATACTGAAGTGTGTGCGATAACCACAAAAGAAAATGATTTACAAAAGGGTATTCAAGTGCAGTTATAGTGCTGTTAAAATAGTTTGCATTTTGGGGACTAGGGACTTCTTTTCTTTTTCCAATTACAATTTTTACTGGCTTATCCTTTAATCTCTATTTGAGTCCTGCTAACAGCCAAAATGGATATGAAGCAGGTCTTAATTACATGACACGAAGAAGTGCCTTAAACAGCACTATTTGGTCAAATCAGAAGAGTAACCGTAAACGGAGCTTATGCATTCATAAGTGCAAATGTAAAGGTGCATAATAAACAAGAAGGTCCCCAGTAAATATACACCGTACTGCACAGAACTGAATTGTAAATGTTTAGAAGAATGAATAGTTGCTGTAGTGGTGGGATGTCTCAGACTAACCCCAACAGTATAACAATTGTCACTTGTAGGGTACACCAGACAACTTCTGAATACACTACTCCTTGCCAATGAATAGATCATAAACTGTAATGGTGAATTCCTTAAGGAGGAGAGCAAAACAGAACATGTTACACACACAAAATGCACAAACAATACAGACAGACAATACCTACCATACGAGCACACACACACTTCAGACACACACACACACTTTGGAGTGGGGGCGGAAACAAAGAGAGACAATCAGGAGGGTGAGAAACTCAGGATTATTCAGTAAACTCAAAATTTTTGCAAATTAAAATGTTTTGAAGTGATCATGGTTCAAGGAGCCAGTATGTGCAGCATTTCAGTATGATATTTAGGCAGCCTGGCTGTGGTGTAACTGCCCCTCAGGAGTAACTAGCAAGCCTGAAACGATAGTTTCCAGCTGGATAATGTCAATTGTTTGCATATTATGTGCACAGACGCTCATTCATTGGCTGAGAAGACTTGGCTGACACTCTCTGCAAATGAACCAGCGTCAGGATCAGAATCTGGCTTCTGCAGCTCTGTAGAAGTCAGATACGGTTCAGCCACAATTACAGAGGGCTCTGTGCCCTGTGGGACCAGGTAGAGGGTCTTCTCAACACCAGGAAATGGTGGCATGGTACTCCTAGCATCATGAACACTACAGCATGCTCTGGTGATTATGATGCTTAGAATAACCCTTTAAATCCAAATAGGAAAACAGAAGCAAAAGGGTGTGACTATAGTAAGAGAGAATTTTTCTAGATTCTTTTTTTTTTTTTTTTTGCCCACGCTTTTCCATTTGGATTTAATTAGCAAAATGCCAGGGGTCACAATCTGAAATTATTATTGTGTATCAGGACAAGTAGATTGCCATGACAAACATGTAGATTGGGTTACCACTTTAGTCTCTTGGACTTGCACCCCTGATAAAAATCCAATAGTCTTTATTTATTGTTGAATAGTAATGCTATTGACACAATACAGACAGACAATACCTACCATACGAGCACACAGACACACTTCAGACACACACACACACACTTTGGAGTGGGGGGGGAACAAAGAGAGACAATCAGGAGGGTGAGAAACTCCAGATTATTCAGTAAACTTAAAATGTTTTGAAGTGATCATGGTTCAAGGAGCCAGTATGTGCAGCATTTCAGTATGATATTTAGGCAGCCTGGCTGTGGTGTAACTGCACCTCTGGCAGAGTAACTAGGGAAGGTAAAAGAAAGTGCTTTATCAACATACTTCCGTACAAAAATGCTGCCATTAGACAATTGCACTACTGTTATTCCAGTAACAGTTGAGCTTTAATTCTGCAACATGTATTCTTTGAAGTTGTAGTAGTACTATGTTACTGCACACCTGGAATTTAGATCTGTTTACACTGGCCAAAGCTATGTCACCACTCCATTGCATGTACATAGGCATTCGAAAAATGGAGTTTGGCTCACCTTATATAGCACATGGGAATTTTAGAGGTTTTTTTTTTTTTTTGCTAGGGCCTCCTTTGTCTCAGTACAAATAAATGTTTGTTTAAAGAGGTTCAAAATACATGGTTAAATTATTTATTTTATGATGCGCCAAGGAAAGATGAGTGGTGGCCCCCTCAGTTTCATGTTCAGGCAGGATATAGGAAACCGTGTCATAGATTTTAAATTCGTATTTGACAACATTTATTTAGTGAGCTGTAGGAAATTTGCATACAGTTATGAATTTGTGTATAACTGTAAAATTATGGGGAAAATAATGCTAACTATGTTCTCTGGAGACTCCATAGTAATGCCCAAGATTAGCACTGCTTGCTCTTTTTTATCTTTTTTAATTATTAAAGGACCACTATAGGCACCCAAACCACTTCAGCTTAATGAGGTTGTCTGGGTGCCAGGTCCAGCTAGGGTTAACCCTTTTTTCTATAAACATAGCAGTTTCACATAAACTGCTATGTTTATATTAGGGTTAATCCAGCCTCTAGTGGCTGTCTCATTGACAGCCGCTAGAGGCGCTTGCGTACTTCTCACTGTGAAAATCACAGTAAGAAGACGCCAGCGTCCATAGGAAAGCATTCAGCCGAAGAGGAGGAGGAGAGCTCCCCGCCCGGCGCTGGAGAAAGAGGTAAGTTTAACCCCTTCCTCTCCATCCAGCCCGGCGGGAGGGGGACCATGAGGGTGGGGGCACCCTCAGGGCACTATAGTGCCAGGAAAATGAGTTTGTTTTCCTGGCACTATAGTGGTCCTTTAAAGGGACACTATAGTGACCTAAACTACTTTGGTTTATAGATCATGCCCCTGAAGTTTTACCGCTCAATTCACTGCCATTAAGGCGTTAAATCACGTTTAATTCTGTTTATGCAGCCCTAGCCTCTCTTCCCCTTGCTGTTACTCACACAGCCTGCATGAAAAGGTTTCATTTTCAATCAGATGTAACTTACTTTAAAAGTTTTTATATCCTCCTCTGCAAATGTAACTTTAATTACATACAGGAGGCTCCTGCAGGATCTAAAAAAAGCTCTTAAAAGAGCAGAAGATACACAATTCTAAAGTAGGCCGAATTTGTGATAAAGGAAGTGTAAACATTAAATGACTCTTTACAGAAGGTGTTTAGGAAGCCTATGCAAGTCACATGGAGAAAGGTTTGACTAGGGCTGCATAAACAGTGATTTCATTCCTAAATGGCACAGAATTGAGCAGTGAAACTGCAGGAGCACGATCAATACACCAAAACTGCTTCATTAAGCAAAAACTTTTGGTGACGATAGTGTCCCTTTATTATATTTTTTCTTTCAATATGTTTAGGGTAACTTTTCACCCCAACATGAGTTACATTCCTGGGAAGCTGTTACTGTTATTCAATCCTCCTTCCAATATTGTCATAATGCTAACATGCAGTGCTGTTGCCACTGACCTTAGGGGAGCTTATGAACATATCCATGCTTTCCTATAATTAGGGGAAGGTACGCCACTGGGCATAAATTCACCTTCATTATTTGTCCATTTATTTTAAAGGGCAACAAATTTGTTTTTGTTTTTTTACCTAAGGAAACTGCCTGTTAGCATTGAGTCAGCTCATTTAACAAGAGTTTGAGAATCTTAGAGTAACTTGCCCCATGGCATTCTTTACATTTTGCTACACCTTGGGTGAGAAGACATGGTCTTTTCATCCAACCATTTACATTAATATGTGTGTATATATATATATATATTATTATTTATTTTTGTGTGCGCACATCTATTTTGTCAGTGATGCTGGGAAAAGCAAAAATGATTTTAGACATTTTACTTTAATTGCTTTGATTAAATGTTGGTGCTATCTCCATGGCTTATTCAAAATAGTTTTGTATTTTTTTTTTTTTTGTAGGTTAAAGATGGCTTTGATAGCATGTCTGCAGAAATATCCGAATATAAGGAGGCACTTAATTGCTGCCAACGAAAAGAAAAGCAGTTGGCGGCTTTAAATCAAGAGCTAACTACCATGGTGAAGGAGCAGAAAGCAAGGATAGCAGAAATTACAAAAGCAAAGCAAGAGAAAACCAGTGAATTAAAAGTATGTAATTTTCTTGGAATTAACTGTTTAATCCTGGACAAAATATAGCTTCTAACACCTTAACCTCGTCACGTTGGCACTTATGTATACATGCTTGCCAGGAAATTTATTCATACCCTGCCATTCATGCTGAAAACAGTGAGATTGACTCTGTGTTCATCCCACCTCTGTCTGAGCTGCAGAATACTGAAGTGGTGGGAGGCCAGGGGAGGTCAGCATTTAATCTTCCCAGCCTCCCTGATTGTGCTGTATTTACACTGAGCACAGAGGGAGATGGGATATGATGTCACATCCTCCATGCTTCATGTATATGTTTTTATGTGTATATGTTTTTGTGTGTGTCCAAAAAGGCAACATGGCTGCAGTGATGGTAATATGTTTTGTACAAAATCAAAATGTGACAACATGTATAATAATTATACAATCTAAATTTATTTATATATTTATTTGCAACACGGTTTCCCTATCTGTAGCTTCATTATTTGGTAAATGATTATTTAAGTTTTTTTCTGTCCAACCAAAAGTTCATTTATGTTTTTATTAAATAGTACGCTATCTATATGTACTAAAAAAAATACATTTAAACTTTACTTTACAGGACACCCAAAATACTTGGATTCTGGAGGTCGTTGTGTTTTTTTTTTTTGCAAACCGCTTGGAAGTGAGGGGGTTAAGAGCAAATGATAGTTTATAGACCTTATAACTACATGGGATATTTTGCTTATTAATACTACAGAATCCCCACATTCTCCAAACAAGCACTTAATAGCCTTCAGTGGACTAGATATTGTTATAATGAAATGGGCCATCATTGGTCCTGAAAGGGACACTCTAAGCCAGGGTGAGGCAACCTTCGGCACTCAAGATGTGTACTAAATCTCCCATAATGCTTTTACACCCATAATACTGGCAAAGCATAAAGGGAGATGCACTCCATATCTAGAGTGCTGAAGGGTGTCTACCACTGCTCTAAGCATTAAAATAAATGTAGCTTAATGAAGTGGCTTTAGGGTAGTTTCATGCTCCTACAATATCACTGCTTAATTATCTGCCATTTGGGAGCTAAATCACATTGTTTGTTTATTTAGCCCTAGCTACACATTCTCCTGGAACCTCAACACACAATTCCTGAAAAATAAGTTTAAATTTTTTTAACTTCCCTTATTGCACTGTGTGTCTAATTTAGAAATTCTTATGTCATGCTCTTGTAATTGTCTGCAGCAGCTTCATGTGTGTGATTAAAGTTTAATCGACAGAGCATAAGATAGGAACTTCTAAAGCAAACCTCACTGTGCTGCAAAAAACAAAGTGATTCAATACCTAAACATCAGATAATTGAGCAGAGACACTGCAGTGGCATCTACACATCACAATTGCTTTATAAAGCTTGGCGTTTTGGGGCTTATATTATGCCTTTAACTGCATTCCGATGTAGTGAGTGAATTGAAAATCTTTTACAAAAGGCTTGTTTTAAATTGTCTCCAATTTTATTATTTATTTTTTTCTTGTTTAGTTTTTTTTCCCATATGCACCTTGTATCTAATTATTTACACCCATATAGCCATTTGCAATTATTACATTATTATCCTTTCATCCTTGTGCTGGACCTTAGTACCTGGGCTCCTCCATTTGTTCTTCTCTGTCATGATGTCTGCAGTACCATCTGTGGGATTATTTTATCTGATGCATTGTGGGTAAATAACCCACAATTAGATGGTGCCTTGCCTAAGTACCAACCATTGCCTTTGCCTCTCAAAGTTTACCCTACTTTTTCTTATGCATAACCTAAAAGCACAAGTATAAAGGTGAAAATAAAGGATTCATGTAAAAGCAAAACCTACAAAGTGAGGGAGTCCTAACTGAAGGAAGGAATTACAAGCCTTTACAAAGCACAGTTAGAGGGTGAATCTATATTAATATTTTGCTATTTTAACAAGTTTATGCAATACATTTTTATTTAATCTGAAACATATTCTTATAGAGCAAAATCTGTACCCTGGAAAGAGTTGCTGAAGAAGAAAAACGCAAAACTGTTCAAATTGAAGTTCTGAAGCAAGAAAAATCTAAACTGATTTCACAGCTCACTGCACAGGAATCATTGATAGATGGATTAAAAGCTGAGAGAAAAATCTGGGGACAAGAGCTAACTCAACAAGGTAGAGATCTAATTTTGTATTCATACTATAGAACTGAATTAAGGTAATAAATCCATTGTGACTTAAAGCTATACCTCACGTCTTACCTGTAGAACATAAACCCAGTTTCAGGTAGATGATCTTGTGATTCGTCTTAACATGGTAACAGAATGATGATAACTTCTGTTAGTATCCTTTCAATGGATAAGACAAACCATGTTAAGATGTTTAAATAAGAATGGGGAAAAACTCCACCTGTCAAAATACAGTATGTTTCTGCATCAATTCACTATATTTTGATTTTGTCAAAGCAGCTCTGTCACCGCTTTTACCACCCTACAACCACCCCACAAAAAAATAGCAAATTAGTATTTTGTAAAACTGCAAACTTTATGAAATTATCACATTGCCTATGTTAGGACCTCTTTAGACTGTGTTGAAATTTAATTGAAGTTCTCACTCCCCACCCCCCCCCCACCAAACAAAATTGGGACTACTTTTCATGTGCTTAACAAAAAGGTGAGCTACCTCATCCAGTTTTGTCAGTTCCCCAGCAATCACTAGTGACGGCTGTGGGGGGGAAAAGGCATCGTCTTCCTAATTGCAAGACAATATCTATGGAGGCTCCCATGGCCTATATCAATGCATTTCGTATCAAACATCTCGACAAAGAGCAACAGCACTTTATACATAATGCTGGACACATTATTGGTGAACTGTGATATAATCCTGGACTAGACCAACCTGGATTAATCCTATCATTGAGAACCGATGTTAAAGGCTCACTATAGTGTCAGGAAAACAAAGCTGTTTTCCTGACGCTATAGTGCCCTGAGGGTGACCCCACCTTTAGGGTCCCCCACCCGTGGTGCTGAAGGGGTTAAAGCCCCTTCAACAGCTTACCTTAATCCAGCACCAGGCTCCCTCAGCGCTGGTGACCTCTCTTCCCCCGTCCGACGTCAGCGGAGCCAAATGCGCATACGCGTGCATTCAAAGTGTCCATAGGAAAGCATTTCTCAATGCTTTCCTATGGACGCTCTGCGTGATGGAGGCGAAATATGCCTTCAGCATCGCAGATGCACCTCTAGTGGCTGTCCGGAAGACAGCCACTAGAGGCTGGATTAACCCCAAATGTAAACATAGCAGTTTCCCTGAAACTGCTATGTTTGCATCTGAAGGGTTAAAACCTGAGGGACCTGGCACCCGACCACTTCATTGAGCTGAAGTGGTCTGCGTGACTATAGTGTCCCTTTAACCTTTCAATTGGACTATGGAGCAAGTTTACATTGTTGCAATAGTTGCCAAATAAGAAGGGGAAAGAGCAATTTCTTTTTGTGAAGTTACTCTCTAAAGCAGGCTTCCTCAAACTCCGGCCCTCCACATGTTGCTGAACAACAACTGCCATTATTCTGCGAATGAAATTGGCTGAGAATCATGGGAGTTGTAGTTCAGCAACCTCTGGAGGGCCGGAGTTTGGGAAGCCCTCTTTAAAGGCACACTATAGTCACCAGAACAACCACAGCTTAATGTAGTTGTTCTGGTGAGTAAAGTCAGTCCCTGCAGGCTGTTTGCTGTAAACACCGCCTTTTCAGAGAAAAGTAGGAGTCATTAACTACTATGTATCATCTAACTTGTAGTAGCAGCAGTTGATCAATATCCACTACTAACTAAAAGTAGCAACAGGCATTTTAGTGAGTAGCAGATGGGCAGTAAGAAGTAGTGACAACATTGGAAATGAGCCCAGAGAAGTCGAGCATACTGCCATTCTGATTAATGACGGCAATGTATGATCGTGTAGCTAATTATTTAAAAATGAAATCTAATATTTACCTGTAAATTATTAACATTGTTTGTTTATACAGACATTCGTTTAATCTATATTTTTATTTCCTGTCATCTGTGCATGTCTTGTACAGTTTAAAACCACCACTGTAAAGTACTTTCTATTTTAGGGGTTTCACTGGCACAGGATCGAGGAAGGCTAGAAGCAAAAATTGAGGTTCTTTCAAATGAAATTGAAACCTTGAAAAAGCAAAATGAACGTGACAATGATGCTCTAAAAATCAAAATCAAAGTTGTCGATGACCAGACAGAAACCGTAAGGAAACTTAAGGAAGTGAGTATTTTCATATTTCTTAAATGAGTCACTTCACTAATTTTGTTCTTTATATTCTTTAGGAGTGTTTTGCTTTTTTTTTTTTTTTTTACAAGATTACATAGTTTTTGTAAAGAGATTCTATAGTGTAAGGAATCCAAAGCAAGACGTGCCTCTAGTGGCTGTCAGACAGTCTTGGTCCTGCAATGTAATTATTGCAGATTCTCTCAAACTGAGTTATTTACATTGCCTCACAAGTGCCTCCTGTTGGTATGGCTAAGTGTATGTTTGTATGTAATGTTGTATGCTTGGCTGTGGCTGGTTGGTTAACGTAACTGGCTTTGGTGGTGTGTGACATGGTTTGTGATTGGTCTGTATTGACTGGATGAATAGCTTTTTGTAGTTTTTTGTTTTTTTTCTTCTTTTTCTTGTTTTCCGTGAGACTAGGGTAATTGGATTAGTATGTGAAAGGGCATGTGACTTATTGGATGTATGCCAGTTTCACATTATGGTATTTGAGTGAGCTGTGCTGGACCCTGCCTCGTACATTGAGGAGAAAGGCCCTGCCTGACCATAGTTTGTACAGACTAGTCAGCATTGCAGCAGGGCAAATATTAACAGGATTATTTGCTAAATACCAAAGTGTACACAATTAAATTTAAACCAAAATGGCAAGAACAGTCGATCAGGAAACCTTCTCCAGCTCACTGTTTTAAGATTTCAGTGTCCATTTTGCCACTCAGATTTTTTTTTGGTATAATTAAGAGTTTGGTGAATACCCTTGCAATAGGGGTTAACTAGTGTTACATATAAAGAGCGAGGACTGGATTCCAGTCAGATTAACCCTTTAAATGAAATCCTGTAATAGTGTCAAAAAGCTGTGGTATAAAGGCACTAGAGGAAGGATATAGTAGGTGAAAGCTAAATGCAGGTTATGGCAGACACAGAGTATAAAGTCTTTTCAGGTGGCAGACTCAGCACCTCTGCAGCATTAAGCAAAGACAGAAGTAAATCCTGCATTGCAGGAGTTTGTAAATTAAAGTCCCCATTGATGTTTAGGTGGCTTGGATACCATTTGAGGATCTTTACATATTTCATCCCTGTGATGGCACAGTATATTTACCTGAAGCTCACTCTTGCAATCACCTCCATCTTCCTTTTTCTGCTTTGCCCAAGAGAGTGCAACTTAGAACTCTATGGAGGATCCCGCTAGACCGTAATGCAAGAATAAATGCCTGTTTCTTTGTGTTGTCATTAGCAACTGCTGAGGAAATTGACAGAACATATTGGTAAAAGTTTAGCCTTTTGTCAACTTCAGACATGACCATATGTAAAGTAGGCCCTTTATTGACTTCTGTCTTTTGATTGCTTTGGGATTTTAGTGAAACATTTTATACATATGAAATACTCAGAATGTTATTGTTGTGACAGAGCTGCTATAAGATTGACAGAGTTTAGTGTGAATTGTAGTTCGCAAACACCTGCAGTGCCAAATGCGATTTTTGAACTACATTTTTCATTATTTCCATTTATATTCAGCCATAGAAGTGACTGCAGTATCCTGATACAAGAAATAAAATCCAAACAATTATTAGAATGTAACAGCTATTTAATGTAGTATAACACCAAGTGACAAGGCAACGTTTTAGTCACAAAACTTCAGTCACCTTGGTAAAATGAAATGTAAAGTTGAGCTACAGATCCTTGTCAAGATTGGTTTGACACTGAACAGTAGGAACAGCACCTGGGAATCCACTTCAATAAAATTAAGTAGTTATAGTGCCTAGAGTTGCACTTTATATTTATTTCTCGAGTGATCTTATTTTCAACTGTAACATGGTCTATGCTTCTTTGTATTTATAAGGCGGCAAACGTGTCTTGACTCGTTAAAGCGTCTTCCTCGAATACTCATTTACGAGTCGAAACGCGTTTGCTGCCTTGTGGAACTTTACATTGAGGGCTTCTTGCAGTGATTCATACCTTTAGCCTTTTGAGCTTATTTATTTTGTGTTCTAGTCTTTCAGTCTATTTTGTTTTTATTTATTTGTGATAAAGTATTCCATCTTTTATCACATCCTGAGTTTCTGAAGTTCCTACTTTGGATCTGAGATCCTGATTTGGATGTACTTCCTGGCCTGTAAAGAAACCTTGTAGCTTATGTTATACAGCCTGGTTATGGCTCTGTTTTTGAGAGTGACATTCTTTATACATATTGTTTTATCTCTATACAGAAATTAAGATTTCTCACAAACCATTTTTAATCTGTAACAGCGAGTAGATTACTTTTGCTGTTCTGCTTCATACGAACTGTATATCCATATATTTATTTGTTGATTTCTTTGCACCATAAAGAACCGTGGTTATATCATTGCATTATGCCCATTATATGCACACAGGGACTGCAAGAGAGAGATGAACGAATCCGAAAGCTGCGTGAAGAAAATCTTGGGCTTGAGAAAGCATTACGAGAACAGACCGACGAAAAGACAGCACAACTGGAGGAGCTAAAAGGGAAGCTGCAAAGACAGATTGCGAGGAAGGACGAAGTCGAATTGCTCCTTGAAGAGAGAGAAGCTGAATTGGAAGATGTGAAGAAGGCTTACAGGTGATTAACCGGCCACTAGAGCAGAGGTTTTAGCAAACTGTGCAGGGACTGTGCTGTTTGAAGATGAATCTCGGCTAATTTGAGGCATTTACTCTTTCTATTCTTAGTGCAATGAATATGAAGTGGCAGGATAAAGCGGAATTACTAAACCAGCTTGAAACGCAAGTCAGGAAGATGAAAGAGAATTTTGATGCCAAGGAAAAGAAGTTGATTGAAGAGAGAGACAAAAGCATCCAAACTCAGAAGTAAGTAAAAAGCTAATTTTGCTTCTATGGAACTTTTTTTTAGTTTCCCACCATTTTCCTCCTGTATAATCAGCTTTTACATTATAAAGATATTCTCCTTACATTTTCACTATCAAATATATTACATTTAGAATGCATATCCTCCCCCCACCCCCATAAAAATTACCAGTAAAACAGGAACAAAGGTGCTATGCAAAATAGACCAATACAGCATTTGTAAATTATCATCAAGCAATGTGCCTTATTTGTATCAATGCCTAGAACCAATATAGGCTAAAGGCAGCTATTGTGTGTAGAGGTATATTTTGACCAGTTTCTGTGATAGATGCAGTTCTCATACTTTTCTAAAATGATGTCTTAAGTGACTAGATTTAATTCTCACACTTTGATATGGTAATATAATTTAAACCGTTTCATTCCTAAAACACATCCTGATTACATAGACCACAACCTTAAGAAAGCGTATAACAGATACATTTCTTTTGGTGTGATTGTTCAGTGCCACCGTAACTCTTTAGATGTGTTTAGTTGTTCCTCTAAAATCAGGAAGTAGATGCCATTCCTTCATATGTCTAGGATTTCAGTTTATAACTGGTCACTAAGTAGACAGAGTCTTTGTTTTTAAAGTACATTTTCATTAAGAATGTTGAGTAAATTTCAACTGAGTTGCAAATCATATAGCAGGGTGTTAGAGAAAGCCATTTGATTTGACATTTTACAGTTGGTTGGTATAAGCAACATTCTTGTGGTTGTTTTCTTTGATTTTATTGTGGAATTTGGTATGTGTCTTTTAAGTTTAATAGCCATTACAGAAAACAAAATTGTATACAAAAGTATATATTTATGTGAAGTCTTCACAGGCTATTTATCCACTTTTTTACGTAGCCATTTAACTGCCATTTTCTGTTAAATATTGGAAGAATGTATGCCTTTCTTTGCCAATGTAATAAGTGCCAAAGCGCCATAGTAATGGGGGTGAATCCCAATAACTCCCGTCCAGAAGAAGCAGTACCACTCTGTAGAGGGGCTCACCCTCACAATCATTACCATTATTGGTAGGTAATGGCTCAGCTAACAGAGCCCAGTTATTTAATGACACCAGTGGTTATCTTGTTACCAATAGGGAAACAGTCCCTGCTGGTAATATACCGCATCGTGAAATTATTCCATCATGGGTGCTTAATGGAAGAACAAGAATGACAGAATCATTCTTAAAGGGTTAAGACCTGTTGATTGGTGGACTTTTTTTTTTGTCCCATTCAGAAAAAAAAATCTGCATTAGCAGAGTCCATGCAATTCTTCTGCAATAGTTTGCCATTATCCAACTTGTTTATAAAACAAAGTAGAGACACTAATTTGTGTTATGAGTTGCTTTTTTATAAACATAAAGTGAATGTTAATCCGATTTGTTTAGCAAGAGGTCAAATTACTGTGTTTTTTTTTTTTGCAATTCAAATAATGCCAAAACCTAATGTTAAGACATTTTTACTTCCTCCTCCCATACTGTCTCCATCCACTCACTGACCATTGTGTAGGAGTCTTGTCGTTATTGGGCAATGTATTTTTTACAAGTCTAGCAGTTTTACAGTGTTAGGATATCTACAGATTTAATGTACCTAATAGTTTTCAAACGTTGTTTAAGGGTTTGTTAATTCATAGTCCTGAATCTGAATTGGCCAATTTTTATAAGTCTGCTATTTTGGCCTACATGTTGCAATTGGATTTTGTATTCACCACAGTTAACTGTTTTTTTTTGTTTGGTTTTTACTGAATAAACACAAGTGACCCTAAAAATGGAGAGTATCCTTAAACATACTATTATTACTGACTGTTTGTTTATCTCTATCAACAAAGACATTTGGGCCGATGTGTGTCTTGTTTTATTTAATGCATTTTTATTCATGTTAAAATTGTGATATAAAATCACACATAGTGACAACACTGACACTTATTGTAAAGCTTGCTTTAACAAGGTCCCTCTTATTTACTGTTATTTGCTCCAAATTAATATTATAAAGCAGTGCAGAATAAGTTAGGGCAATATAAATGCTAATAAATAATAAAAAAAAAAAAAACAGAACAAATACAATGAATGTGCAGGGCCAGAATGTGGACATGCTAGTGATGCTTTCTAAAAAAAAAGGGGGTGTATCAACTATCAGGCTAGGACTATGCAGATATCCTCCCTCTTCTTCAATGCGAGAATATTTAATGACACACAGGATTTCCCCTTCCAGAACAGAGAATGTTGAGATGTAATTTATGCTGTAAGTAATGACATTTATCACGGTCATTTGGCGATGAAAACATTTGTAATAAGCAATCTAATTCCATACGATCATTGTTTGTATGTGTCTGCTCAGAGCTTTAACAGAGAAACTGCGCTCTGTGGATGACGCCTTTCGGCAGCAGCTGGAGTCGGTTCTCGCTGCTCATCAAGCTGAACATATTAAGGTAGCAAGTGACAAACAAAAAGAAATTGAAGCAGCACACGAGAGGGTGAGTGTGCACTGTGTCATATGCAGAGATGTATAAACCCTTTAGCGTTCTATATGTTAAAATCTGTTGTACATTTTATCATTCTCACAGGTTTTCCAGGTGGAAGAAGAGATGCGTCAGCTTTTACAAGAAACTGCAAAAAGCAAAAAAAACACAGAGGAAAAGATTAAGCGACTTACGAAAGCTTTAAGTGATATTCAACAAGAACTATAATTATATTTTAGAATTTCAGATACATGTAAGAAAATGTTCATGTAAAAAGGACTTGTATATATTTCAGTGTTATATCTGTTAATTTTATGAAAGGCACTTTCAAGGTAACTGGTAAGTGATCTGCAACTCTTTAAAAGAACACTCCAGGCACCATAACAACTTAAATGGGATGAACTGGTTATGCTGCAAATATGTTCCTGGCACTAACTTATCTTTAGGGCTTAAGAAGTCTTCATTCCAGCGCTCTTTAGCTCTGTCCTTGTCCTTCTTCAAACAGGAAGCCTTTGTCAGGAGCGCTGCTAATTGGCAGAGTAGCCCTCCATTCATAAAAATTACTTAAGAATAATACATACGTATCTCAAGCCGTTTTATGAATGAGGAGCTACGGATTTGGCTTAGAGCGTCATCTGACGCACTCAGACAATCTACGGCACCCTTGTTCCCCAGGCAGTCTAAAGGCTTCCCGATACAGTCATATACTTAAAAAAAAATAACATAAACAGGACATAGTGCAACACTGTATATATAAATTAATTTACTGCTGTAATGATTGCACTCACAGACATAAGAGAAGTAGGTGCATATTACAAATCCTCCCCTGTAATGGGTATGGGATCAGGAACTCCTACGTGCTTTTCCTTCTCACGAACAGGTACCAGATCTGAGGTTTCCTGTTTGAAGAATTTCAAAGAAACGGAAGGACAGGGGCAGAGCTAAATGACTCTGGAGAGAAGACTTTGTGGTTAAACCGTTCGTGAACAGTTTAATCTCTACAGATAAGCCAGTGCCAAGAACCTCCTGGCAACATAACAACTTAAATTTTATTAAGCTGTTATGGTCCACAAAATGTTGCTTCAAGGAGTTATTAGAAGCATGTTGTGTATCTTTATATTTGTGAAGGGTCTGGTCTCTAATGTAAAATCAGATCTCATTTTTATTATTTATTTAAAATTGTAATTCACCAAATTAAATATGTTACAACAACAAAACACTGGCCTAGTGGTGAATGGATATACTTTACAAAATCAAAAAGATGTGTGGGTTCATTGACCCAAATTTACCAACGACTGTATGTAATTTAAGTGAAACTAAATATCTAAGCTCTCTATAATTCTGGATAAATGTTAGAAACTAGTAAGAGAATACCTCAGAATGGGGTTATAGAGATGCATTGATTCAATGCATTTGTATGGAGAACATACAACGCCTCTATGCAGTTCTCTATGGGGAACTGTGCAGCACTGACACAGTAAGCACCTCTAGTGGCCATCTGAGTGACTGCCACTAGAAGTGTTAATAAGCACCAATGTAAACACTGCCTATTCTCTGAAACATTGAACAGCCTGCAGGGGCAGGCTGTAGACACAAGAACCACTACTTTAAGCTGTAGTTGTTCTGGTGATTATGGTGTCCCTTTAAGTTCTCTCTAGTTTTGCAGGTTCTCGGTATTGAACGGTATGAATTAGTTTGCATGTGAGCACATGTAACTGGAATGTGTGAGAGCATGCATTAAAAGAACATAAACCTAAACTGTATCTAAATCTAAAACTTTATCATTGATGCCTGTTAAGTTACATCAACAAACTAAATTTTGTCTATATTTTAAAGTGTAACTGTCATTACCGGTACAACATATGCTCTTTTTATCCCAAACTATACATTTTCTAACAATCTGCAAGCTATCTATACATTGTTATACAAAAAAGTAAAAGGAATAAAGCAGCGCTATAAACAAAAAGTGTCTGGTGCTACTTAAAAATCACCAAGTGTAATGCCACTCTATTACACTTAAAAACACTTGATCATACAGAAACAAAGTGATTTAGCGCACAAAAGGAGTAAATTTTACCTTCTGAAATATATATACATATATAACAGGTTCTCCGTATAAAATGATTCTGTAACCTATATAAAATAGATATACATACACTTAGTGTAATCTGTATTTACACAGTTATAATAAGTGAAAGTAGTCTGTAAACTCACTATTTTTTGAGCCTATTAAAAGTTGGCTCTGAACTTCTAAAGCATTTCATCTCACTTCATGAGATAGAATTGGTGCAATCACGTCCACAGGAACTCAGGAACTTGATATCAGCAACAAAAATTGACACGTATAAAAAGTATTTATTTAGACTTTAGAAAAAATATATAAAAAGCACAATGCGTTTCAACCTCTCTAAGGTCTTCCTCAGGTGCAGGTATACTGTACATTGAATCTACATTAAATATATATGGGATATATTTAATTACAAACAGTGGTAAAGTTTTGTAATAATTTTTATCCTATATATTTTTTATCCTATATTTATTAAGAATATGATATATGATTAGTCTTGTATTTATTTTTATATGTTTATTCATAGTCTTATTTATATGGAATTTATCCCCATCTTTTTGTTATATCCTCTTTTTATCCTTTAATTATTATGGACAATCTGGACACTATGGGCATGAGTGCCCTTTTCCTCAATGGTATCTTGGACATCAAATGCCACTCCCCTGGGAGGTTTACAAGGAATTGATTGCTACAATACGATCGAGCTACAGGGAATAATGGAAGTGACGCAATGCGCCGAAAACTGGAAATACGTCACCGGAAGTGACGCGACACAAAGATCCCACAGTACGGACGGACATGTTTGGGAGGGCATAGGAATAGGTCACGAACTGGATGTGGCGCAATATTGGGGATGGCAAACCACATCCGGTCATGACCAGATTTGGAAATGGGTGGGAACCCACACCCTAATTACCACTATTTGTAATTTAATATATCCCATATATATATATATATATATATATATATATATATAATGTAGATTCAATGTACAATATACTTGCACCTGAGGAAGACCTTACAGAGGTTGAAACGCGTTGTGCTTTTTATATATTTATGTTTTTTTCTAAAGTCTAAATAAATACTTTTTATACTTGCCATTTTGGACCCTAGAATTTTTGTTGCTGATATCAAGTTCCTGTGGACGTGATTGCACCAATTCTATCTCATGAAGTGAGATGAAATGCTTTATAAGTTCAGAGCCAACTTTTAATAGGCTCAAAAAATTGTGAGTTTACAGACTACTTTCACTTATTATAACTGTGTAAATACAGATTACACTAAGTGTATGTATATCTATTTTATATAGGTTACAGAATCATTTTATACTGAGAACCTGTTATATATGTATATATATTTCAGAAGGTAAAATTTACTCCTTTTGTGTGCTAAATCACTTTGTTTCTGTATTATCCATTGTGATTGCAGATTGTTGGAAAATGTATAGTTTGGGATAAAAACCTATTTAACTGACAGGTATGAGACACCTATTTTTTTTTTAATCGACTGACCAGGGAGTAGTAAAAACACCTCCCTCAGATGGCCCTTCTGCTCTCCACATACATGCCGTGTGGTTGCTATGGTAACTCCATAGCCTATACTGCGAGCGCTGGTTAGGAAATATAGGACCGGCGTGAGTAACGTCACTCCGTTCAGACGTCCGCATGTCTGCATTACACAGCATGTTGCCCTGCTTAGAGAAGACTCCCCAAGCAAAACAAGTCACAGAAAACCACATGCCACAGAAAAGAATGGATAGGAGGATTTTTTTTTATCTGTTTTTTTTTATTAATTTTTTTCCCAAAAACGTTTATACAAATTCAACAAAACCAAACATCAATACAGTTTAACATGATACAACTGGGTAAAAAATGTCTTACCATCAACAGTATCGGTAGTATAAAAATCTAATTACCGACCATTTAATGTAGCTAAGAGAAACGCACATAGATAAATACACATCCAATAAAGTGAGCAGTACAATTATTCGCTATGATAGTGTGTCCAAATATGGCAGGTCACTTCTGCCAAATTATCTTAAACAAATATATAAACCAAAAATATATTAGTTTATTTTAGAATGGGAGGTCAACAAGACTCCAGTATATTGTTTTTTTTTCCCAACCAATTGTCATATCGTTATTTATTAGATAAATTCAAGGATATGCCATGTAAATCTCTTTCCATTCTAAGTTGATATGTAAGTTGGTCAATAAAATGTTTTTTATACAAAGGGAGATTTGATTTCCATTGTCTAGCTTTTATGATTTTAATAGCTGATAAGCAATGAGTAGCTAGACATTTTAGAGAAGTGGATGTTAAATCCCAATTCAAGTGTAATAAAGCCACATCTGGTTTCCATTTAAGATCTATATTTGTTAAAGATTTAAACAAATTATATGTCCAATCCTTAATGGCTTTTGGTCAGATAAGATTATATTGATTGCTTTTGAGGTAACCTTTTTTTTAAAAAAAAATGAAAAGTAAAAATCGATTCTATTAGTCTATCGGTTTTAGTCGCGTTATTTAGTATAGCCTTATTTAGAAAAATTTTAAGTCTCAAAAACCTAAAGTTCTTTGTTTGGTAGTTGTAATATTTGACCTTCTTGGAAAATGTCAGCAATTCACCAGTCATGTTTAAACCAGTTTTTCAAGGATATGTCTTGCATGTTATCTTGTAAAGTAATGAGTCGGCAAGTTTTAGGTATCTTATGTATAATTTTCAGCCTTTTTCTTATTACATCCCAAACTTTGAATAGTTTGTGATAATATTAACGACTTATTATATAATAGATCCATGACTTTTTTATCACTGTTAAGCCATAAATAGAATTCTAGCCTAACTCTTCCTGCCGCTACGGATTCCAGTTCATACCACATCTCATTTTTAGAGGTGTCAATTTGCAACTTATGCACATGACCAATGATGTTAGCTAAATAGCAGTTTCTTATGTCAGGATAATTTAGGCCTCCTTGTCTATATTTTTTCGATAGGACCGTAGCACTTAATATGGGTTTTTTGCTTTTCCATTTATATGCCTGAAAACTGGGTTGAATCATATTTAACCAGCTTTCTGGCATTCGAAAAGGTAGAATTCTGAACAGGTATGACCATTTTGGCACAACATAAGCATTTATTATATTGATCCTATCTGTCCAGGAAGATTCTAACATCCGTCATTATTTTAACATTTTATTAGTGTATTTTAGACGGTTAAGTACATTTATTTCCATGGTGTTCTTAATGTGAGGGATAAGAGGTTTTTGTTACAGAAGAGTAACATCCACAAAGCTGATGTCACAATTACCGATCAACAAACTCCCTAGGAATCACTTCCGGGTTTCACCGACCGGACCTTGCCCATGCGTCTGATGTCAGACGCTGCCGCATTAAAAGTAATCTGCGGCTACTCCGAAATTGCTCAGTCAATTTGTTGTGTTGCTATGTAGCCGCCTGAGCTCCCTGTGATATCTACCTGTGTACCGAACCTCTGATCTTCCAAACCGACTATGCTGAACTCTATACTCCCTGGACAAGGAACAGACTTTGACTATTCTACTACCTTCTCCATTAAGCTGTTGTTCGATCAGTTTGATGCAAGTACATTGCTACATTGTCTCGTCACTTCATTTGCCTGCTGTCAAAGGATAATCTCAGACACTAATTAATTGTGCACCTATAAACTTCAGCATTTCATTTATATCTTGAATTATTCCTTCACAACTCCAGCCTTAATCTGATTGCTTTTCATATTACACCTGCATTATTTCCATACTGAATTATTGTGCAAATTAATCCAAAAAAAAGAAACTGTATTATTTTTTCTGGATTTAATCTTACTTATTGAATTGCTGTTGGAAACTTACTTTGGACTCACAAGACCTAAGCAAGTAAGCGCCATTTTGTTTTTCTTACAGTTACAGTACGAATTTGTTTAAATTCTGCAGTTGTGTTCCAAGGAATTTATTTTCTTGAGTATAACAGCTAATGAAATGGCAGTGTTGGCTGGTCAGTATAAGTCACATTATTAAATTAAATACATCATTAGGGATGCACCGAAATTTGTATTTAAAATTACACCGCAGGTTGAGGAAGGACTCCCTGGAAGAGGCTAAAGAGGAAGGAGGGGGACTCCCTGGGCTCCCGGGTGAGTCCCCACACCGCAGTCGCCGGTGTGGGAACGCCGGCGACCGGGTAAGTACATAGGACGGCTAGGGCGTTCTATGCCGCCCGCCGGCATTTAGAGCCAGGTCCCTAAGGACGCCGTAGAACACCCACCGTCCTTAAGGGGTTAATTATCACACTTGCAAAGTGGAAATAGATCACAAGCCCATCAAATGTAATTTCCAGTCCAATTCCCAACGATATCAGCAGCTGGAACTTTTACAATTATCTAGGCTGAATAGGCTGAATAAAACAGCAACATAATAAATAAAATCAAGAACTAACTCTACGCATTTCGTCTAACATATAGACTTCTTCAGGAGTAAAAATAAAGTGATAGTGCATCAATAAAGTGCTATGGTATGTGAAGACCAGATATTCTTCTTTTAAATGTCTCTCCTTCGGCTGTTCACCAATCGCTTCTTATCTTCACATGTGTTGATGTTTCTTCAGATTGTCATAATCCATGTATAGACTTCCGGTAGTTCTTACCGGAACGCAAATGCGTTCCATGTACCCGGAAGTCAAATCCGCCGTGATAGATAACGTCATTGCGTCTGGAACGCATATTGCGTTCCAAATCGTCCATGCATATACAGGGAATCCTTCCCCATCCGTGACCACATAGAAGAGAAAAATAGTATTAAGCCATCAGGCAGGAAACACTTATAATCCTTATGAATGAGCAATAGACTCTCATACAGAAACAAACATTATTTTAACATATATGAAAAATATTAAAAGAATAATGATGATTCATTCTAAGTGGTTCAGAAAAAAGTCAGATTTTTTAAGTGCATATTATTAATCCAGAACATCACCACCAGATGTGTATTTAGAAATATTAAAGTACATACAATATATCTGACAATAGAGAGGGAATTTGGATGCACTATTAATCCCCCCAAAAAGGGGATGGTTTAAAATAAGGGATACATATGGAAACTATGAAATGAAAAATAAAAAACAAATAAAAAATAAAGACTAAAAATAAGGATAAAAATCAAAATAGAATTTATAGAAAACAAAGGAAATCAAAATCCACATTTAGCCCACATGGCTGGAGTGTTTTAAGTCTGTGTATCCAGAATCCCTCTCGTTGTCTCAATATTAATACAATATTTCCACCTCTCACATCTAGAGCAACCTGTTCAATAATTATCCATGAAAAAAATGTTTTCTTTAAAATTAGGGCAGGCATTACAATGCACTGGTATGGAATGGTTCTGAACAGCCTTCTTGATGTTATTTAGGTGTTCAAGAAAGCAGGGTTTTGCCTTCCTGCCAGTCAATTTCTTTTCATATGAACCCTTGGATTGCCAAATACTGTTGAAAACGGTGACATCTATGATTGATGAGCTTGGAATTTTCTGCTACTCTGTGAGTGCAACCTTAAAACGCAGGGGGGGGAGGGGGGGGTTAACATAACGTTATTACCCTATGAGTTCTCTTTCCATGTCATGTTTTTAGGTATATTTGTTTTGTCCTTTAAGACTAGTAGCAGCTGAGTCTTGGTGTTATGTGATGCTTCTTTCTCCAATATGTTCTTCAAGTACTGTTCAGTCTCTGCTCTGTGTCTTGGGTGGGTATGTTGTAGATACACTGCAGCTATGCATACACCTTGGATGGTTCTTTGGTAAACCATGCATTCATTGGTTACCAAGGCTTTCAGCCTTTGCTTAGCTGCTTCCTAGGCATCTGGGTATAGCCTTGTATTTCCTCAGTAGCCAGGATCTATATTTTATCTTTTCACCTCTGTGAAGTTGATCCAGCTTACTAACTTTCTTACATGCTGTGTTTATCTTGGCTTCCAGTCTTATCTTGGCTTCCAGTCTTAGTCTCGTTAGTGGGCATTGCTTATCCTTCAGGCTCATCTCATAGTCAAGCATTTGGAAGACCACTAATGCTGTCGCATAAATGAGCTTATTGGTCTCTGCGACTGTGTTGGTTGGGATTGTGGAATGTGCCTCATTAACTGCAACTAACATACTGTCTGATAATCTTGTCGAGTGGTCATGGACTGCTAACTTGACTATCTTTCTTATATCTGTTACATATTTACACAACTGAAAAGAGACTTGCGTCCATCAAGTTCAGCCTTCCTCACGTGTTTTTGCTGTTGATCCAAAAGAAGGCCTAAAACCACAACCTAAAGCACTTCCAATTTTTCAACAAACTAGGAAAAGAATCCTTCTTGACCCCAAAATGGCAGTCAGATATCTCCTTGGATCAAGTAGCTATTACCCCACTAATTAGAAATTATATCCCTGTATGTTATTGCAAGTATTTATCCAATTTCTGTTTAAACATCTCTATGGACTCTAATAAAACCACCTCTTCAGGCAGAGAATTCCACATCCTTATAGTTCTTACTGTATAAAAAACATTTTCTTTGCTTTAGACTATATCTACTTTCTTCAAGCCTAAATGCGTGACCTCATGTCCTATGTATAGCCCTGTTTATGAATAGATTTCCAGATAATGGTTTGTACTGGCCCCGAATCTATTTGTATAATGTTATTTACCCATTGTGTAGCACTACGGAATTTGCTGGCGCTATATAATAATAATCATATCCCCTCTGAGGCACTATTTTTCCAAACTAAAGAGATTTTAATTATCTAACCTGTTGTTATGCCATCATGGGGCAGAGATTCAGGTTGGCAACCCTCCGTAAGTATTGGTGTGGGTATGGGAACTTCTTCCTCCTCATAGCTAATGCATGATGTTTTGTGTATTTATTATTGTTTTTTATAAAGCGCCAACAGATTCCGCAACTCTGTACAATTAGTGGAGGATGTAATATATACATAGACAAAAACAAAAGGTAGACAGGGCCCTGTCCGTAAGCTAAAATCTAGCCATTTAAACTCTTTTATACAAAGTGCTTAGCTAGACAGCCCGTGAGCTTACAATCTAAAGGATACCGTGGTGATTTGAAACAAGAGGTAGCAGGGGACATTTGGAAGTGATGGCTAAAAAAGTGAACAGTTAGTTGCAGCTATTTTATTAAAGTTGTGACACTAGCTTCCTCTTGACAATGTTCAAATGTTGTCTCACTAGATATTTCGGCGTTAGCGTAGATGAAGATATCTTATTCATCCATAGTTACCACATACATTTCATGTAGCCATTTTCACTGGGTCTGCTTTTGTAGTAGCAGTTGAGCAGGTCTTGGTTCTCACTTTGTGTCCAGGAATGGTTTGTTCCAGTAGCCCACTTGTCGTCACATTGCCCTGGTTCCCTAGTATCTGACAAGGACCTTGTTAATCTGGGCGCCAGCATGTCTGTGTTACTATCATATCACTGAGGTGGGTAGGTACATATTGTTAGAGAGAGAGAGAGAGAGAGAGAGGGGGTTGGGGGTGGTGTGTGTGTAAATATATATATAAAAATTTTTTTTATTTTTTTTAAGTCTATCTTCTGTCTGTACTCCCACCTCTGATGCTCGCCTTCAAGATTTCTCGAGGGCTGCACCGTTCCTGTGCAACTCGCTTCCCTCCTCCGTTAGATGCTCACCCAGTCTCCACTCCTTCAAAAAAATCATTAAAAACCCATTTCTTCATAAAACCGTATCAATTAAATTGTTAATAGCTCCTGACTGATTCCTCTTCTGCAACTGTCATTAGTCTAATACTATCCTTACCTTTCATTTTACCCCACTCCCTCTAGCATGTAAGATCATTGAGCAGGGCCCTCAACCCCTCTGTTCCTGTGTGTCCAACTTGTCTGGGTACAACTACATGTCTGTTCGTCCACCCATTGTAAAGCGCTGTGGAATTTGACGGCGCTCTATAAATATAATAATAATATACACACACATATTTGGGTTTTTACTAAAAATGGAAATATACATGTACTTACATTTCTATATATATATATATATAAAAAAAAAGGTCTGTTTTCCTTTAAGGAATAATTTTACACTTCAGATTTCAGTCTGTTACTGCCCTTCATTACAGTTCACTTTAACTCATATAATCACACTGACTGCTTCCACCTGCCATGACCATCCACACGTGCTCATGTTATTCTCTCTGGCATCCAATCACAGATGGCAATGCTTGACAGGTCACATTGGCTTATTACGCAATTACGTCAACAACGTCCGTACGCGACCATAAAAATAATGGATAGACCGCTCACTGTTCCTGTGCGCGGCGGCCATGATTGTAACGGGCAGACCATGTACAAACAATAATACATATATAAATTAGCTGTCGCATACTCCACTTCTGGCCAGCCACACCAGACTCCGTTTACAACAGATGTAAAGACTTCCGGGTTTTTGCGTCTTCTCGGAGCTAACCGTTGCCCCTACTCAAAATGGCTGCCTCAGACGTTGTGTGAAGTGACGCGAGGGCCTACGCCTGTGCATGTGTCGCGTATTCCACCTCGCTAGCTTCTGTTTCCTTGGTAACAGTGCGGGACCTACGTCACGTCCGGTCTGTCTCACGGCTCTCGTGGTGTTCCTCGTGTTCCGTGTGTTGGTTTGTTTGTTTGTTCGTTCTTACCGGAGAAGGGGGCGGGCACGCGGCCCGCCCCGGTTATACCGCCAGCCATGACGGAGCCCGCGGGAATTTCTAGCAGGCACGAGAAGAGTCTGGGTCTCCTCACCAGTAAATTCGTTACCTTACTACAGGAGGCGAAGGACGGGGTGCTGGACCTGAAGGTGGTGAGTGAGCTCTCGGGATTCCCAGGGGCTGAGTGAGCTGTCAGTGTTTGGGGGGGCTGAGTGAGCTGTCAGTGTTTGGGGGGGCTGAGTAAGCTGTCAGTGTTTGGGGGGCTGAGTGTGAAGGTGGTGAGGGAGCTGTCAGTGTTTGGGGCTGGAGTGTGAAGGTGGTGAGGGAGCCTGTCAGTGTTTGGGGGCTGAGTGTGAAGGTGGAGTGAGCTGTCAGTGTTTGGGGGCTGAGTGTGAAGGTGGGGGAGTGAGCTGTCAGTGTGGGGGCAGGTGGGAGGAGCTGTCAGTGGGGGCTGGAGTGTGAAGGTGGGGAGTGAGCTGTCAGTGTTTGGGGGCTGAGTGTGAAGGTGGTGAGTGAGTCTGGGGGCTGAGGTGAAGGTGGGGAGTGAGCTGTCAGTGATTGGGGCTGAGTGTGAAGGTGGGGAGTGAGCTGTCAGTGTTTGGGGGGCTGAGTGTGAAGGTGGGGAGTGAGCTGTCAGTGTTTGGGGGCTGGCTGAGGTGAAGGTGGGGAGTGAGCTGTCAGTGTTGGGGGCTGGCTGAGTGTGAAGGTGGTGAGTGAGCTGTCAGTGATTGGGGCGGGGGCTGAGTGTGAAGGTGAGAGTGAGCTGTCAGTGTTTGGGGGGCTGAGTGTGAAGGTGGAGAATGAGCTGTCAGTGTTTGGGGGGCTGAGTGTGAAGGTGGGGAGTGAGCTGTCAGTGTTTGGGGGGTGGAGTGTGAAGGTGGGGGAGTGAGCTGTCAGTGTTTGGGGTACTGGAGTGTGAAGGTGGGGAGTGAGCTGTCAGTTTGGGGGATGAGGTGAAGGTGATGAGTGAGCTGTCAGTGTTTGGTGGGATGAGTGAAGGTGATGAGTGAGCTGTCAGTGTTTGGGGGGCTGAGTGTGAAGGTGTTGAGTGAGCTGTCAGTGTTTGGGGGCTGAGTGTGAAGGTGGTGAATGAGCTGTCAGTGTTTGGGGGGCTGAGTGTGCTGTCAGTGTTTGGGGGCTGAGTGTGAAGGTGGTGAGTGAGCTGTCAGTGTTTGGGGGAGCTGAGGTGAAGGTGGTGAGTGTGCTGTCAGTGTTTGGGGGCTGAGTGAAGGTGGTGAGTGAGCTGTCAAGGTGGTGACAGCTGGAGAATGAGCTGTCAGTGTTTGGGGGGGCTGAGTGTGAAGGTGGGAGAAGTGACTGTCAGTGTTTGGGGGGGCTGAGTGTGAAGGTGGGGAGTGAACTGTCAGTGTTTGGGGGGGTTGAGTGTTTAGGCGATGAGTGAGCTGTCCGTGTTTGGGGGGGCTGAGTCTGAAGGTGATCAGTGAGCTGTTGTGGTGCTTAGGGTCTGGACCGACCTGAAGGTAGTAAGTGAGCTGTCAGTGCTTGGGGGCTGCTTCTGAGAGTGGTGAGTGAGCTGTCAGGGTGCTTGTGGGCTGGACCTGAAGGTGGTCCAGTGTTTAGAGGCTAGACCTGAAGACAGTGAGTGAGTTGTAAAGGGGTGAGTAAGCTGCCATTGTGCTTAGGGGCTGGACATGAAGGTGAGTGAGCTGCCATGTTGCTTAGGGGCTGGACATGAAGGTGAGTGAGCTGCCATGTTGCTTAGGGGCTGGACATGAAGGTGAGTGAGCTGCCATGTTGCTTAGGGGCTGGACTGAAGGCGAGTGAGCTGCCATGTTGCTTAGGGGATGGACCTGAAGGTGGTAAGTTGTTATGGTGCTTAGGGGCTGGACCTGAAAGTTGTGAGTTAGCAGCCACTGTGTTTAGGGGCTATTCCTGAAAGTGGTGAGTGAGTTGTCATGGTGCTTAGGGGCTGGACCTGAAGAGGAGTGAGCTGTGGTGGTTCCTAGGTTCAGGGCCCAAAGGCATAGTGAACTGTCAGGGTGCCTAGGGCTGTAACTGTTGTTAGTAAGGTTTTATAGTCCTCCGGGACTTGACCTGAAGATAGTGAGTTGTCATAGTTCTTAGGGGCCCGTCCTGAAGGTGGTGAGAAGCTGTCATGTTGTCTTGGTTTACCCCCAAACAACATGATCACTTTTAAGTGATCATGGTACTTGGAGTCTGTATGTATAGCCCATTTGCTGCAGGAGGTGTAATTCCACATCTGGCAGCATTCATTGGCTGAGCGTGTTCAGCTGATGCTCACAGTTAATTAAAGTTGATCAGATCAGCTTCTTAAGCTTTGCAGAACCACAAATAAAGGAGCCAAGCAGGGACCCAGATACAAGGATAAACTGTTGCTAAATTGTGGAACTAGGCCACTGTAGCTGGCTGTAGTGGTTGTGAATCTTAGAGTAACAATTTAAAGGGACACTATAATCACCAGAACTGCCGCTTATTGTATTTCTTCTGATGAGTATAATCATTCCCTTCAGGCTTTTTTCAGTAAACACTGTTTTTTACAGAGAAAATGCAGTATTTACATTACAGTCTAGGGATGCCTCCACTGGCCCTCAGGCGGATAGTGTGAAATACCGCCTGGCACCCCGACTGGGTGATTCCGCCAATCGATGCTTCCTAGCTAATGCTGAGGACCATAAGCACCGCACCGGACACCATAAGTACCGTAGCCCCCACTAGGCGCTGCAGTTTGCTGGGGTCTCACCGTCCCTTCCCACCCTGGACCAAACTCCTGGATCCAGCTCTCAGTGGAAAGGCCTCTCCTCCAAAAGTATAGCTGTGAAGCTCTTACAACAGCTAGTGGTTATAGCAGTATAGCTGTTCTCTACAATCACGAGACGAGGCTGCGTGTTGACGGTGAAGTGGACTGGTTTAATGGTAGCTACACTGGCATTTTATGCAAGTCCCCATGCAACGGGCACACACATATGGACCTTGTTGGGGACTGTGACACCAACTCTTAAGAGAAAATGCACTATTTACACTACAGTCTAGGGATACCTCCACTGGCCCTCAAATGGATAGCGTGACAGACCGCCTGGCACCCCAACTGGGGGCCTCCTGAATCGATGCTTTCTAGCTGACGCAGAGGACCATCAGCACCGCACCGGACACCATAAGCCGAATCATGCTTTTCACCACAGATAGTAGAGGTGCATTCTGGGGCCATACACCAATCGGGCTAGATGGTGTTTTAACACTTTTTAGGGTCTGGAATACATGTTTGTGTTCCTGATCGTATAGTTTTCTTTTAACTTGCAGGTGATGAGTGAGCTGTTAAGATGCCAGCATTTGCCAAGTGAGCTATAAGGGTGCTTGAGGACTGCATAGAAATTTGGTGAATGTTTGCCAGCTGATATAATATAAACTTAATTTATAAAGTGGCAACCTATCCCAGTACTTAATAATAAATCACCAATGTACAAGCATTTGTTGATTTGAAAGGGAGTTTATTTTTTTTCATATTAGTACAGTAATTCAGATGTAAAATGACAGATAAAATTTGTATCTTGTAATACCATTTTTTAATTTTTATTGTTATACTAACAAGTTTGGAACCACAAACTTTGGAACTCAAAGTTGAGTTGTGGAACGCTGGTTAAAGGGTTACTCTGAGCACCATGACCACTTTATTGACATGAGGTGGACATGGTACTTGGAGTTTGTTAGTGCTGGGTTTTGCTTTGAAGAGCTGCCTATACAGAAATTGCCCCTCTTCTGTCGGATGTGTAACTTCACCTCTGGCAGCGTCACAGGGCCTCGTTATCCAGCCCAGAACTAGAGTTCCTGGTGGGTAATGTTAATTCTGTGCAAAATTGGCATCTGACCCCAGCATGCTCACGGCAAACGGCTTATAACAGTTGCATGTCCCATCTCCCCGTGCCCCCCTGTTTTCTCCTCACCGCTTATCTCTAACAAGCTTCCTCTGCTGTCTCCCAAATACACCATTGTTCGGATACATACAGATCATTTAAATCCCTCATTTCTTTCTGTGTATTTGTCCTTCATTCCTTTAGAGCAGGAGTTCCCAACCCAGTCCTCAAGTACCCCCTACCAGTCCAGGATGTTATACCCATGAGTGCACCTATTTGGGGTTTCCTGACATTGCTTACAGACCTGCATCTTTACTATTATAGTACTGCTTTAATATACACACAAAATATATTATTGGATGATAGTTATTCATTGTATTCCCCCCACTTTTTATTATTTTTTTGGTTATAATTCTCTTCTGTATTGTGATTGAAAAATGTATTAATAAAAACTATTTGAAAGACCAGCATCAAAAGCATATAGTATACAGGATTTTACTTCTCTCAATCCTGAATCTAGCCCTCCCTGCTACATTTGGTAGTTTAGCTACTACATTATCACTGCAAATCCATCCAGGTTTGGGTAGTCATAAGTCTGAGAACAATGGAAGTGGCTTTGCCCAGTACTCTTAGCCTATCATTGCCAGCCAAACTTGGATGAAACGTATAGATTAACTTAATGGCAGCAGAGGGTTTTGGTGCTGGGAGAGGCCTGGCTCATATAGCAGTGGAGCAGGTCACTATTTTAGATTCTCTCCAAATAAGGGCACAAACTCTATCTTGAATATATCATCCAATGCCACTTGAGGTCAGCTGCATTGAGCTAACGAAAACAGGAAGTACATTACTTGTTCTCTGCTTCAAAGCCAAGGGGGTGTAACCAGGTTAATTTGTAAAAGTGTCAATTTCTATTAAACTCTGCACTTTTTTCCAAAGGGGGGCGGGCACACTTTTCACACACAAAGCTTTTTTAACAAGCAAGTTGTTTAGGCATCTGGAGTGACCATTTAAGTGAAGTAAAAAAACACTAATCTCTGATCTTGAGGTTTGGTTATGCAATGCGATAAGCCTCTATGTACAGACAAAATGTGAACAAAAGAAAACGAAAATATCCTCCATTGTCATATGATTCTTAAGCAAGGAGTTTGTTATATATCATACACTAACTCTACATATATTCAAAGTCAAATAATGGGCTACAAATCATGGCTTTCATAAAACAGAGTATTTGGCATAGTCTGTAAGTTGATTCAAAAGTATCTAGACACTGATATTTTCCGTATATAACTTTCCCTTCATTCTGCCTGCTTAGACTGTTTGTTTATATGGAGTAGTTAGAAAGCTGACGAGCTGAGAAATAACAGTGCCTGAGTATCTCATATCACCTATATCTATATGGCATTGGATACAATGTCTGACTCTTAAAATTGAGTCTACTAGAAAAAGGATCCTTAGCACTACTGAAGTCTATTGCCCTGAAATATCCTTGGAGCTCCGTGAGAAACCACACTACAGCTTCTACTTACTTGACTTTCCAAAAAACATAACCTTCCAAAAACAAGTGAAGTTAGAAAAACACATTACCATTTTAAAGCCAATCTAAATAAATTGAAGTGAAAGAACGGTTTCAGCGCCAACCGTGTGCCTTCCTCTGAGGGATACAGAGAAATATTTATACAGAAAGTATGGGTGTCTAAATCCTTTGTATCAATTTGCATATTAGATCATCTGTTACAGGAGATCCGTGACTTTGCATTGTAAAAAATTAAAGGAATACTACAAAGACCCCCAGAATTCTTGAGGGTAGTTGATAATCTATTTACACCATTTTGCAAGTCTTTGAAAATGTTAAGTTTGTTAACACTAAATTATAATCCCATGACCCACTCTTATGCAGATTGTTAGAAATGTAGTAGTTTTATTTAGATTAAAATAGGAAGGCAAAGTGACTATTTGCACAGCAAGGTGTGAGTGTGATTGCTCTATTTCTAACTGCCTGTTGCTATTGTAAAGCATCATAGAAACATAGAATGTGACCGCAGATAAGAACCATTCGGCCAATCTAGTCTGGCCAATTTTCTAAATACTTTCATTAATTCCTTATATTATATCTAGGATAGCCCTATGCGTATCCCACACATGCTTAACCCCTTAAGGACCAAACTTCTGGAATAAAAGGGAATCATGACATGTCACACGTCATGTGTCCTTAAGGGGTTAAACTCCCTCACTGTGTTAATCTCTACCACTTCAGCTTGAAGGCTATTCTGTGCATCCACTACCCTCTCAGTAAAGTAATACTTCCTGATATTATTTTTAATCCTTTGCCCCTCTAATGTAAGACTGTCCTTTTTTTTTTTTAAAATATATTCTCCTGTGTTGATTCCCTGTCTTGTGTTTCCTATATATTTTAAGATCTTTTTAAAGGACCACTATAGTGCCAGGAAAACAAACTCGTTTTCCTGGCACTATAGGGTCTTTAGGTCTCCCCCATCCTCCGGGTCCCACTCCCGCTGGGCTGAAGGGGTTAAAACCCCTTCAGTCACTTAACTTTCTCTAGTGCTGGGCCCCTTCAGCGCTGGGGAACTCTCCTCCCTCTGCCGACGTTAGCGCTGAATGCGCATGCGCGGCAAGAGCCGCGCGCGCATTCAAACTGCTCAAAGGAAAGCATTTCTCAATGCTTTCCTATGGACGTCAGCGTCTTCTCACTGTGATTTTTTTTCACCGTGAGAATCGCGGAAGCGGCTGGATTAACCTTCAGTGGTGTGTTCAGCTGCAGGGTTAACACTAGAGGGACCTGGCACCCAGACCACTTAATTGGGCTGAAGTGGTCTGGGTGCCTATAGTGGTCCTTTAACCCCTTAAGGACAGAGCTTCAAAAGCTTGTCTTTCACTTAATGACAACAGCATTTTTTGCTGTTTACGTTCAACTGCAATTTGCATTTTACTAATTTATTGCACCGACACACATTATATACCGTTTTTTTAAAGGACAGAAAGGGCTTTAATGTGATGTAATATGTAATTAATATATATATATATATATATATATATTTTATTTTTTATTTATTTAAAAAAAATTGGGTTTTTTGCAATAATAATGTGTGCACAATTAGTGCAGGTTAAGGAAAGTAATTAAAAATAAATTTATTTAGTTGTTCTGATTTACAGAATATATAATGTGCCTGGGATTTTAAGTTTGGTTTTTTTTTTTGTTTTTTTTTTTTGTTAGTTACAGGTCACAAAGCACAAGGAGTAAAATAAACTTTTAATGTGGAGCGATTTTTAGAATTTGGTATGTTTGTCTTGTAAGCTTAATAGCCATAAAAGAAAACAAAATTGCCACACAAAAGTATATATTTATATAAAGCAGACATCACGGGCTATTTACCTAAGGTTGTTTTGACACTTTCTACGTAGCCATTTCACCGCCAACCTCTGCTAAATATTGGAGTAAAATTGTTTGGGGGTTTTTGGCACACAAACTTATAACAAATAAATTCTCATGTGTATTTTGTAAAGTTGGTGTGTGCTATTCCTGTACAAAGTTTTATTATGTGTTCAGTTACATCGGCTGAGTAAAATGACACCCCCATTGTATGTTTTTGGCACTATTTCGTGAAGTTACAGTGCCATACAGGATACCTGTCCTTTTCCGTATTCACAGTAGAATTTTGAGAGACGGATTTAATGAGCCTATGCTTCCATTTGCGGTATTGTAGTAGTTTGTTCAAAAAAAACCCACAAAGGCCTACCATTTGTAAAAGTAGACACTCCAGGGTATCTCATAAGGTGCATATTGTGCCTTAACATGCCCCCATTTTTTCACCAATATATGCCAAAGTATGTGGTAAAAAATAATTTTGTGCATTTTTTACATATGGATTGCATTTTTGCTGGGCATTTTGTATATTTCATATGTGCCACTAAGTTCAAACCTCCCAAATTATGCTCAGCTAAGTCTTCTGAGTAAAAAGACACACCCAATGAATGTCTTTGGCACTATTTCGTGAAGCTACAGTGCCATATAGGAGACCAAGCCATATCAGTTTTTACCGAACTTTGAATTTTGACGCTGGGCCTATGTGCAATTTCCAAGCATCTTTGCAGGTTTTAAATTCAAACTACCCCACAAAGGCCTACCATTTCTTAAAGTAGACACCCCAGGGTATTTCAAAAGGTATATTTTGAACCTTAGCGTGGGATCATTTTTCCGCTAGCTTGTACCAGGTGTAGTGGTAATAAGTGTTTTTTCTGCCTTTTTGACACACAAAGTGAGTTTGCACAGTATATTTTGCAAACCTTATGTGTGCTACGACTGTATAATACTTCATATGTTGCTCAGCTATGTGGTCTGAGTACAGCAATACCCCCGTATGTACCTTTGCCAAGTATATGGGGATGTTGAAGGAGCACATTTGAGAAGAACCATTCAGTTTTACGCTGTGTCCATGTTCCAATTTGGAGTAGTTTAGATGGTTGGTTATTGAAACTTCCCCATACACACATACTATTTATTAAAGAGTACACCCTGTGGTAATTCAAAAGGCATATTTAGAACCTTGGCGTGGGATCATTTTTTCTCTAGTTTGTTCCAGGTGTAGTGGTAATGAGCGTTTTTAAATGTATTTTTTTTAACTTTTTTAAACTTTTTTTACTTTTTAAAACTAGTTTTTAAACTTTTGTTTTGCTTATTATTTTTTTTAAACTTTCCTAAAACTTTTTTTTACAGCTTTAACATTTTTCTAAGCTTTTTTTTACCGTTAACCCCTAACTAGCAGTAAGCAGCACTAACAGTAAATTCCGCCCTTTCCAATAACTCCCACCCACCCCAGCTAGCAAAATATATAATTATAAAATATTTAAATCAGTTAATTAAATAAATTGAACCCCTGAGGGTTAAAAAATAAATAAAAGTTAATTGTCAGGGGTTGAAAAAAATTAGATCACAGTATAATACTGTGATCTGTATTTTGATCACTGTAGGCAGTGATCGACTGGCAGGGAAGGGGTTAATTTTTATTTGGACTGGCTAAAGGGGTTTTTTTTTTACTTAAACGTTATTAAAACTTTTTAAACTTAATTTTTAACTTTTTAAAGCTTATTTTAAAACTTTTTTTAACGTTAACCCCTAGTTAGCCTAACACCAAATCCCCCAATTCCCCACTAACTTCCACCCACCCCAGCTAGCTAAATTTATAATTTTAAAATACTTAAATTAATTAATAAAATAAATTTAACCCCTGAGGGTTAAAAAAAAGAATTAACCCTCAGGGGTTAAAAAAAAAAAAATCATATCATCGTAAAATGTAATCCCTGCCAATTGATCACTGTAGTCAGTGATCAATTGGCAGGGAAGGGGTTAATTTTTTTATTAAAATGGGTAAAGGGGGGTGGGATTTTAAATTAACTTTATTTTTAATTTTTTTAACAGGGGGCAGGATCATCACTGATCCGTCTCCCTGCACTTCACACAGAACCAGGAAGTGCAGGGAGGCGGAAGGTAAGTATACTAAGCACATGTTCTCGCTCTGACATTCTGTCAGAGCGAGCACATGTGCTGGGCAGCACTATTGGATGCTCCCGGTCTGCCTCTAATACAGAGGCATACCGGAGCACCATTAACCCTGCGATAGCTGCGATCCGGGGTTAATTTTAACTCTTCGTTAAGGGATTCCCCTGAGTGACAGACCTCGTCCGTCACTCGTCATTAAGGGGTTAACCTTTCCTGGTAATTTTTTTTTTTTTTTTTTTAAATCTGCAATCCATGATTTAGTTTAGTAGCCCTTCTCTGAACTCTCTCCAAAACATGAATATCCTATTAGATATATGGTCTCCAGTACTGAAGAGGCTAACCTCAGGCACCCAGACCATGTGTGTGCAATGTCTCGATTGCAATTTAGTTAACCTTTTTCTATTTTATTATTATTATTATTATTATTATTGAAAATTTAAAAGCTACCGTTGAGGAACAAGATAGACAATACTGACATATTTATGTTTTTTTCAGAGAATGTATGATTGTACTTTCTTAGATAGCTCAGCTGCTGCTAATGTGAACAATATGATTTTTTTTTTTGATTTTTTTTTTTTTATATAAACTAAAGAGACCATGAGTAAACTTGGGTGCAAGCTTAAAGGTGCACTACAGTGTCAGGAATAAATGTTTATATTCCTGACCCTATAGTTCTTGTGCATCGGTCTTGCAGTGTGTGGCTCTGCCTCTCTGAGATCAACCGATTTGATGATCTTAGTCAATCCATGTTTTCCCATAGGAAAGTATTGGGAGGCTATTGAGCATGCGCATTATAACGATATGCTGTGCCAATTAGCATCTCCTCATTGAATACGTGCATCTGTATAGGAAACCTTCAGTGTCTCCATACAGGTTGTGGAGACTCTGAATGCCAATGCTGAACTGACACAGGAAGCACCTCTAGTGGGTGTCTGCCATTTCAGGTGATCACAGGCACCAATGTAAACTCTGTCTTTTCTCTGAAAAGCCTGCAGGGAGGGATTATTAACCTGTAGTTGTTCTGGTGTCTGTATTGTCCCTTTAATCATTGCATTACACCTTTTGTTATGTTGAGCCTCATGAAGGTAATGGAAATGTAATTCATTTTGGGACATCTTTTGATCTCCGGTTTTGTTATTTACTTTTTAAATATTTAAACCTTTTATTATTTTGCCTAACTTATAAAAGTTGAGTGCATCAGTAAACACATTGGGCACCATGTTACAAATGCACAGAATTCCTTTCAAAACCTTTTATGAAGGCTCTAATCCTATCACCTGTGCCCAAGGGATCATCTTGTTTCGTATTGCATAAATATTTACTTGTGGATTGCCGGTATTCAAACTACTTGTATATTTTGTAGATAATGGTTGGTATAATGACTGCCATACTCAGACAATTTCTAATGTCAGACAATTGCCATGGAAATATTGTAGCACTTTGTCTATTTGGGCAGTAAAGTGGATTTTGTTTTAATTAGTACAGTATATACTCGAGTATAAGTCTAGTTTTTCAGCACATTTTTTGTGCTTAAAAACCCCCACTCGACTTATACTCGAGTCACTGTCTGTATTATGGCAATTTAGAGAGCCGCGGCCGTCAGAGCCATGGCAACGATCCGCGCGGCAACCAGACCGCGAGACTTACAGTGGAGCTGACCGGAACGGAGGAGAAGGGAGCTGACAGGAGCTGCAGGAAAGGTAAGTAAAGCCCATGCCACTGGACCACCAGGGATTAAGATAGCCCCCCTCCCTGACCGTTTAACAAGCAGGGAGGGGGACAAAAAAAATTTAAAATAATTAAAATTAAAATAAAAAAATTAAAATAATAAAAATGCCCTCCCCCACCCAGTTCACACACACTACACACACACACTCTTCATTATATACACACTCTGCATTATATACACAGAGTGTGTGTATATAATACAGTATGAGTGTGTATATATAATGTATGAGTGTGTGTGTATATAATGCAGAGTGTGTGTTTGTATGAGTGTGTGTATATATAATGCAGAGTGTGTGTTTGTATGAGTGTGTGTGTATATAATTATAAAAATCACAGAATTTCATAGCCCCAAGTTTTACCCTCGACTTATCCACGAGGCATAGCATATTTCACAATTGTTGGTCACAAAACTGCACTCGACTTATACATGAGATCGACTTATACACGAGTATATACGGTATATTGCATTTCTGCCTGGTTTTCATTGAATTATGTTTTTGAAACATTTTATTTTCGCTTATATTTTAAGGCTGCAGATACTCTTGCTGTGAGACAGAAAAGAAGAATATATGATATTACCAATGTTCTGGAAGGCATTGGCCTAATAGAGAAAAAATCAAAGAACAGCATTCAGTGGAAGTAAGAACAATTTAACTTTCGTGTGTGTGTGTACCCTCCCTCCCACTCCTCAATGTCATGGTGGTGCATTCTTACTCAATAATGCAAGCTCTATGGCCATTACTTTAGTTTTTCTCATTAGAGAAAACAAACGCAGACTGATATATGACCATGTCAGCACAATGTATTTGGAATTTATCAAAGCCTTCCTGGTAAAGAAGCTGATAGACAGGTTATTGTAAAGTAAGACATAGCTAATGTTTTCTATATTAAATGGTTATGGTGTACACATCATGCTCTTGTAGTATCACTGCTCAGTTATCTGCCATTTAGGATTCAAATTATGTTGTTTATGCAGCCCTAGCCACACTTCCCCTGGCAGAAACTCATGCAGCCTCCCCACACTCTTCATGTAAAGACAGTTTATATGTTGTAGCTTTCTTTATAGTCAAAGTAGATAAGGCTGGTTTCTTATGTATATGTAGGCATCTTGCATTTTTCCTATTATAAACCGCAACATCACTTATTGCTTAATGAAGAATTGAACAGTGAGGCTATATAAACATGATCTATACACCAAAACACCCCATTAAGTTAAAGTTGTTTATGTGCTCAGTGTCCTCTTAATCATGTTCACTTTAATGACATTAGACCGTGTCATTTTGTCCTGGCAATATTTGGCCTAAACGCCGTTTGGGCCTATTGACACGTCCCAATGAGTTAGTGTGAGTAGGGTTAAATCAAAGCTCACACCGGGGGAGACACAGGTGTCAATTGATACATGTGGCTCCCCTGAAAGTCAGCTCTGCATACAGCCCTTAACCACTTAAGGACACATGACATGTGTGACATGTCATGATTCCCTTTTATTCCAGAAGTGTGGTCCTTAAGGGGTTAAAATCCTTTGAGAACACAGTAGCTGTTCGCTGCGATGCAGTATTACTAGGGCTGCTAAAAGTAGAGGCTCTGAACAGACCTTGACAGTCTCCCTCTGTGTCCCTAAGAAAGTTGTGATCACTTGGTAATCATCTAGGAAAGCATGTTTAATTCAGTAATACATGAAAATATTTCTGTAGTACTGGAAAAAGAAAGTAAATGCCAGCAACATACCACTATATACTGTTTTAAATAGATAAACCCCTCTACTGATAACTATATTGATATCAGCAGAGGGTTTCCTTAGGGTTATTTTTGTAGGTTAGTGTAGGGCTTGTGTTAGGGGGTAAGAGTTTATGATGGGGTTAGGGATAATGTAGGGTACGTGTATGGCTAGTGTTAGTGTAATCATAAGGTAAAAAGGGTATGATTGGTTTAGTATAGGGCAGGGATAGGCAACCTTCGGCACCTCAGATGTTATGGATTACATCTCCCATGATCCTCTTCTAGCTATACTGCCGAGAAATCATCATGGGACATGTAGTCCACAACATCTGGAGTACCGAAGGTTGCCTATCCCTGGTATAGGGTTAGCATTGACTACTAAAAATGTATTTAGATTCTTGACGTATTACGCATTTAACAATCAAAACTGATATGCGAATCTACTATGAGTTATTTTTATTAAGTGGCACTGAATGTGTAAAAAAAAAAATAATAATTATAAGTAAAAATATAAAATAAAAGCATTTGTGTACAGTTTTCAACATTTTATTCACACTTAACCCCTTAAGGACGGAGCCAAAAGTACATGTTGTGAACAAAACAAAATGTAAACAAAACCTGGCATTTGCGCTACATGTCTGTCCAACCGTAATTCACCTCTTTCATAGTAAATGCACCCACCCTTATTATATATCATTTTATTCAGGGGAAACAGGGCTTTCATTTAATATCAAATATTTAGCTATGAAACATAATTTAATATGAAAATAATGGGAGAAAATACGATTTTATTTTTTTTAGTTCTACATGACATTTTAACGGTCAATGTCATAATACTGTTTGCTTTTACTGCAATAAAATACACATATTTGTATTCAGCAAAGTGTCACGTGTAAGACAGTACCCCCTATGTACAGGTTTTATGGCGTTTTGGGAAGTTACAGGGTCAAATATAGCACGTTACATTTGAAATTGAAATTCGCCAGATTGGTTACGTTGCCTTTGGGACTGTATAGTAGTCCAGGAATGAAATTTACACCCATAATGGCATATCATTTGCAATAGTAGACAATCCAAGGTATTGCAAATGGGGTATGTCCAGTCTTTTTTAGTAGCCATTTGGTCACAAACACTGGCCAAAGTTAGCGTTAGTATTTGTTTGTGTGTGAAAAATGCAAAAAACACCAATTTTGGCCAGTGTTTGTGACTAAGTGGCTACTAAAAAAAGACTGGACATACCAGTTTGCAATACCTTGGGTTGTCTACTATTGCAAATGGTATGCCATCATAGGGGTAATTTTCATTCCTGGGCTACCATATGGTCTCAAAGGCAACCTAACCAATCTGGCGAATTTTAATGTGAAAAAAATGAAACGCAAGCCTTATATTTGACGCTGTAACTTTTGAAAACACCATAAAACCTGTACACTGTTGTACTCGGGAGACTTCGCTGAACACAAATATTTGTTTTTCAAAACAGTAAAAAGTATTGTTTCCGTGTAAGTGCTGTTTGTGCGTGAAAAATGCAAAAAAGGTCACTTTTTTACTGGCGATATCATCGTTGTAATACATTTTACTGTTTTGAAACACTAATATTTGTGTTCAGCGAAGTCTCCCGAGTAGAACAGTACCCCCCATGTACAGGTTTATGGTGTCTCGGAAAGTTATAGGGTTAAATATAGTGCTAGCAAATTAAATTCCCTTTACTTTCGGCATGGGTTGTCAGGCAGGTCCTGCTAATTGTAATTAATTAAGATACCTAATTATGTAAAAAATATTACATAAATATATAATGTGAATTAATATGTGTGTGTGTATGTATATATGTGTGTGTATATATATATATATATATATATATATATATATATATATATATATATATATATATATATTATATCTATATAATTTTTTTAAAATATTTTTATTTATGTATATAGATATATATTTCGTTCTACGTGTATTTTGAGATATATATATTAATTTCACAATCCAGTTAGAACGAAATAACACACATCTATATATTTTTTAATTATTTATTTTTAATAATTTTTTTTAATTTTATTTAACATATTTACATATTTTTTTATATTATATATAACAATAATTATATATTTAATCCGTATCAGTCTACGTGTATTTTGATATATAAAATTTTTACACTTTTTAATTTATTTAATTTTATTTCCAGCCAGCAGGGGGACCACCTGTCATTACAGGCAGTCCCCCTGCTGGCAATGCTGCAGCCAGCTACCCCCGGCCCTGTGATTGTGGGGTCCTCGCAAGGACCCCACTCTCACATGGCCGGGGGGCTTCCAGGGGGTGGGACGTGCCGCGGGGGGCTCCCTGGGAGTCCCCCCAACCGCGATCGCCGGCGTGGGATCGCCGGCGACCGAGTAAGTAGGAAAAGACCGGAGGGCGTACTATTACGCCCGGCGGTGTTTAGAGCCGCTTAGAATAGGGCGTAATAGTACGCCCTCCGGTCTTAAGGGGTTAAGGTTCTGTTTGGTGTGTGTGTGTGTGTATGTATGTATGTATGTATATGTGTGTGTATGTGTATGTATATATGTGTATATATATATATATATATATATATAATATACACACACATACTTATATTAATTAAAAGAAATAGTATGTGTAGGGACACTTGAGGAGGATCCCTTAAAGCAGGGGTTCCCAATTAATTTTTCCCGTGGAACCCTTTGACATAGTGTATCAACATCGTGCCCAAAAAAAATAAAAAATGTGTGCCTCTTTTGTATGTATCGGGGGGGGGGGGACACACATACATACATACACACACACACACACACACTCTCAGATGCACACAGTGGCACATACAGACATCTTGACTCAAAAATACACTCCCAAACACACAGTGACATATACACATGCTTGCACCCTTAGACACACACATTCACACACACGCATGCACATACAAACACACTGATATACACTGGCACATATATACACACGCGTACTGACATACACACACTTCGATACAGTGACACATACTCTTTGACAGACAGACACATATTCTGACAAACGCAAGCACACACTCACTGACAATCACTCACACAATTTTTTTTAATTTTTTTTTTATTCTACTGCACCCAGCCTCCCTACCAGCTGGCGTGCAGTCCCTGAGGTCCAGATGGGCTGAGAGGCTGGCGTGCAGTCATTGGGGTCCAGCGGGGCTGGCGTGCAGGCGTACAGTGTGGGCAGCGAGGGAGCAGTGATCTTCCTGCTCAGCTCCCTTGCACGCTTCTTAGTGATGCCGGAGCCAGAGTGACATCATATTCCGGCTCCTGCATCACTGCTGTGCGCACGAGGGAGCTGAGCCGGCTCACTCGCTGCCCGCGGCTATTTTGTTTCACCTGAGGTTCCGCGGAACACTAATTGGGGAAATGCTGCCTTAAAATACAGTGGAACAAACACAGCGCAAATTCAAGGTTTTGTTTTGATGCAGAACAATTACCTCCATCCTTAAGAGGTTCTGTGTTACTTTGTGTTATCTTTGTATGTGATCTGATAAAGGTTTGTGTGCTTTTTTTTTTTTTTTTTTTTTTTTTTTTTTTTTTTTTTTTTTTTTTTTTTAATGTTTGTTTAGAGGTGTAGGTGCAGGATGCAACACAAAAGAAGTATTGGACACACTGAAAAATCTAAAAGCTGAAATTGGAAATCTGGAACTAAAGGAAAAAGAACTTGACAGTCAGAAAGTGTGGATTCAACAAAGCATTAAAAATATAATTGATGATCCCTTGAATAAACCATATCCTTTAACTGTTTACTTACTAATATTTGAACATGATTTTTCATGGTTCCCAAATGTTTGGTTGTTATATATTTTCTGTTAAACACATTTTAATTAAAACATTTTTACCATTTCAACCGCTCAAGTGTTTTATGAAAAGCCAAACCATTTTATTGTGTGGATTCCTGGCACTATAGGTTTAAAATAGCAGTTTAGGGTGCCTTTACCTCCATTAAAATGGGGTTTGCTCCCCTTTTTTCCAGTGCCACGCATTTCTCCTCACAGCTGGCCCTGCACCGGCTCCATCTCCTTGGCTGATATCATCAAAATTTATCATTTTACCTAATCCAATGCTTTCCTATGGGGATACTATTGCACATGGGTTGCAAAACACTGCGCTGAATTGGTCTACATCTCCTCATAGAGATGCATTGAACCAATGCATCTCTGAGGAGAGTTCAGAGTATCCATGCAGAGCGTAGACAAGCTGCACGTTAGTGCTGCACATTGTACAGCACTGACCCAGAAAGCACCTCTAGTGGCAGTCTGAGTGACTGCCACTAGAGGTGTAACTTGGCAGTAATGTAAACACTGCCTTTTCTCTGAAAAGCTGTAGTTGTTCTGAAGACTCTAATGTTCCTTTTAATCTGAACTATTTCAGATTAGGTGGCAATGGGAAGTTCAAGAACTAAAGTTGGGTAGGAGGCCATTGTATTATTATTTGCTACTGCAATACAGCTATAAAAAAAAAAACAAGCTATCAGAACTACTCTAAGCTAGATGTTTTATAGAATGCTGTGGCTTATCCCTGTGTTCACCTGGGGTGTAATACTATTACAACGCTGTGGGCAAAGCTGCTTATGACTTGTCACTTTTTTTATGTAGCATGAAAAAAAATCTTCCTTAACCTCACCCTACATTTTCATTTGTAACACATGATGATGTCTGTAATGGATTCAATGGTAAGCATACTTGAACAGGATTGAATTTTGAGTTGAATGTTACTGTATTTTGTCATTTGTGTTGGTTATGTGATGTCACCTTATCTTAAGTGTGATTTATCAGGGTTATTTACTAATACACTGCATACAGTAATTTATTGATGGTAGTTGCCAGAGCTCTGATAAATATAATGCCCCAACCAATGGGGTACCCAATTTAGGGTCCTGACCCAGGGTCTAAAAAATACAGTATTAGATGTTGCTGCTCCAGTGCCGTCAATCCTGAAGGCCCCTTTGTGTTATGCAATTGTCTACTCTCTGGTCCTACCTCCTCTGTACAGCATTTAAAGATCTTTAGATTAAAGTCTAAATTTGCTACCACGATGTATAGTTAAACTTTAAGGCACTTGAAAAGAAAAGTATTTTCTAAGTGAGGTCATCTAGACTGATGATTTCTGGTCGAATCGAATGTTTTACATAGCATTGAAAACCTATGGCACATACAAAAAATATCTGCATCCCCCAATCGAGTTCTTCTTTTTGAGACACATTTAGTCTCAGTGGCTCTCTGAGAAGCATTACTGCTGTTTGGCATATGAATGGTGCTGTTCTTAAATCAGAATGTTTCCTATTCCCAGAGAAAAGGATAGCATATTTTTACTAAAATCATTACATAAAGATGTAGTGTGTGGTTCTTTGGTTTTTTTTTTTCTTAAAATGTTGATTTAAAGGAGGCGCAGTGATGTGTTGGCTTTTATTACTTTTTGCTTTTAGACAATTTCTGATAGAAATCTAGAATATGATCGATCAAAAATGTTAACACTGTAGAGAATATTAAAACCTATTTTTTACCCTAAGAAGTGTCAGAAAATATAGTTAGAAAATATATATATAATTTGAATTATTTTATTCAAATATTAGAGGCTGTGAGGTAGAGGCCTCTCTGACTCCTTGTTTTTTTTACCCTAAGAAGTGTCAGAAAATATATATATATATATATATATATATATGTGTGTGTGTGTGTGTGTATATATATATATATATATATATATATATATATATGTATATGTATACTATATTTTCTGACACTTCTTAGGGTAAAAAATTGGTTTTAATATTCTCTACAGTGTTAAAATATATATATATATATATATATATATATATATATATATATATATATATATATATATATATATATATATATATATATATATATATATATATACATGCGTGTAGGTGAGTCTTGGCTGGTGTGTTTCTTGTTTATATTTACTAATGTATGAGTATGGAAAGTTAATAAACATTTTTCCCTAGGTGACACATTATTGGCAGTTCAGGCTCCATCAGGAACACAACTGGAGGTTCCTATACCAGAAGTGGTATGTGTTCTCTTTTTATTGTCTAAATTGCTTCTACCAAATAACTATTTCCTGCAGTCCTAGTAAAAAAAAAAAAAACTTGAGATTCTTGAAAATATCCCCATTTGCTTTCTTATACATTGGTCTTTCTCCAATTAATAATTCCCATTAATAATGAACATCTATAAGGCGTAAGAATACAAAATCTTTAATTATGTCCAGCCCTAAATATTAACATATAATGCTAATTGCTAGCTCTTCCTGAAACCAATATGCCTCTAAAAACTGTTAGCTGTTTTGTGGGGGTGGGCTGGGGGGTTCACTTTATTAACATAACTCTTAGAGATTGTCCTTCCTGCTAGCATGTTTTGTTTTGTTTGTTTTATTATTCTAGTAACTGGACTATGGAAAGCATTTTTCCAGAGAGAAATGCAGTTTATAAAGTATATTTATTCCCTTTATAAACTTTTTAAAGTCTTAAAGGAACACAATAGGCATTGAAGAGAACAGCTCATTGAAGTGGTCTGGGTAAATTGTCCCAGTCTCTTAACCCAGCAATGGCAATTATTGCAGTTTTTAATTTAGCTGACAGCCACTAGAGGGACTTTTGGGTCGTTAGGCGACTATTGTTCGCCTAACTGACGCTGGAAGGCCTCAAGCTATACATGAGGACATCCAGAGTCACCTGAATCCCGTTAGGAAAGCATTATATAATGCTTTCCTATGGGGAATTCCTAATGTGAGTGCGGGGGAGAAGCGGAGATGTAAACCGAGTCGAGGGACATCTGCGCTAGACTGAGGTAAGTGACCTTCTGCACCATGGGGTGGGAGGGGGTGCTATATAGAGCTATAATGCCAGGAAAACAACTTTGTTTTCTTGGCACTATAGTTTCCCTTCAAGACCTGTCTGGGTGAGCTAACCAGTATTCATTGGGACTGAATACCTCCACCAACTGCATCGAGTGTTAGAATTATTTTATTCAAATATTAGAGGCTGTGAGGTAGAGGCCTCTCTACTCCTTGGTTTAAGCTGTCAACATATACAATCTGTGAAGCCATTACAGTTTTTATGTGCCTGAAGATATTTCTCTTTTCTTTAAAATATAGAAAGTCTTGATTTAAATCATGATTTATTACTTTTAACAGACTCATTTCTGCTGGTTGTTATAACCTTTCTTAGCAACTATATGAAGATTTCATGTTTAGAATATTAACTTTTCAGATTAGTTTAACAGTTGTCAGAACTGATTTTGTTTATATTGTTAGAAATACAAAGATAATGATGAAATTACTACAAGGTGAACTGTCTCCAGTTCAGTAGGTCCATTCATCATGCAGTTTTGGAGAACAACTTAAATTAAAAGTGATCCTTGTGTGTACATAGATATGCAGGATAAAAATGGGATGAAAGAAACACGTTGGACAATTAAAGTTTTCAGGAGTCTGTCATTTTTGTGACCGTTTAAAAAAAGTGCAGATTTTAACAGAAATTTGTACTTTTATAATTGTGGGCAGAAGCACCTCCTTGGCTGTCATTCAGACAGGTAAGAAGCTCCCCCTTCTTTTAGCTCCACTGTGCTAGTTTGGCTGCCTCTCCACCCCCACCCTCCCCTTCTCAATGAGTTGTAGTACAATAGAATGTCTCAATCACTATAACAAAGTTTTCAGTGGAGTGTTCCTTTTTTAAGATTTTTTTTTTTAAACTGATCTTTGTATATTTTAGTTTGATTGGGATTTTCTCCTGTGAAAAAGTGCATGTACACACGAGTTCAATTAACTGTAAATGTAAATATTGCATTAACATACAGCCTCTTGCTACATAACTAACCCATATTTCGTACTGAATAACCTTTGGACTGTATCTTTAGGTAGATCTTTTTCCGCAAAAATAATTTTATTTAAATAAATCCACTTTAAATAAAAATCTTGAATATATTTTATATACGTTTTTCTAAAGGCAACCTACAAAGGTCTACAGTTTTGTCATGGTAGAAGGGTCCACCATGGCATTAAATTACATCTATGGTTGGTCTGTCATCTGCCCCTGTTTTTAAACCTAACTTTTTAAGTACAGTTAACTGTTGATGTAGATCCCTAAAAATTTTTCTCTTTTTCACCCACACTTCTTTACAGGGCAAAAACGGACAAAAAAAATACCAGATCAGTTTAAAAAGTGACTCTGGGCCTATTAAGGTACTGTTAATTAATAAAGAATCCAGTTCTACCAAGCCTCTAGCTTTCCCTGTTCCTCCACCTGATGATGTTACCAAACGGCATTTGGCATCCACTGTAAATCAAGCGACACTAACACAGAATCCATACAGACAGACAAATACAGTCCAAAACAGCAATTCTTCACACAATCCATTTGGACACACAAATGCAGTTCAAGATGGCAATCCCTCACAGAATCTGTATGGAGAGACAAATTTAGTTCAAGATTGCAATCCAGCCCAGAATACGTATGGACAGACAAACCTGGTCCCAGATGGTAATCCAGCCCAGAATACGTATGGACAGACAAACATGGTTCAAGATGGCAATCCAGCACAGAATACGTATGGACAGACAAACATGGTTCAAGATGGCAATCCAGCCCAGAATACGTATGGACAGACAAACATGGTTCAAGATGGCAATCCAGCACAGAATACTTATGGACAGACAAACATGGTTCAAGATTGCAATCCAACGCAGCATACGTATGGACAAACAAACCTAGTCCAAGATGGCAATCCAGCCCAGAATACGTATGGACAGACAAACCTGGTTCAAGATGGCAATCCAGTACAGAATACATATGGACAGACAAATGTAGCTCAAAATGACAATCTCGCACCGTATGGACAGACAAATGTGAATCAAAATAGCAACCCAGCTCAAGATTCTACTGCAAGTGAGTAATAATTATAAATTGACCCTGATAATTGTAACTGCTTAGAAAGTATGTGTTAAAAATTAAATTAAAAAAAACAAAACCTGATACAAAATATGTAAACTTTGAAAAGGCATCATAAGAACAGTGTTGGATTTACAAAGTAGTCAGGCAAGTTATTTTATTTATTTTTTGCCAAAAGATTTTTATTTAAGGTATTTAATGTTGGATAATGAGGGTGGAAAAACTGAATGGCAGCACTGCCCCAAGAAGCACCTCTAGAAGCCATCTGAGGAGTGGCCAGTGGAGTTATCACTAGGCTGTAATGTAAACGCTGTATTTTCTCAAAAAAAAAAGCCTGAATGGAATTATTATACTTACCAGAACAAATACAATAAGCTGTAGTTGTTCTGGTAACTATATCTATAACTATATGTATCTTTAATGTTTCTGTCGAGGCCAACACTAGGCTTACCCTTTGTGTCATTCAGTCTTTTTATTTTTTAGCAGTGGGTTTTAAAAATAAGTACTTTACCATGATATCTATGGGGAAGTATCTATCTATAATCTTCATCTTAGTGTAGTTCAGGACTCACATAAGACTGAATATCTAGGTCCCATATGCCACCACCAGTCTAATCTGCTTATATTCTTTATATATATTTTTTTTTCTTTGTAGATTGCAGTTTACAAGTGAATACAACAGCAAGCTGTTACTCCCAATTTCCTGAATCCATTTTATATAACGATCTTGCTACACATTCAACACACAGTGCAGCTGGCACCAATGATTATACGCCTTTGCTTCCTCAGGATGACAGTGGTAGTGGTACCAGAAAGCCACACTTGTTTGATGTAACGAAAATGGATGAATCCGATGGTAATTAATGTCTTTCCGTCTCTTTATATTGGTTCTAAAGCAGTGCTTCTCAGACGAGTACCTTGGTATTGCCTTATTGTGTTGAAATAAGTCCAAGGACTAAGACCCAAAACAACTTTAGCTTATTGCAGTAGGTTTAGTGTACAGATCAGTCTTACTGTTAAATTATCTGCTATTTATACATCACTGTTTCTGTTTATGCAGCTCTAGCCCCACCTTAACTGGTTGTGACTTGGCCTACATGTAAAAATTGTCTCATTTTTAACCAGATGTGAATGAACAGTGTGTTTACTTTAGAAGTTATTATCTCTTGCTCTGTTAATAAAGCTTTAATCACACACAGTTAATAGTCCTGAAGTGGCTGTTAAGGCGACTGTCACCCTCTCTTTCCAGTAAAACAAAGTGATTTCTCCCTTTTCTCCTACGCCTGTGGCTGGCTCTGTCTCCTTGGCTCTCCATAGAAAAGCATTGGAAGGCTATTGCGCATGTGCTGCAGAACGCAGTGCTGTGCCAATCAGCATCTTCTCATAGAGGTGCATTGAATCAGGTGAATCTCTATGTGGAACATTCAAAGTCTCCATGCAGAGCGTGGAGATGCAGAATGCCAGTGCTAGGAAGCACCACTAGAAGTTGCCTGAGTGACTGCTACTGGAGGTGTTACTAGCCAGCAATGTAAACATTGCCATTACGCTGTAGTGGTACTGGCGACTATTGTGTCCCTTTAAGAAACCAGGAGATGAGAAATTCTAAATTAAGGAGACTACTATAAAGAGGTGTAAATATTTGATCTCTTTACAGGAAATGTGTATAGACACTGTGTAGGTCACATGCAGGATAGGTGTGACTAGGGTTCATAAACAAAGTGATTAAACTCCTAAATGGCAGATAGATGAGCAGTGAGATTGCAGGGGCATGAGCTATACACCAAAGCCACCTTAAGCTAAAGCTTTATAGTATCTCTTTAATAAATCCTGGACTATTGGTGATCCCTTGGGGCTGATTTAATCCTTTCCCAACCAAGGGCATGCTATTCTGTTCTACAAAATGAGGGCTGGATACTCAACAATTCTGTCAATCATGATCGGGAGGGCATCACAGCATACAAATATGTTTTTTTATTACAGTAAAAGCTAAGGATATTATGACATTCACAGTTTAAAGTGCCATGAAGAATTTCACAACTTTTTTTTATTTTATTCATATGAAATTAAGCTTCATATATAAATATTTGATGTGAAAAGAAAGAAAACCCTGTGTCCCTTAAACAAAATTATATATAATAAGTGTGAAAGCACTTAAAGGGACACTCTAGGCACCCAGACCACTTCTGCCCATTGGAGTGTTCTGGGTGCCAACTCCCACTACCCTTAACACTGCAAGTGTAATTATTGCAGTTTTTTATAAACTCTAATAATTACCTTGCAGGGTTAAGTCCACCTCTAGCGGCTGTCTACTAGACGGGCACTTCCGTGCCTTTCCTATGGGGAGCTCTAATGCGCATGTGTGGCATTGCCGCGCATTAGGTCTCCCTGGCGGGCGGGATCAGTCTCGCCCACCGGCCGACGTAATGCGGAGGAGGAGGAGCGGCGGTAGAGGAAGAAGGGGCGACGTAGGACATGTCGCTGCCTCTGGGAAGTGACTGAAGGGGTTTTCACCCCTTCAGCAACCGGGCGTGGGAGGTGGGACCTGCAGTGCCAGGAAAACAGATTGTCTTCCTGGCACTGGAGTTTCCCTTTAATATGAGAAAGGTGTGGATGTACTTAATATGGTTGAACAGACATAAAGCTCATATTCCAGGTTTTGTCTTGGTCAGAACTTGTACAATTGCCTCTGTCTTTAATGGGATGAAGTGGCACTGTGACTTGTCTGCTTGTATGGTAGCACCTTGACAGAGTAGATGAGGAGATACAATTTGTCCATGCCTTTTGAATCTACTCGTGATTGTTCTGCTCTTGGCAACTTCATCTGCATGGTGTTAAGGTTTTTCTTCTTACTATCTTGGAATATGTCTGAACTATTCCAAGAATCGATTTGCATGCTAGTGAATGTGAGGAAAATGCTTTGCTGCAACTTGCACACTTCCTTTTTGTCAAATGATGGGCTCTGAAATTGGGTGAGCAGGTGGATCACAGCGAACAATGTAAAACATTTTTACAGGACAGGGGTAGTCACTAAACCAAGAACTGCAAATGCTCCAAAAGAAGCAACACATTTTTTAAATTGCTTGAAATGTTAATTGCATGTTTGTTATTCAGTACTTTCTAAATTTACATAAATATATATTTATTTATTTTTCTCCATTAGGTCAAATATGTAGTGATCTGATTGATGAGTTAATGTCTTCTGATGGTATGTACTAAAATTCTTTTCCATAAGGTTTAAAAAATTTTTTTTTTTTTTTTGTGGAACTCTGATATTCCCACTTAACAGCAACTAGTAATTGTTTATGCATTGTTGCTAACAAACATTTATATTTCCATGCTGCATTGCACAAGCACATAACCTTGGATGTTGCAGTTTGGCCAAGATGTGCCAGCACATAGCCTGAGGGCCACTAAATGGACCTAGATCCCTCTAAATGAAGTGGTCTAGGTACTGTAGTTTTAACTCCGTAATGTCAAACATTGTAGTTTTTCAGAAACCTCAGATAGCCACTAGAGGATCTTACTCTATTCATTTGGTCATGTGAATTACATGCCTTCCTATGAGTAGGATTTGATGAGAGGCACATGCTTCTATCATCTACAATGCTCCTTTATAAGGAGCAATGCCTCTGCTATGACTTTGTGAGACGCAGTGTGGTCAGCAGCACTGAGGAAGCCTCAGCGTGAAAAGAATAAGTGATAATTTTCTATTGTCCAAAGCAAAATCTATGTTTCGGCCCCAATGAAAATGTCGTATTATGTCGTGTTTACTGCCTAAATAATTTGCACTTTGCATCCTACCTGTTGAGCCCTTTTTCCCAAAACTGCCACACCATTTCAACTTCTGAATTTTTTTTTTCTATTTTTTACTTTGCAAAAGGGAGAGCTTTGAATTTGGGTCTATGGCACTTGAGCATTAGGAATATACTTTGTTTCTCTAAATCTATAGTGTTCCATAATATAATTAAAAGTGTATATTTAAAAAAAAAAAAAAAACTCTATTTTCCTCGGGATCTGATGATTTAGTGACAACTTGCTGTGTAGAAGTCGCCTTGGATATTTACACCAAGCCAAATGTGTGTAAATAGGACCACTCAGCAAGTAGACAATTAGTTTGAGCCAAAGTGCAAGTGCCTCTTTTTAAAGCTTTTCATTATTTGATAAAGTCATCCTGTCTTTTTGCATGATACTCAGACGCCTTAATAGGAGCATGGTGTCCTTTTAAAGGAACATTCTAGGTACCATAATCACTTCATCCTATTCAAGTGCTTATGGTGCAAATATACTGTCCTTCATTCATTTTAAATGTTGGAACAGCTTGAAAGTAGAGTTAAATTACTCCACTTAAGAGTTCCTGTTAATCAAAGCCAAGAATTAAATGTCATTACAGCAGGAGTTACCCTGCAGGAGTGAGTGCTTGCATGTTCAAAGAGAGAATTGGTCTGTGATTATTCCGGGGCACCTGCACATGGGAGTCTTTAGACTTGCAAAAACTCTACTTGGGTGCAGCTATTACAAGTCTTCTCATTTAAGTACACTGTGCGTGTTTTTGTAACAACTCCTTATGGAAAACTGTTATTTAATTGACTGGGCTTCTTGTTCACTTCTAGCTCTGCTTTAAAATGCTGTTTTTGTTTTACAAAATGGAAAAATAAATTGAATTTAAAGAAAATTAGAGACCGTATCCTAGCACCATAACCATCTAAATTTTCTCAATTTAATATGGTGTTTGGTGTCCTCTTTAATTGACAATTTGTTTCCCCCAACACACAGAACAGCAGTTTCAATATGCTTAGCGTTATAGTCATGTTTTGGTTTTTTTTAGGATTGTTTTTCCTTCTTGTTAGTCTTTTAATTATCTTATCTTTTTATATTTCTCCTAGTGTTTCCTTTGTTGCGGCTTTCCCCGACTCCAGGAGATGATTACAGTTTCAATTTGGATGATACCGAAGGTGTCTGTGATCTGTTTGATGTGCAGATATTAAATTGTTAGTTTATTTTTTTTTATTTTTTATTTTTTTCTCCCAATTCTTCCTTTTGGATTTTTTTTTATCTACCTCCTACTTGCCTTACACAGAGTAGCATCGTCATATCTACCAGTGGGTTGTATATTTTATTTAGGAATTTACTTTTTTTATACATGTACTTTTGTAATTTAGTTTTAAGTTTTTGTTTTAAGTAATTCATAATTTTTTTTTAAATGATACTTTTTATAATTGTAACTGTGAATTACTGATTACAACCTTTGTTTTTGTGTGGAAAAATTTGATAATTTTTTTTTATGCAGAATTTTTGAAAACCATGTTCTTGATGCATTATGTTTTCTTCTCCACGCTAGAATAGCTCACATGTGATCTGCTGGAGGAGTAACTCCTACTGCTTATCTGGAAATGTGTGGCTCACTTCTACAGTGAGATGCCCATTCACCATCTAGTATAGGGATCTTTTATTTTATTATTTTGTGTGACACGATGGTGCTTGTGTATCAAAATCTGAGAAAGCACATGGTGGTTATCCTAATTAAAAGAAATGTATCTGAAAGTTTGTACTATTTCAATATTTAATTCTCTTTTTACCTTTCACCTACCACTCTTAAATGTGTAATCAGCTGCTCCTCCCTTATTAGTTTTCAGATGTATACATTTTGCAGTAACATGAAAGTTAGAACATTTTTGTGAAATTGGAACAAAGGGATAAGCATTCCTTCAGATACTGGACTCTTCCTTTTGATTTTGGAGGATTAGTATGCTGACCTACACTAGAGTATACATGTGTAGAATCATTGAGGTTTCTTTACCAATGTGTGTATAATGAAGAATTGACAAGGCAGTTAAAAACGTAAACCTAACCTTTTTGAATCTGAAAGAATAGCAGAGAAATTGTTTCAGTTTAGGAATTGTAATATTTTTCAGACGAAAATGGCTAGTTTGGTAAACAATCCTCACTCATTATATGCAAGCTGTTATTTTGCTGCCTTTAGTAAACCATTTCATTGTAAAAAAAAAAAAAATTATTTGGTGACCCGTTCGTCAACTAAAATTTTTCTAAACCTCTTTTTTATAAGTGGCCCCAGCTGTAATAGGGAAGTAAGTGCCTTTACAGTACAGAATTTGTGGGCAGGTGCCTGGGACCTGACTAATATAACTTTTATGTAGTACCATGTACAATTTTTAAAGGGACAAAACACTATAACCGCTTCATCTCATTGGCGCTGGTCTTCTGTTCAGTGTTAAACAATTTTTTTATGGTTTAACACTAAGCAAGAGTCCCCAGCAGCCTGTCACCTCTGTTCAGTGGGTGGTGGTGACTGGCTTAGAGTTTCAACTGACCATTCATATGAATTGGTATGGCTAAGGAATAGTGTAAGATCTGCCTCAGCCATGCTTCCAGAGGGCCCAGGATGTGGATGACAAGGGCTCTTTATTTTGTGTTAAATCCTTTTAAAAAGTGTTTAATAATGAATGGAGAGATAGCACATTGGACTCTAGACACTATAATCGCTTCAATGAGAGAAAATGGTTATAATTTTTAGTGTGTCTCTTTAACAGTCCTATACACGAACTGGTGTTTCTCCCAAAAGTTGCTTACATTTACTCCCTAACTGCAGTAATCTTATGGCAGATAAGTCTATTAAAAAGATGCTTGGCTAGTAATATTGCACATCAGACTACACCAGTGATTCTCTGATTTATCCACCTGACTCATGCTTTAAGTTTTATTTAAAGGCGTGCAGTGTGTTTATCCAAAATTACTGTTTTAGGTTTTGTTTTTTAATGCTGTAGCTGTAAACGATTATTTGCACTTTTGGTTTTCGTTTGTATATCTAGTATGACTTTTTGTAATCAAACTAATGGCTACTATGGGCCTATGCGTACTATTTAAAGGAACACTCTAAGCATCATAACCACTATAGCCTGACGTGATGAGTATGGTGCAAGGAGTCCCCTGGCCCAGTCACATAGTTTTGTTTTTGTTTTAATACATGCATGGTTTCTTTGAGCGTCAGTAGTCCTTCAAATCTTTGTCGCCATCACTAAATCGTATGTTGTGATTCCATTTTGTGCAAATTGTCACATCATATTTATTTAAGTGTTGACCGTTCCAATGGCCTCCTGCTCCTAGCATTATAACCACTATTGAGGGATATAGTGGTTATGGTGCTTAGTGTACCCCTTTGAATATTAAATAGCAGTAAAATGTTGTAAATGTCTCGGATATCTTTATCTTGTTATCTGTATTGGATGGTAGCTAAACTGCAAATAACTTTAATTTTTTTTACTACTTATTCATTGCAGAGAAGGTTATGTCATACTATAAGCAGTTTCATAATCCATACACAGAAACGTGTTTTCTAGCCACTGGCTAGATGGGAAATTTAAATAGTTTTTTTTTTTTTTTTTTGAGCGACAGTCTAAAGCACTGTGATTTAACAATAGATGTGGCAGTGGAGAGGTTTGTCTGTAATAATCTAGGCTAGTGTTTGGCAACAGATGCCTCTTCCTATTGTCATTTGCTGGCCTGCGTTTTTTGTTTGTTGCACCTTAATTCACTCCAGTGGTGACAAGCAGGAGTGGTGAAGCTTTACTGCCCCCACGATCACCTACGCACGCTGGAATCTCTTTTTATACTGGTAGTTTTTATAAGTGCCGTTAGTTCCCAATGCATGCTTACTACTTTGCATGTAACCTTTTTAGTATAGTTTTCGGGGAATCAATACAACTTTAATGTGATAGGTTTTGGCCTCAATCTGCTGTATTAAATTTTTGCATGAAAAAATGTTTTGGATTGCTCCACCGTAAGCCTGCTATTTTAGCCACTCCCCGTCCAGAAAATTATGTCCTTATCAAATACATGCACACAACTCTGCCACAGAGAGTGCTGAGAGATTTGAACTATAGAGTAATCTGCTTTAGAACTACAGGACACCCTGGGAGATATATTGTAAGAATATTACTACCGGTTTATAGTTTCTCAACTGTAGGCAGCCAGGTTGTGAATATTGGGATTGAGACTGTGTGCATACATCTGATAAGAAAGTCTTTCTGGCATGAGAGGGTGTGGCTAAGGAGGCAGGCTTATGATACAGCATTACAAAAATGTGCAAAACTGTAAAGATCTGAGCATGCACAAATAGATATTTTAATGAGGTCTAAATCTATCAAATGCATACAATGAACACTATAGTTACTGAGACCACTTCATCTCAATGAATTGGTCTGGGTGCAATGCCCTAGATCGTTTAACACTGCGGCTGATAATATTGCCGTTCTGTAGGTACAGCAATGTTGTCGTCATAGGGTTAATCTGCTACTAGTTGAGGTGCATCTGCCAAAATAGTGGAGTAAAACTCCACTATTTCAATCATATGGTCTCAGAGAGACCATGTAATTGGTGCAGCGGGGCATTTTGGTACATATACACACTATCCTCCCGGTGCTTTCCTATGAGAACACTGGATTGGCTGAAATCATCTCAGTGATTTAGACAAAGAGTGGAGCTTTACCAAGGAGACTGGCGCTGCAAGAGAGAAAAGGTAAACTCCCCTTTTTAACTGTGGCGTGGGGGCCCGGTCACCTTAACAGTGACATTTGTATTCCTAATGCTATAGTGTTAAGTTGTATTGGTACCCAGATTGTCCCTTTACATTTAATGTTTGTTTAACCCCTTAAGGAGACATGACATGTGACATGTCATGATTCCCTTTTATTCCAGAAGTTTGGTCCTTAAGGGGTTAAAGTATAACTTTGTCCAAACAATGTTAATCTAACCTAAATTAGCTTAAAATTCACATTCAAAAATATTTGATTTGTGATTTGGGCGCTCCAGAATTAAAACTGTAAATATTGTCCAGGATGCTTCGAAAGTTTTTAAACTTGTACAGAAAACAATTTGCTTTTTGGTGTTTTGCAGCACAAATCCTTTATACCTGCCTGTTATCCTCCTGTTCTGCCAATATTTTTTTTTATTTTTGTGTGTGTGAATAATCACTGCCTGTTGAAAACCAAACCTTTTTAAAAGAAAAACTAGTTCAGTTACATTCTTCAAGAACAGATTAGTAAAGTGCCTTGTAAAATAGTTGGACGCAGTACTTGTTACACTAATTACCTGCAAAAAGACTACCAATTATTTCCTTTATTTGAAATTGTTGTATGAATGTACCAATGTGTGTAATAACTTTTAATAAACATGTACAGACAAATCATTTTATTGCTTTAATTATTACAATTGTGAAAACAAATCTGCAGCATTGTCTACATCTGCTGGTGGTTCCGCTGTCTGTTTTGAAGGCTGGAGGGAGAAAATATAATCAGTTAAGCTATACAGATAATTGCATCTAAAACAATTTAAAGTGTTATAGCCCGTTGTAATGGTGATGCCACAAGTACCATAGCACCTTCACTCAGTACTGGGGCAATCCATTTTGTAAAGGTCTACCCTCTTACGTGGGTCGCACAGTCTCCTCTGCAATATGCACAAGAGCTGCAGAAGCCAGATACCAATCCTGCTACTCATTTATTGGCTGAGAACGAGCTTCTGTGCATAGAATATGCACAGACTTGACATTTGCCAGCTTAGAACTCTTCTTCTGGACTGGATAATGAAGTAACCGTGACGCTGCCAGGTGTGGAGTTACAATGCTGTTAACGCTTGGAGTAACCCTTTTATTATGTTAAGAAAATAGCTGTCCAGTGCCTCATGAAATGTCAGATGTCTAGTATTCATTATTGTTCATTCCAGAATTTATTACAGCATGGTCTATTGTGTCTGGATAATTTTCTCTAGAGTAGTCCATTTTAAAATGCTACTTAATTGGAGTGTAACTTAAGGGACACACCAGAGTCAAGGTACATATAAGGCCAGATTACTCAAAATGGGAATATACACAACTAAACACCAATCAAATGTACACTAGTTAGACATACTATCCAGTTTAATATAAATACACATGTCATTTACAACAAATGCATAGGTTCAGGGTGGTTTTCTGTGACAACGCTAAAATCTACCTTGTAAATATCTTGTTGCAAAATACATCCACAAACTTTCCATAAAAAGAAAGAAAAAAAAAAAACTTCCACCGTGTCTCCGTTTTTTTTTTTTGTGTAATTGAATAGGTTCAACAATTTTAATTATGGTATATATTGGATTCTCTTCCATCACAAATGCAAGTGTGGCTATTGGATTTGTGCAGAAATTGTGGGGATTCTTGAAGCCTTATTACACTAGACCGGTAGAGATGTATACTTACCTCTGTTGTGCTACAACAGCATCAATAGCGCAAAAGATAAGAGCAAGTGATAGAGGATATCATATCTGGTTGCAATCAGTTAAACACTGCATAATATGTTGGTACTCCAAGTAATTGTGACATAACAAGTTAGGCAATCTGGAGCAAAAGGTTACAGTCAAAGCCCCACACAAACAAGTTTACAGTCAAAGTAAGGTATAACATTCCAAAGTTTAAAAATACAGTATATCTAAAAGGACAATTAACGTACTGAAGTGTTCACCATGTACAGTATTTACATAAATGCATAACATGGCAAAAATGGCAACTCTGTGAGCTGACAAGCTGCTTTGGCTAAACTATTATAGGAGGCTTGCTTTGAAGAAATACTATTTATAATTATCTTTGTTATACCATTACAAAACAAATATTCATGTATATTGAAATTTGTGAAGAATATCCGCCTACCTTCCCACTTACCCTTTCTGACAGACATCTTTATGCAGCCTCTGTTGGATTGTCCATTATCAGACCCATTTAACACTATTTTGCAACCGTCCATTGCTTTTCAAAATCACCTGACAAAATGCTGCAGGCAGAAATCGCACACAATGTTTTTACGAATAGATGGTTGCATAAGAGTGCGTGTTCGGTCAGAGAACAGACATTCTCTTCAAAGTTTCATAAACATGGTTATTTGAATGGTAAACCAGAACAAGGAAACAAATTCAATACGTGACTTAAAATATACATTTTAACATCTTTATCTTACACAGATTACATACGTGCAAGAGAATTAATATACTGCATATTGTCTTTCAAATCAACATTTCAGAGGTAGGGTCAAAACAGGGGAATGTGCATAATTCAGACTTATACCTTCTTGCTCTTGGCTACGTTGGACTGACTTTTCTTTTTCAGTTGTGCAACCTCCTTGTGCAGTTCTGTAAAAGCTTCATTGACTGTGCTCACCTTCTCTCTGGTAGCAATGTTGATCTGTTTAAAATGGAGGCCAAACAAGATAAGGTAAGAGTATTCAATCTGCTATAGTTCACATATCCCTCTGCAAGAAGCAACAAAATGTAATGGCAGAGAAAGGATTGTGGGAGACGTATTCCTGTAATGCTGTATATGTAAATTTTCTTACACTGGCATTTAAAGCGGCACTGTCATGGCCAAATCCAGTTTTTTTTGTTGTTTTTTTAGCGGTATAGCGAGTAGGGGCAGCATTTACTAATACTAAGTAAAGATTACTAATTTTTTTTTAATAATACTAAGTAATCTTTACTTAGTATTAGTAAATTTGGCTGAAAGAGCAATATAGGTCTTTCAGCCTTTTGGTAGATAGCTCCCTGATACCGTGGGAATTAGGGAGTTATCTAGTAAGCGGCTGCAAGATGCAGCAGCACATATAGGATCAGAGTTTCATTCATTAGAATGAAATTCCGATACGAACAAAGTCCCGAATTGTGTCCTAACATGAACTAACAAACTGTTCTCATTCTGTTAGGCGCAATTCGGCAGTTTCGCCGACCTCCTGTCTAAATGACAGGACGTGCGGGAATACTGACAGGAAGCATCACAGGAACAGGGAGGAAAGCTTAGAATTGTGGGAAATTTTATCTTGACCACTGGAAATGAGGCACATTTTGCTCCTCCGCTGGTCAGGCTTAAGAAAACCTCCATAAGACAAATAGTCTCTACTATGTGTTCTGTTTTAACCCCTTAAGGACACATGACATGTGTGACATGTCATGATTCCCTTTTATTCCAGAAGTTTGGTCCTTAAGGAGTTAAAGAACACTAAAGCAAACTGGAAGAAATGAAGAACAAATCATGAGAGGGAGAGAAGAGGAATAGATTAAAGAAAGGTAGGTTCCGCATGACAGTGCTGCTTTAAACTATGAAACAAGATTAGAGTCATTTTGTGCTGCATTCACGTGTGAAGGGAAAAAATGCTGGTTGGAAAGCACAGAATAAAAATATACAAAAAAGTGTGTGTTCTTTATGACTATATTATCTGTAGAGCTGGTATAGTGTGGCACACTTGTGTCCAGTGGGTAGAATTGAGACTATTAGCAGTAAAACATGTAACTATCATATGTCACCTCAAACTGGACAATTCTGTTTACTTAAAGGACCACTATAGTGCCCTGAGGGTGCCCCCACCCTCAGGGTCCCCCTCCCGCCCGGCTCTGGAACGGGGAAAGGGGTTTAAACTTACCTTTTTCCAGCTCTGGGCGGGGAGCTCTCCTCCTCTCCTCTCCTCTCCTCCTCCGTTCCGCCCCGTCGGCTGAATGCGAACGCGCGGCAAGAGCTGCACGCGCATTCAGCCTGTCGCATAGGAAAGCATTTACAATGCTTTCCTATGGACGCTTGCGTGCTCTCACAGTGAAAATCACAGTGAGAAGCACGCAAGCGCCTCTAGTGGCTGTCAATGAGACAGCCACTAGAGGATTAGGGGGAAGGCTTAACCCATTAATAAACATAGTAGTTTCTCTGAAACTGCTATGTTTATTAAAAAAATGGGTTAACCCTGGCTGGACCTGGCACCCAGACCACTTCATTAAGCTGAAGTGGTCTGGGTGCCTAGAGTGGTCCTTTAATGAAATGTGAAAAAGGTTTATATATAATTTATAGTACTGACCTTCTTAAGACTTGTTTTCACTGGTTTGGCTTTATGTTTTGCTTTTACACTCTTACTGTTTGCTACATGAAAGACACTTGTCTGTTTTTGCCCCTTTCCTCTGCTTTTTGCCATTGCCTGTAAAGATATAAGAAACACAGAGTAAGGAAAAGACCAGTCACTCACAGGGTACTTTAATTCCAACCACTCAGGCTGACATTTCAGCACCAGTGAGCCTTTCTTAAAGGAGCACTCCGAACACACACACAGCACTACTGCTGTATATGGAGTTCCCATTTTAATAGCACTTTATAATTTAATATTCACATAAACAATAATTCAAATAAACATCAAACTAGTTTAAAAACAAAACACTGAGCTAATGCAAGGAGGAAACCTCCCCAGCTGTTTGATCGATAGCCGAGGTGGTCCTCTTCTTCTGTTAGGTCAAATGAGTTAACAGAAGCTGCAGATGCACTCTGCTTTCTCCCACAAGTGGCTGAAAGTACGTACATGGGTCCACAAAGCTCCATTTTAACCAGTCACCCATGGCTGTAAGCAGATGGCTTGCAAAGGCTGCAGACAGAAGATCTGCCCTCTCCTCCCCCCTGCCAAACTGATAAATGCACCCCAACACTCCTTTCAGTGCTTTGTTGCTTTTTTCTGTATATAATTGGTTACAGGTAGTGTTCTGGACAGATGCTACAGCAGTGTATGACATAAAAAATGTTATCTGTGTAAGGAGAAAAATCCTAAGAACGTAAGGTGACACTGAAAGTGGGTTTATCAGCGATCGTCAAGGTGTTCATGAAAGTGTCCTCTAACGAGTCAAAACATACCAACAATGGTTAAAAACACAGAATTTGTGTCCCTAAATCAAATAGTCAGAATTAAATGGTGATTTTACTACAATATATTAACAGATCAACAGCTATATTTTGATTGTCCATGCACCCTAATGTTTAACTCATACACCATAAACCTCAAACTTGTCAATATTACTATTGCACCAAATAGAATAGTTATTTTCATTAAAGTAGTCTGTTTGCACTACCTTGCCACTTTAACCCTGCAGCTGAAGACATTGCAGTTTTACTAAAAAGAAAAATGCAATGTTTACATTGCAGGGTTAAGACTGCCTCTACTGGCTTTCTACCAGGCAGCCACTACCAGTGCTTCCTTCAGTTTCACAGAGTTTAACTCCTTGATATAACTCTAGACATCCTCACGCTTTGCATTAGGACTTCCAGTGTCTTGCAAATCCCCATAGGAAAGCATTGATTTAATACTTTCTTATGGGGAACACCTAATGCGAGTGCAGCGCTCTCTGTACATGCACATTAGGTTCCCCCTCTCATTCTTGTCACACGAGGTTAAGATGGAGCCAGTGCCCAGGAACCTTAGTGCTGGATTCAGGTAAATGGATAAAAAGGCTTTTACCCTTTGATTGTTAGTAGAGTAGAGGGAAACTATAGTGTTGGGAATACAGCTTTGTCTTCCTAACACGATAGTGGTCTTTTAAGGGAGACTTGGGTAAAACAAATCTATATAGAGATGCCGATTGGCGCAGCCCGGCATTATGCAGTGCATGCACAATAGCCTTCCAATGCATTCCTATGAAAAAGCATTGAATTGGCTGAGATTATCAAGGGTGATGATCTCAGCCATGAAGGTGGGGCAAACCCGCAGAAATACCTGCATTGAGATGTTGAAAAGGTAAGTAAAAACCTTTTTTTCTCCAGTCTGAGGGCCCTGGATCCTAAATGGTTAATCCAACACTATAATTCTAGAAAAACATTATTTGCATTCCTAATACTATAGTGTTGCTTTAATCTGTTAATTAATGGTTTAGCCCCTTGAGGCAAGTCTATGCCTGGGACCTCCTAACACCACAACAACTTCATTCCGCTAAAATTGGTGCCTAAAGTGTTCCTTGAAACATAATTCCACACAGCAGCGATCTATCAATGCTTTATTATTATTTATACAGTGCCATCTTAATGCACTGTGCTTTACAATTATAGAAGGAGGATATTTTACAAGTAATTGACATACCAAAATAGAGCTGAAGAAGGACCTGCTCTTATAGAGTTACATTGAGTGAGGGGGGGGAGGGCACACTATAGTGCTAGGGGTACAATTTTGTATTCCTAACCTATAGTATCCCTTTAAGGGCGGCATAGCATGATCAGTAGGAGTTTATTAACTAAGCAACATATTGTAACAAATTCGACATTTTTTGGGGGACTCAAATGTGTCCTAGGTTTTACCATTCTATGTCTCCAAAATTAGGAGATTCGTGTATAACCAATATCCACACCTGGCTATATTCACTCACACACCCCCCCCCCCATCTGTCTACTTATAAAATATGTTTCTATTCTACACCTTCTCAGAGAGGACAGCTATGTGTGCAGTGAGCTAGTAATGCTAGTTTCTGTATGGCAGGAGATATAAACGCCTTACCTGTGCTACTGCACTCACCTGGTAGCCTTTAGCCCCCTGTAACACGTGTTGTGATGACGTAATCAACGCGCGACTCTAGTTAAAGGAAGAGTACAAAGCACTAGAGTTCGACACACGGAAGCAGCTGGTTTCTATTCTATGTCTATGGTTTCTGTGTTGTAAACAGTAGGGTCGTGGCTAGTTCCCTTCATACTACAGGGAGCATGTGATGTCACGGAAACCATGTGACTGGCCGAGGTCACGTGATATAGAGGGAGGCTAGAAGCAGCCAGCCTGGAGCTGAGCTCAGTAGGAGCTGATGGGCAGCACACATACTGTGACTGTCTCTCTCAGTCACTCAAACCCACTCACTGTATTTATAATGCACACTCGCTCTCTTGTGTTTTCTGTCACCTCTCACTCAATTTTTGTCTTTTTTTTCACTCTCTCATGCTGTAACTCCATCAAACTTTCTTACTCTTTTTCTCACATGCTCTGTCTCTCTCGACTCCCCAGTACTGCCTCTTTATAGGGACACTATAGTCACCAGAACTACTACAGCTTAAGCCTTTAAGGATGGCGGACGTGCTATCTATGCCACCCTTAAAGGGAAACTATAGGTTAGGAATATAAAATTGTACTCCTAGCACTATAGTGTGCCCCCACTCCGTAATCCCTAAATCCTGAGCTGATAGGTGTGCTTTGAGGAGAGGGTTGAGGATCACTGGGCTATGCAACCAAAAGTCACCTAATGACCTAGAAGCGCCCAAAAGGGAATAGTGATGGCGTTAACCCTGCAATAGGTATCGATAACTGCAATAATTACAATTGCAGGATTAAACCACTTAAATGAGCTGAAGTGGACTGGGTGCATATAGTGTCCTTTTAAAGCAAACATGTCAAACTCAAGCAAACAGAACAAAGGATGCAGGTAGAGCCAAAATAAATACAATATTGTACAGTAGTAAGTAATAAGAAAAAGGTACAAAGTAAGAAATAGAAATGTCCTTTTGAGGTTTTTAGAAACATAGAATGTGACGGCAGATAAGAACCATTCGGCCCATCTAGTCTGCCCAATTTTCTAAATACTTTCATTAGTCCCTAGCCTTATCTTATAGTTAGGATAGCCTTATGCCTATCCCACGCATGCTTAAACTCCTTTACTGTGTTAACCTCTACCACTTCAGCTGGAAGGCTATTCCATGCATCCACTACCTCTCAGTAAAGTAATACTTCCTGATATTATTTTTAAACCTTTGTCCCTCTAATTTAAGACTATGTCCTCTTGTTGTGGTAGTTTTTCTTCTTTTAAATATAGTCTCCTCCTTTACTGTGTTGATTCCCCTTATATGTTTAAATGTTTCTATCATATCCCCCCTGTCTCGTCTTTCCTCCAAGCTATACATGTTAAGATCCTTTACCTTTCCTGGTAAGTTTTATCCCGCAATCCATGAACCAGTTTAGTAGCCCTTCTCTGAACCCTCTCTAAGGTATCAATATCCTTCTGAAGATACGGTCTCCAGTAAAAGTCTTCAAATGTTGAATAAGATGTCTACGGAGTGGTATCACACATCAACTGCATATGTAAAAGAGAAAATAGGGAACCAATAGTGCAGTATTTTAAGTCTATGGACTATAGACAACATAAAACTTAAAATTGACAACTCACGTTTTTCGAAAGGATATTTTTATCTCTTACTTGGTACCCTTTTCTTATTACTTACTACAACATTGTATTTATTTTGGTGCTACCTGTATCCTTTGTTTGATTTATCCTTTAAGGTTTTGAGGGTTACCTTCCTATTCAGGTGTGCAGCCGCCTTGTGATCAGTTATTGTAGCGCTGTTCCAATCTTGCTTTTTGTGTTCTATGTCAAACTCAAAGTCTAGCACAGGCCAAATAAACATGGTTTAAGTTTATGTGGGCCACAAAAAAAAACAACTTACATTTTCATAGAAACGTAGGTTGATTTTGAAAATTACAGTATAAAAACAACAGCATCCCCCATACTCTACTAAATCTCAGTCCCCACCATATACCAAATCCCAGTCCCCCCTAAATCCCAGCACCCCACTCTAGCCAACAAGCAGACGCCACTCACATTGCCGGTGCCAGTATGCGACTCTAGAGTATACCCCAAATGGCGCCGTTTGCACCCTGTGCCAAAGCAGATCCTCATGCTACTTCTTGAAACCCTGTGAGGGTGGAGCACGTCAACGTCATGTTGGAATGTGACATGGCGTTGCATGCTTCCATGCACCTCCAGGTCCTCCACTGTCCAGCTGCAGCCATCACAACACTGACTGACACACACACACACACACACTCACTGACACAGACAGACACACATTTACACATTCTTGCACACACTCACATCATTGTATTTATCCCTGGGGTCCAGTGGGGATCTTATATCTGGAGATCTCTTTCCTGCTGCTCACTGCTCCCTCACGTGCGCAGTTTAGTGATGCCGGAATATGACGGCATATTCTGGCATCACTACAGACGGTGCTCGATAGGGAGCATTGAAGAGCAGGAAGACTGAGCTCCTCCAGAGATCTCTCCTCCCGGCTGGGTCAATCTTACAGAGTAGGCACCTGTAATGTGGAGAAAGCAGGTGGCTACTCTGCTTTAACACTAAGCATGTACTTGCGGCTCGCTGGGCCGCAAAGATGTCCATTGAGGGCCGCATGCCGCAAGTTTGACATGCTTGCTTTAAAGGGTCACTATAGTGTCAGGAACACAATGTGTATTCCTGACACTTTATATGCAAAAACCACCGCTTAGGTGGTTGGCCCCCCTTACTTTGCGTTAGAAGGGTGATTTACTCACCTTTTTCCAGTGCTATGAGAGCCTCCTTGCATCTGGCCCACCCTTGGAAAGCATTGGATTGGCTAAGATCAATTTTGAGGTGGTGGTGCAGCCAAAAGCCACCCTGGCCAATCAGCATCTCCTCATAGATATGCATCTCTATGGGAAAGTTCAGGGTCTCCATGCTACACTGAACGTCAATCAGCACTGCCCCAGGAATTATCTGTAGTAGCCGCCTGAGGAGTGACCTCTAGAGGTGTTCCTAGGCTGTAATGTAAACTACAGTGTTTACACTGAAATGCCTGCAAGGACTGATTATACTCACCAGAACAACTACATTAAGCTGTAGTTGTTCTAGTGACCATAGTGTATCTTTAAGGAGGCGATGCTAAATGCGGCATGGTGGCATAGCACGTTCTTGCCGCCCTTCCCACTTACCTGTATACTGACAGTCCCACGCTGACGATCGCGCTGGAGGGACTTGCCTGACAATCTAGGCAATCCCCCTAACTAATCCGGCACTTCCGTGCCATGTGATCACGATGGCATGAGGGTCACATGGCTGGAATAGCAGGCTTCAACACTGCCTTGGATGTCAGGCAGTCTTCCAAGCTAAAAAATATGCCATACAGTCTCATAGGCAATCATATCCAATCTGGCAAATTTCAATGTGTAAAAACAGAAAAGGGAAATGTCGAATATTTGACCCTGTAAGTTTTCAAAACCCTGTAAAACCTGCATGGTGGGTACTGCTGTACTTGTGAGATATCGCTGAATACAAACGCGAGTGTTTTAGAGCAGTAAAAGCTAACAGTATTATGACATTCACAGTTAAAATGGCATGCAGAACAAAGAAAATAAATTTGTTTCTTAATTTCTTACATTTGTTTTAGATTTGATTCATATAAAAATTATGTTTCACATATAAATATTTCATGTGAAATGAACTCCATGTTTCTCCTGAACAAAATTATATATAATAGGCGTGGATACACTTTATATGAAAAAGCTAAATTATGGTTGAGCAGACATATAGTCAAATTCCACGTTTTGTTTTGATCAGAACTTGTACAAGTTAAGTGATTACTGTAGTTATTCTGGCTTGTATAGTATGTGCATGCAGGCTTTTCACTGTAAACGCTGCCTTTTCATAGAAAAGGCAGCGTTTACATTGGTGCCTGGGAACTAGCCTTTTCAAAGAATATGTCTTATACTAAATTAACGTGTCTTATACTAAAGGAATCTTTCTACATAGACAAGTCCACAGGTACAATCTTAAAGGAAGACTTTTGTGTCATGAATACATAAAAGTATTCCTGACACCAGTGCTGGTGTGGTTGTTTAGGTGACTGGCCCTTCACCTTTCTCAGTAAAAAGGGGGATATTACTTACCTTTTTCTCTCTAGCCGCATATGGCTCTGCCTCCGTGGCCGAGCTCATCAATACTGATGTCCTCAGCCTTCCCCTCACATACAGGATAATGGAGTGGGAGATAAGAAGAGGTGTGATTACAGTTGCAAGAAAAAGTATGTAAACCCTTTGGAATTATATGGATTTCTGCACAAATTGGTCATAAAATGTGATCTGATCATCATCTAAGTCACAACAATAGACAATCACAGTCTGCTTAAACTAATAACACACAAAGAATGAAATGTTGCCATGTTTTTATTGAACACACCATGTAAACATTCACAGTGCAGGTGGAAAAGTATGTGAACCCTTGGATTTAATAACTGGTTGAACCTCCTTTGGCAGCAATAACTTCAACCAAACGTTTCCTGTAGTTGCAGATCAGACGTGCACAACGGTCAGGAGTAATTCTTGACCATTCCTCTTTACAGAACTGTTTCAGTTCAGCAATATTCATGGGATGTCTGGTGTGAATCGCTTTCTTGAGGTCATGCCACAGCATCTCAATCGGGTTGAGGTCAGGACTCTGACTGGGCCACTTCAGAAGGCGTATTTTCTTCTGTTTAAGCCATTCTGTTGTTGATTTACTTCTATGCTTTGGGTCATTGTCCTGTTGCAACACCCATCTTCTGTTGAGCTTCAGCTGGTAGACAGATGGCCTTAAGTTCTCCTGCAAAATGTCTTGATAAACTTGGGAATTCATTTTTCCTTCGATGATAGCAATCCGTCCAGGCCCTGACGCAGCAAAGTAGCCCCAAACCATGATGCCCCCACCACCATACTTCACAGTTGGGATGAGGTTTTGATGTTGGTGTGCTGTGCCTCTTTTTCGCCACACATAGTGTTGTGTGTTTCTTCCAAACAACTCAACTTTGGTTTCATCTGTCCACAGAATATTTTGCCAGTACTGCTGTGGAACATCCAGGTGCTCTTGTGCAAACTGTAAACGTGCAGCAATGTTTTGTTTGGACAGCAGTGGACAGCAGTGGCTTCCTCTGTGGTATCCTCCCATGAAATTCTTGTTCTATCCTCCCATGAAATCTATTCTTGTTCAGCTGTAACCCACACCTCCAATCTCATCTCATTGATTGGACTCCAGTTGGCTGACATCTCACTCCAATTAGCTCTTGGAGATGTCATTAGTCTAGGGGTACACGTATTTTTTCCACCTGCACTGTGAATGTTTACATGGTGTGTTCAATAAAAACATGGCAACATTTCATTATTTGTGTGTTATTAGCTTAAGCAGACTGTGATTGCCTATTGTTGTGACTTATATGATGATCAGATCACATTTTATGACCAATTTGTGCAGAAATCCATATCATTCCAAAGGGTTCATATACTTTTTCTTGCAACTGTATACATCCCTTACCAAAGGTCGTCCCTTAAGCCAAGGAAGACCCTTGCCAGCACTATTTCCTTGGGGGGCATATACCCCTCCCCCACCACCCAGATCCGCCACTGCAATTAAACAATTTTGTTTTCATGTAGGCTGTGTCAGTCACAGTCAGGGGAGGTGTGGCAAGGGCTGCATAAACAGAAACAAAAGTGATTACCATGTATCCAAAACAGAGTATTGTACTAAGTAGTAATTTATTTAAAAACTAATGCATTAAAAGTGTATTGTCTACAGCAAGACTTCACTATGGTTAGTGTTTATTAGTAGGTTTCCAAAACTTCACTGTAGGCACAATGTCTCAATATAACACCACCAATGCAAATATAGCCGGGATACACTCACGCATAAATAGATACACCAATCAGCATCAGCAGAGGGACTGACTATCAACATCAACTGATTAGCAAAAGTATGTGGACTCAATGGGTTTTTTTTTTTAACTGTAAGTCTCAACATCCAGATAGCTGAACAAATTTATTATAAGCACGAGGAAGCGGAGGAAAGGCAACAGTTGTTGCTTTCAGCCAATCACTAAAAACACAAAACTGCATGAGAAAGGTATGTAATCACATATTTATAATGTATACTTGTTTAATGATTAGATAAATGCCCATTCCTTATTTTATTTATAAGGAGTCCCAGAAGGCTTGGTTTGAGAGCTCATTGTGGGCTTTGTGGTGGAAACAGAAACATTTTACCCTTACTGTAAACTATCCAGGGCTGGCATTAAATTGGTGTTTCACTCGTGGTCAATGTAGCCATTGTGCAAGGTGTGGAATCTGAAATTTACACTCATTGACCTGGTTTACCCAGTACAACAGGTAACAAGGAGAAGCAGGGTCAGTGCGCTATCTGGGAATCACCCCACATTCCACTGATAAACGTTAGTCCAACTGGAGTGTTAGAATAAACTATGGATCAAAGAAAAGCACTGAATGGGGAAGACTCAAGGTGTTTTTGGAAGAGTGGTGAAAAGAAGATAAAGAGGCAGGGATCTTGCAAACCTATTGGTGATCCAACGCATTGTGACATACTGTCTAATCGTCTCCCACATCTACTTTTCAAAGTCCTTCATCCGACAGGGGAAAAGTCTGAAAATGAAAGACAACATACACAGGCGTTAATTTGCTTAAGTCAGAATTATAGTCAAACTGAGTCTAAAATGTGACTATAGCAAAACTGCTAAATCTTTTTAAATCTGTTCTTTTAGCCTAAATCTTGACATTCGTATTTAATTTTGTTACAATTTAGAGTTTAGTGAGTAACCCTGTTAGCCAAGCTGAAAAACATTTGCAACACACCTATTGATCCAGCTGTGTTATTGTGGCCTACATTTTGTAATTCAATTCTGTAGTCATATTTACACAATACATTGTTTGTGAATGCCCTCCTGGAGTTTCCTTGATGCTATGTGAGTGAATTCTGTGGGGATGAAGTAACTCTGGATTGTGTTGCTAGGGCTGGCACAGTGCTGCCACTAATATACAAGCTCACAGAGAGAAGGCACAGCTAATACATGCTATTCTGCATCATTATGAAATGGATATTTGACATTTTGGGGGAGCCATTGCCAGTGAGTGGTTCAGTATATTACAAGGTGATTTTTTTTCTTTCTTTTTTTAAAATTTATTTTGTGTTTCTAATTACTCCATTATGTTTGTGCACCCAATTAATACAATTCTTCTGTAGGCTTACTGAGTCAACCTTAAATTATTTAATTCACTGACACTTTCTACACTATAAAATTGAAACTCAATAAGTTTTTACATTTTATCTCAAAATGTATATTTTACTGTAAGTGATCAATTGTCACCGGTTATATAATCTCTCCCATGAGGATTTAAATGTTAAAGAAAGAATAGTATCTGATGAATTTTACTATTGAATATTGTCAAGGATACCAGGGAATGTAAAAAACTGAATAAAGATTCCATGATTCTGAAGACCATAAAGCTGTACAGAGTTAAAATCCAGGATTTCATTTATAAGTCAATTAAAGTGAAATTGTCAGACTGTGCAAGACCTGTTATCATGCATTTTATCCATCTAGTGAGACAGTCATAGATACATTTCATTTATAAAGTGTGACATTGTCTGACTATACAGTGTACAGGTATAATTCAAATATATTTGCATGTGCTTTTTAGAATGTTCAACAATGTTAATCAAACCAATGCATGACCGCCTGTGGAGTATATTGTAGGCTTTGGCGTGATCATCGTTGAAACCAGTGAAATTTTGCTTCAGACTGCTCATTGTTTAGGACTTATTGTACACTTACAGAGACCTTTACTAGTGTGAGAATTCAAAAGAAATGTCAAATGTAAGGTCAAAATAGCGAAACTGGAAAAATTCTCTGTCAGCTATTTTGTCAGTTTAGCTACTCTGGCCTTAAAGGGATTCTCTAGTGCCAGGAAAACAAACCCGTTTTCCTGGCAGTGTAGAATCCTGGAGTGCTGTCCCCCATCCCACGTCACTGAAGTCGTTAAACCCCTTCAGACACTTACCTGAATTCAGCACCGATGTCCCTCAGCGCTGGGTCAGGCTCCGCCCATGCTCCCCCCCACCGACATCCACCAGCAGGGGAGACCTAATTCACATTGATGTACCACAATCAAGTATAATAAAGCACTTACACTTTGATTTTTGATAAGAAGTGAGACACTGGAGAAAAACTCAAAATGGGAAGACGGTTTCCAAATCTTTTCCGTCCCTAGCAAGACTGTTAGGAGTCGGAGGTATTTGATTGCTGATATCAATAGGCATTTTGACTTTCAACATAATGCATAAATAATCAGGAGATATAGAGGCAGTGGATCTGTATCACAGACCTTAATAAACCTGGGTATAAAATCCAGATAAATGGCCTAGTCTGGGAATCATTTGTTTGGATTACAAGGGAATGTATGTATCCAAAATCTAGAATCCCTTTTCCTCACCGGATAACTTAGTGGGAATCACAAATCCTGTGAATGTATATTGAGTAAGAAAATAAATCCCGTTCTCACTTTAATATATAAATTTTCTATAATTCTTAAATATAATAAGATCAAGTTTCTTAATTAGATCGCACAGATGTTTCTGGCAATTTATGTTGTGATAGAACAAAAAAAATTGACAATTCACATCTGTTAATAGTTTTACTGTTTCCAATTCACAGCGCAGCTCTGATTGAATATAAAATATTACTTAGATTGAATAAAAATGTAAATATTAATCAATGCCATTCATTAATGTAATGTACTTCCCTAATTAGTGTTTCTTTGGCTAAACTGTCAGCCTAAGATGATAAATAAATCTATTTAAAGGTAATCGGTTATCATTTTTTTTAGTATGCTGCATATAACTGTATGATACTTTTCAAACTTATGATGGTCAAATAGTTTGAATTATAATTTTACTGATATTTATAAAGCACCAATATATTGCATAGCACTGTGTAATTGGGGAAAGAGACAATACAATATAAACAGATCAATACAAAAGTTAAAGGAGATGTAATTATCTCCTTATCAAGTCTTTCTTTGTTACTTCACACTGCATATTATCAGTACTGTCAGTGTTAATGTTTCTGTCCTCTCCTTCTACTACAACTCTGACCCGTAGGAGATTTCATTGGGGGTGTTACTCAAGTAAAAAAAAAAAGTCTAGAACGATGTACTTAATTTTTGGCAGTGAAATGTAACTTTGCTCCCTATGTATTCTAAGAGGAAGAAAGCATGGTGACATATTTCTAGTAAAAAGCACATCACGGAAATACATGCAAGATGTAAATACCATGTGTTAAGCAAAAATATATTTATTTTTTTGCTCAAACTGTGTTTATTGCTACACTATGGAAATGAGGCTGATAGTGTATCATGTAGTGCAGCAGAGTTGAAGGGACACTAAAGTCACCAAAATTACTTGAATGACGTGGCCTGGGTGCAGTGCCCTTGTTCTATTAACCCTGCAAACTAAAACATTGCAGTTTTTGGTACTACAGGCACCAAAACTTTAGTTTAATGAACCAGTTTTGGTGTAACTATCATGCCCCTGCAGTCTCATTGCTCAATTCTCTGCTGTATGGGAGTAAATTCATTTGTTTATACAGCCCTAGTGCACACACATGCACAGCCTTTCTAACCACTTCCTTTATTTTACAGTCAGTTCATTCTAGAGTTTTGTTTCTCCTGCTCAGTTAATAGTCTTCTTGATTCTGCAGGAACCTTTTGTGTGTGATTAAAGTTCAATTTACTGAACAAGAGATAAAACATACTAAAGAAAGTTAAGATCTGACTGAAAATGAAACCTTTTTCTTCATGCAGGCTGTGTGAGTCACACCGAGGGGAGGTGTGGCTAGGACTGCTAAATCAAAAACAAAACTCCTAAATAGCAGAAAATTAAGCTGTGTGACTGCAGGGGTATGATCTATACCCCCAAACTGCTTTAATAAGCTTAAGTTGTTTTGATGCCTATATATAGTGTCCCTTTAAAGGGACAGTATAGTCACCAGAACAACTGCAGCTTTTTGCATTTGTTCTGGTGAGTAGAATAAATCTTTTTGCTGTAAACACTGTCTTTTCAGAGAAAATGCAGTGTTTACATTACAGCCTAGTGAAAACTCCATTGGCCACTCCTTAGATGGCTGCTAGAGGTGCTTCCTGTGGCAGTGCTGCCTAGTGTGCAGCACTGCCATTCAATGTCTCCCCCTCTGCATGCAGACACTGCACTTTCCACATAGAGATGCATTGATTCAATTAATCTCTATGAGGAGATGCTGATTAGCCAGGGCTGTGTTGACATGTGCTGGCTCTGCCTCTGATCTGCCCCCTTGACAGTCTCAGCCAATCCTATGGGAAAGCATTGTGATTGGCTCAGACCACCACTTCTAAGTACGTCAGCAGACAAAGGCAGTTCACAGGCAAACAGGGGCAGAGCTAGCAGCTGTAGACTTAAATACTATTAAGATTTTACTATATTTAGGGAGGGAAGATGGGGCCAGGGGAGCTAGATGGTGGTTTTAACACTATAGGGTTAGGATTATATGTTTGTGCTCCTGACCCTATAGTGCTCCTTTAAGTCATCCTCTAGTGGCCGTCAGCATGACAACCAGTAGAGGTGCTTCTGCTGCACTGACGGAGTAAAACTCGGTCACGTGATGCAGAAGCCCCATATATAAGTATTGATGCACAAGCACAGTAGGTCTCCAAAGATCCTTTATGAAAAGCAGTAGATTGGATGATCAATGAGGAGGCCCTGCCTCTACGCTGAAAATAGGTAAGTAGATTTTTAAAAAAATATTTTTTTTGCACCAGGGGGTTGGAACCTGCCTACAAGTAGGAACAGAACTACTATAGTGTTGGGGATATAGATATATATCTCTAATTCTATAGTGTTCCTTTAAGTAAAAACACATATCTACAGAGCACTTTATGTTTGGGGTGACATCATTGCCACATGATACATGGAGTGTCCTTGTGTGTGCTCGGGAATTAAATAAATTTTCATAGCCAGCTCACTATAAGATACAACAGCTGAAAAGGGAAACTTTGATCTGGATCCAGAATAATTCAGAGCATCTTGGCAAATTGAAGCAGGTGGCAAAGGTTTATCATATTTGGTTCATATGTCAGGACAGCGAGTCAGACTCAGTGCCGCTATTAGAGAGGTGCAGCTGGTACTTCAGTGAGGGACCAAACAGAGTACTGGACCCTGCATGTGCCAAGCCACCTGATTGGGAAGATATTAATATATCCTCTATCCATTTCACATTCATGGAATGCTCTAAGCACTAAAAACCACTTTATTTTGATGAAGTGGCTTTAGGTACATAGATCCTGTCCCTGCCATTTGGCTATGTAAATGTTGGGGCAGTAATGGAACCTTCTCATGAAGACCTTTCACATTCAACATCATCACACCCAGCAGTGCATTTAATACTTCCCTATTAAAAACATACATTTGGCAGTGCCTGGCGATGCATGCATCATATGTCCCCAATACCTATGTAGCATTGGATTGGACCGAGATCATCCTTCAAGATAGTTATAGCCTGTGTTTAGTATTTCAGCCTGTGACTATCTCAGCTCACTTTTTCTAACATAAGCCCTAGAGCCCCCACACACCTATCACCAGGGATCAATATTAAATGTAGATTTAAAAGATAATTACTCTTGGTTTCCTGTTTGTTTGCAGTAGGGAGAGTGGACTGTGCTTTCTGCTCTCTTACCTGGAGATTAGCTAAACAAATAGGCAACAGTAAGCCTAATTCACACCAGCTTGCCAATGAACAGTAAGAAAGTAAGTAAATTGTGATTATTGTGCAGATTGATGAGAGCAAAACTCGGGGATACAGGGGTAAAAATTGTACTCCAGATACATATTCAGTGGGGATGCTGACTGAATACAGGGGTTTAATTATATCACAACATGTACTCAATCAATGCGGACTTCCATGAATAAGGGAGCACTCAACACAGCTTTGTCTGTCTGCTCACTTATTGCAGTGTCATGACATACACTCTATAGTCAGGAGTGGCAAAATTAAGGGTTTCACTTTAAAAATGTCAACATCCAAATGTAGTGATGTCGCGAACGTGAATTTTTCAGTTCGCGAACTTCGGAAAATGTTCGCGAACCGGGCGAACCGCCATAGACTTCAATGGGCAGGCGAATTTTAAAACCCACAGGGACTCTTATTGGTTGAATGGGGGGGGACCTACTCTCCTCCCCCCCCCGGCCCCCACCCCTGGGCGGCGGGTGGGGGCCCTAATAACAATAAGGGGGGGACCTATTGTCCCCCCCGCCCCCACCCCTGGGTGGCGGGTGGGGGCCATATTGATAATGAGGGGGGGACCTACTGCCCCCACCCGGGCCCCACCCCTGCGCGGCGGGTGGGGGCCATATTGATAATGAGGGGGGGGACCTACTACCCCCCCGGCCCCCACCCCTGCGTGGCGGGTGGGGGCCATATTGATAATGAGGGGGGGGACCTACTGTCCACCACCCCTCCGGCCCCCACCCCTGCGCGGCGGGTGTGGGCCATATTGATAATGAGGGGGGGACCTATTGTCCACCCCGCCCCCACCCCTGGGTGGCGGGTGGGGGCCATATTGATAATGAGGGGGGGACCTACTGCCCCCACCCGGGCCCCACCCCTGCGCGGCGGGTGGGGGCCATATTGATAATGAGGGGGGGGACCTACTACCCCCCCGGCCCACCCCTGCGTGGCGGGTGGGGGCCATATTGATAATGAGGGGGGGACCTACTGTCCACCACCCCTCCGGCCCCCACCCCTGCGCGGCGGGTGTGGGCCATATTGATAATGAGGGGGGGGACCTACTGTCCACCCCCCCTCCGGCCCCCACCCCTGCGCGGCGGGTGGGGGCCATAGTAAAGATAATGAGGGGGGGGGACCTACTGTCCTCCCCCCCGGCCCCCACCCCTGGGCGGCAGGTGGGGGCCACAAAGATAATGAGGGGGGGGACCTACTGTCCTCCCCCCCGGCCGGCGGGTGGGGGCCACAAAGATAATGGGGGGGGACCTACTGTCACCCCCGGCCCCCACCCCGGGTGGGGGCCACAAAGATAAT